GAGCAAAGACACAACAGCGTTTGCTTGGAGCTCAAGGGCTCAGGGCGCTGCTTTGAGCCTGGTGGTGTGGCCTTTTGGGGCTTTGAACTACAGCCACAAGACTCTAGTGGCATCTCTTTCCAGATTTGTTTTGACACAGGCTCGAAAACAAAATTTCACTCTGTCCTTATGCTCAGAATCTGAGAGTGAAGGTGCTTGTACAGTTGTTTATCCCTAGCTCACCAGGAATCTTCGGTGATGCCTCTGGTAACTGAGGGCGCCCAGCTAAGTCCTCGTCAGAGAACAGGGCAGGGAAACTACTGGAGGCTGCGGGAACTATTCCAATGGGCAACGTGAACGTGTTACTTAGGCAAAATATACCAGTAAAATAGGAGAGGCAGGTTAAGCTATGCAAGGTATAGGGACAGAGTTAGGGCACCCTTTGTTAAGATAGGAAATGGGTGGGGACTCCAGCTGGCGAGGGCCACTGGGCTGACGTGTTCAGGATTAGACCAGGCTCCAGGTGCTGAAAGTGGTTGTAACAGAAGTCTTGGTGCTCATTAGCTCCCATCAGCCGGCCGGCCTTCACCAGATGTACCTGGTGTCGCTCACCTCTCTTCTCCAGAACTGCAGGGGGATTCAGGGAGGAGGAATGTGGCCCTTCTCTCTCTCTCTCTCAATCCTGAAAGATTAAATCAGTTCTCTCTATAGTGCTAGCATGAGGCATGCATAAGATTACAGGGACAACTTTACTATGAAAGGTCCTCTCCACCTCCTAGAATTTCTGCTAAAAGGAGACATCCCTCTTCATTGGTTAAGTCATTTCATCATTACTGAATATCTAATGAGTACTGGGAGCTGTTGTTGAGTGGCTGTGTGTGAACTTTAGTGCCAGAAAAAGATGAGCCTGGAGAGTCAGATTCTAAATAACATTCTAAGAGAATGTGTAAGATACTTGATAGCAAGGGATCAGAGGGAGGATCTTGAAGTAAAAGTGCGATCCAAGTATTTGGGAGCCTGGATTGGGGTAGAAAATGGAGGATTTGGCAGATGATGTAGGAAGTAGGGGGTAATTGAGGGCTATTGCCAATGTCCAGAAGAAAGATGTAGAGGGCTTTTGAAATAAGGTGGACACTGTGGGGACCAAAAAGATGGGAGAGATGAGAGAGACATTTATAAGGAGAAATCGGTTAGGACTTGGGTGCGAAGGGAGAGAGCGAGTGAGAGGGCAAGGCCTTGGCTGAAGGTTCGAGTGCCGGAGAGCAAGAGACTGCAGGCTGTGCCGTTAACACAGGATGGGGAGGTAGCGGGAGGGCTGGAGGGTGGTGCGGGGCTCCAAGGGTAGAAGCCTGGTTCAGGGAACTATGAGGTGCTCAGACAGTGCGCGAAGCTTCATCCCAGTGCTCCGAAGAAAGGTGAGACCCCACGTGATGGAGACCCAGCTGAAAGGGCCCCTTGGGGAGGCAGAAGTTGGGGCAGCAGAGCCGAGAAGTTGATTCAGCAGAGAGAGAATTGCAGGAGGAGCAGGGCCAAGGGGCCAAGGGCTGGGCCCCTATCATGGCTGCCACATTCCCGGCCCCTATGTGTCCTGCCTCTCTCCAAATACTTCAGGCAACAGGGAGCTTGTAGTTCCATGTGGTCAGCTGACATCTGTCATGCTGCAGCGTTCACCTTAGTATTGCTTCATCCCTGGGGACCACAGGAGAGATACGTCATCAGGACAGCTTTTCAAGTAGTTGGGATACCTCCTTTTTCCTTTAAGTTGGGAGCTTCCCTAATCAAGGCTTAGGCTAAGGGATTTTTTAATTCCCTCGCTTCTGAATACATCTATCAGTACATCTACCTATAAGAAGAGTGCATATATTAAAGCGTGTGGCCATGAATTGCTCACAGAATTGCAGCCGAGGTCTGACCATCGTAGGTCCGGGGGAAATCAGCATCTCCACTGCTACTGCGAGGACAAAGGGTTCTTTGGGGGCCACATCACAGCAAATCAGATTCAGTGTCCTTGGACTACAACCTTTTGCTTTTATTTTTAAATACTGCTAAGCCGTACTTCCTCTGTTCCGTGCTTGTGTAGTTGGTTACTTGTGCCAAAGTTGAGCCAGCTAGGTGAGAGGAATAGGGTTTATACGGAGTTTCTACTCTGTGTCTATTTTTTACCAACTGTGTGACTTCGGGCAAGTTACGCAATCTCTCTAAACATCATTTTCATTATGTGTAAATGGCAATCTGAAGAGCCACCATTTCACAGAGTTGTGAGACCTAAATGACAAAACAGCTCTCAGCACACTGCTCATTGCACAATGCTCATTGTAGTTCCTCAGTAATATTTGCTATTATTATTGTATCTACTCTTACCTAATATGAGCATTTTAACCTTGTTTTGGGGTCTTCTTTCTCTTATTAAACATAACTTAATTCAAATCTCTTCCAACATTGTGTCGGTCATAATTATAATGTGCATGGCTTCTATATCTTTCTTTGAATTTCTTTGATGTTTTATATCACAGAGGTGAATAAGAAAGACAGACAGGTCAGTATCTCCTATGGTTTCCAGTCCACTGAGGAAGAGAGATAATGAATTATTCATATGATGAGTCTTCTGTGCTTGCTGAAGTCACTCCATCAATACTCCATTCTAATACAAATGGACTTTGTCTTTGCATGCAGCCTGTATTTGTTTACCTTGTTCCTAAGGATATACGATGACATCGTAAGTGATCCTGTAAAATGCCACACTGATATCCAGAGGAGAGCAACTAGGCTGAGACTTCAGGTCCGTCTCACAAAGCGAGAGCTGGAGGATATGGTAGTATTTAGTGTTGAGAGGGGGCGGGGGGGAGGGCGGCGGAGAGAGAGGTGTTGAGGTGTTACCAATAGTGGGAGATGCTGAAGAGGGTGACAATTTGGAGGGTGAGTTTTTTGTGCATGGAGAGAAGGTAGCCATGGTTGGCACGAACTTCCAAAGAGGCCGATGTTGTGCTGGTGGGAAGTGACCTGGAAGTGGGTATTTCGAGCAGTCCTCGCGGACACGTCCTGGACCTGTGATTGACAAGAAGTGGTGGCTCCCTTGCAGGTTTTCCCAGGAATTAATCTAAAACATCAATCTTTATTAAAGATGAAGAAATGGATCTTTGAAATAAATGAACATTGAGGGTCAGGCGTGAAGGAGGTGGAGATCTATTTAGGGGAAGAAAGAGAAGAGAAACAAAATCCAAAAAGGATTTTTTACTTTTTTGAAAAAAGCTGTTACTGTATGAATGTAGGTCTTTCCTGAAAGTTAAGTGGTGTAACAGAACTTCAGGTTACTGGAGGGCATTTGCATTCCTCTGTTCCCTTTTCTAGAATAATCAGAACTTTCCAGCAATAATTAGAATTGCACGCAAATCAGCTAACTTGAAATTTTGAAATCTCTGGTGGGCTTTCTTCTCCAGGTCCCAAGCGTGCTTCTGGGTCACTAATCTTCATCTCGAAGACAAGCGTTCGGGGAACAAAGCCTTGGGTAAACCTTAGCCCATAAGAAACCAATGAGGTGCGTTACTCCCTAGAAATAGAATAGAATTCCCATCTACAGCAGAAATTGTCTTTGGATTGCTCATTGTTTTAGTGGGCAATCTAAATGTGACATTGGCACCCATTCTGCACAAATGCATAAATTTAAAGCTGGTTGTTATTTTAGCCTTAGGTTCTGGGGCATAGCTGTAAAGAAAATAACACAAAATGCCTGATATCATGGAACTTAAAATCTAGTGGAGTGGCAGACAAGTAAAAGAGTCAACACATGTTCATCAGGAGTTGATAACTACAGTGGAAAAAAGCTGAAGTGGGGACAATCTGGGGGGCGGTGGGTTATTCCTATTCTGTATTCTGTGTCGAGGGAAGGCCTTCCTGAGGAAGCGTCATTTGAACAGACCTGAAGGAAGTCAGAAGAGAAAACTGGGGAGGAAAATCATTCCAGGCAGAGAGAAAAGAAAGTGCTAAGGCCCTGAGGCAGGAATGTTGCAGAATCAACAAGGTGGATTTGTTCCTTAAGGAGACTGGGCAAGAGGGAGAAGGGCAAGAGATGAGATCGGAGAGGTGGCAAGGCATCAGATCAAGCTGAGGGCCTTGAGTGGACTCTGTATGAGACGGGACGCCCGTCGGGGCCGGGAGCAGAGGGGTGCCATGACCCGACTTGCAGTATAAGGGGCTTCCGCTGCCGGCTGCGGACGTGTGCGGGGTGACCAGGACGTGTCCATGCGGTAATCAGGCGGACAGTAAAAGAGAAGTTTGCAGGGAAGATGGGAATGCAAATTTCAGCATTCGCTTCTATATTAATATCCAGAAATCATGGAAATGGATGAATCACTCAGGGATTGACTGTAGGTAGGAAAGACTGAGTGCTGGGGTCCTCCAGCATGTAGGAGATCCAGCAACATTTATAAGAGAAGGACTCAGCAAGATACCCTTGGAAGGAGCAGCCAGTGGGGAGACCCAGTGGGCGTTTCATAGGAGCCCAGACACTGAGAATACATTATCTCCCCCCCCCCCGGTCCGTAAAAACACCTTCTTCAGATAAGTAACATTGAATTTGACTTGCTAATCGATACAATTAAAATGATACAATTTTACATCTATTTAGGAAGCATCATTATATGCTTTCTAATTATGAAAGAATTATGAATGGAGTATAGGAGCAGGGCTGTACCAGCGGTTGACAGCGTAGCCTTCTCCTTGGCGAGTGGGGGGAACCTTGGGACGTCGCTGCACGCAGAGCAAGGACTACAGAACAGCCGCAGCCGCCAGCTGCCCCGCTGTGGGGCTCTGGGGGGGGTTTGCACTGCCCGGGCCTCATCTACGTCCTTCTCGTGGGGATTGCTCGCGTGTTGATTTCTGAACATCTTGTTGTGGTGCCTTCAATTTTTCACAATCACTTTAAAATGCATTCTTTCTTTCTTTGGATTTTTGCTCAGAAATTTAAGATTTATTACAGAATATTCTCTGAGTTTAAAAAGTGGATCTTTGATCCATTTGTGCCTCATAACCTGGTAGGGGTGATTTCTATACTTAGAACCATAACATGTATGACAAACACCAAACACCGTGCTTAGATTTGATGTTGGAAGATTCATTGTCAACTTATAAAAATCACACCCTGCTCTTCGGTTTTCATTTCTTTTCCTCTGTAAGTCTTGAAGGAGATCTGTCCTCATCACTTCCTTGTACATGCTCACTCCTTTGGAGAATTATTTTAATATCCTAAGAGAAGAGATTCAAAGAGAAGTTACAAACATTTGTAAGTGATTTAGGATTAATGATCATCTAATATATGGCAGTGATTAAACAGTAAGTTGGTTTTTATTTTTTTCCTTTGATAAAATTGTTCTCTATTTCGTTTGAATCCTGCCCTGCAACTTACTAGTTGTAGACTTGGAAAAGTATCAAAGATCTTGGAGCCTGCTTTTCCTCATCTAGTAACAGAATTTTCACGTTAGATTAAATAACATTGAAGAAGCAGTTACACGGAGTTTGGCACATAATGGGTAAGTCAAAAGATTATTTCCCCATTAATAGATAAAAAGCAGCATTTACCTTCTAGTAAATGAAAATTCTAATGCCAACTTAATCCTGACTACAGATTTGTACAACTTTTAGAACAGCAGATTATTGAGGGGGTGGGGATAGCCTCATTTCTTCGTGTTTTTTTTTTCTTTAAATATGCAGAATAGAAGGACCTATTTTTATCCACTGAAAATACCCGATTTGCTTACATTTTAAATCACAGCTATTTTTAAAAATAAACTTAAAATACTATCACAATGTAGGAGTACAAACACATGTGGAAAATGTACAGTTACGTTTAAGTGGTTTCTGGGTTTCTTTTTCCCCACATATTTAGGGAAGTATTTTAAGGATATGAGTTTCTTTTCTTCAGAGCTGTGTTCCAAACAATATGACTGTGTTTCAATATGACTGCAGCCACTTCGCTCATAAAGCCATGAATGACTTAGTGAGCCGAGTGACACATGCGGTGACACCAGGCACTGCCAGGAACTGTAGTGAATCATTGTCTTGAGGGAGCTTTTCTTTGAAAACACAGATCTTCTACAGCCAAAGGCCACTACTGAGCGAACTAAGTGAGAAAGAAAGGCTGCTCACTGCCGCTGGTCCTGCCCCCAGCAACTCGGAACAGCATGTCTTCTTTGAGTAGTGCACTTACAATAGCCAATGTTACTGACTGTCAACTTGGAGATTAAAGGAAGGAGCTGACCTGTGTGTACCTGACACTCTGTAGCATGGGGACATTTATAAATTCCAGATAGTAAAGCCAACTTTGGCTACGTTTACAACTGAAATCACGGGCCATAAGTTTCAGGAGCAGTCAGATGAGAAAAGCTTGGCTGAGAGAACAGAAATGTTTGCCCTGGGTGCTTTGAAAACAAAGCACTAAAGCAGCCATTGTAGCCATCACGTTTTGTTATAAAGACAAAGGAGAGGTTGGAGCACATTTAAAGTCAGATACCTTGAAGACAAAATAGGATGAAAGTCCCTTCAAATCACCCTTACATTTCATAAGTATTTTGTCCTCATGTAATTTGATCTTTACAGAAATTTTCCTGTAACATTCTGATTTTAACACTAAAAGATTCTCTCTTATTGAATGGAAACCTTAATTTTAGGGCAATATGCTCATTTGAGAGGTTTGCTAAAAGAAATTTCCATGTATTTGGCATGCATTCATGATAAGAAACTACATTTGTTAGGCTGGTGTGGAAAATCCTGTGTTCATTTGCATTTGTAAATATATTTGTCATAGGAAGTTAATTGACTTTACTCCCTAATAACCAAGTTACAGTATTCTCCTTGATCTTGTCTCATTAACCAAAGCATTTTCTTAATAATTTAGGAACACTACTTCAACATCACTTTTCATATAAGGTCTATGCAAGTAGAAGTTAAATAAGTGACTTTAATTGAAAAACTATAAAACCCAACATAAAATCTGAATTTCCCACACAGGTATTTTCCACATGGGTTTTCCCAGGTCTTCAGTTTGGACCTTTTGTCACCATGGCCCTGCACAGGGGGCAGCTTCCTCTCTTTCCAAGAGCAGACGGTGAATTCAAGAGATGGCATGCCAGCTTATAATGTTATACAAATAATGTTACACAGCTCAGAAACATTTCCTGTGCACTGCAATTACCAACATGTCACTAATAATAATAATAGTAATAATAATCTCTAACGTTTATTGAGTGATTTATATCTGCCAAGCACTGTTATAGGTATTAAGTAATTTAATCCATACAAGGACCCTACGAGGTATGTATGACAGCTAACCCTATTTTACAGGTGGCAAAAGCATGGCACCGTGGGGTCACTTCCCTGAGATCATGCAGTTTGTGGGTATGAATCCAATAACCAGTGCGGTCCCGAGCCCCCGCTCCTGACCACAGAGCCAGACCACCCCCTGGCAGGGGCACAAATAAAACATATGAAAATAATTACGCCCACTCAGCTTTTTCGAATATCTATTTTAAAAAGGTTCCTGCTTCCAAACACGAACCTAGTAAACAGAGCTGTTGCCCAACAGAGCTGTTAGGCAACAAACCTTCACTTCCCACTGTTTATAACAGCAAACAACTTTTAACCTGAAAAACCACACTCGAGCTTTTGCTCTACTTATCTTGAGAGATCTTCAAATAACATCACTGTGGTTAAAGTTCATTTTAAAATGATCTATTTACTTGTGCATGGATATCTGGAGCAAAAAATGACGATGAGAGCCTGAGTCTTCAGAGATTCTTTTTCTCTCTTTCTCTCTCTCTCTTTCCTTCTCTCCTTTTTTGCTTAGGGAAAATGCGAACAGAGCATGTTACTGGAAAGGAAACTTCTTTCCTTTTAGAATATCAGAATGAAGCCTTCTCAGGTCGCAGGCTCAGCTCCCCAGGGATTCGCAATCACGAGTGGGTCCTGTTTATGGTGGTTCGCTGTCTTCTCCTTAGATTCCAGGGTGGAGCCACAGGGAGGAGGCAGGAAGGTGAAGGAGAGGAGAGTTGAAGACCCTGACTCAGCAGAAACACTCTGGCAACGAAGGAACAAAACTGAAAGCACTGCCTGCCTGACTGGCAGACAGACAAACTCTCTGCTATTAGAGTGTCAGGCCATCCCAGCCCTGTGGAACCGGGCCCCTGCGTCAGATCCCTGAGGCCCAGGAAGCCTGGGGAAGGCTGAGGGGTCGATATGTCAAGGTGCTCCTGGAATACAGTGGGTGGTGGTCCAAAGTGTCGTGTATCCTGCCACCCTGGGGACAGTTTTGTGCAGAGAGGAGACACGCTCTCCAAAGCCACGCTACCATGGCTTTCTGATCCCAGAGCATTTAGGAACCTGTGTTCCCTACTTCACAGCCAGAAGTGCTTAGGGTCTGCTAGCGTATTAGAAATCAATTTCAATTATCATTAACAAATGTAATAAAATTTGTATAAAAAAGGATCACCAGTTTAGAACAAATAAATCTAGATACAAGGATATTTAAATTTAGATAGCCTCATTTCTAGGCATGGGTATTTATCACTGACAAGCCAAGAGAAATGTATCTTATACCACTTGTAGTTTATCAAAGTGAAAGTGCTTTTTATCTTAAACTCATCAAACATTTTTTAGTCTAATAAACAACCAGCAGGAGCCAAATAGGGGGACGGTATGCCACTCGGCGGGCATGCGAGAGGATTGCAGCAACGTGCCACAGTCTGCCTTCCTTTGCCCTTGCTGCCAGAGGCCTGGGACTGGTCACGGGGTTGGGGGGGGGCGTGCATTCAGCATGTGGAGTTGAAACGTGCTTGGTTACTGAGTGAGTTCTGAGGCGCAGTTCTGGCTTTTGCCTTTCCTTCCTCCCTTCTGCTGGGTTGGTCCAGTCTTTAGGGGCTTTGTCCTCAGTTTCCCCACCTTGAGCACCGTTTCCCTGGTGGAACTGGCACCCAACCTTTCTTAGGCACTGACATCGTGTGCACTGCGCAGACAAGGTGTCCCATGAATAGGGCAGCACTCGGCTGAGCGTCATGCTCTGCCCAATTCTCTTCCGTGAAGGGGATTTTATTCATCACAAGTTTTGACCATAGGCGAGGGTCACTAGCGGCTGAAATGACCCAGGACACTGATCCTGCCATCCACCCGGCTTTCATTTCCCACCTAAAGCTTTCTGCTGTGGGTCCAAGGCAGCCCCAGGAGAAGCATCCCTGGTAGTTCTAGTACTGTCCGCAGTACTGAGAGTACTATCCCTAGTATTTTTAGTGCTATCTACAGTACTGAGAGTATTACTACTACTGATGGCTATCTCTGTTGTGCTTGACCTTGCTGCCCTTAAGTATTGCAGACTGGCCTGTCTGGCCTGGTGCTCCTACTAGCTTAGCCTCTCTGGACCCTGTTCTGGCCCCGCTCAACTTCTTCCCCCTTTCTGCTAGTTGGCATTTCAGATGGCCCACTGTGCCCCGAACCTGAGCTCAGCCAGGTTCAGGCGCCTTTGGGAAATACTCACAGGGAGTTTATAGTCTGGATAACTTGAAATCAGGTCTTGAATAAAAGGATGCTTCAGAAGAAGAGCAACTTCTATTGGCTCCAGATTCTTGGCACCCAGGTCCTGAAATACTTTTATGAAGTTCTTTAAAAAAGAAAAAAAAAAATGAAATCCATTAACTTTACAATTCTGCAAATGTTAACAAATGGTTTTGACTTAATAAGGAAATTCCACAAAAACTTGCTCAGCCTCTTCTTAGGCAGAGGTTGCCCCTTTTACCAAGTCTCACCAACCTCTGCGTGGCTGTCCTCTCGTCTCAGGTTGCGGGCCAGCTGGTTAGTGCTCCAGCCTCCGTTTCCTCCTCGGAACACGTTGAGCAGTGTTTCCATAGAAATCTTTTCAGTGTTGGCATTTTCAGGGATTTCTTCTTCCTTTGCCTCCCTTTCCTCTCTAACTTCCCTTTTCTCACTTACAATGTTTTCCTCAGTTTCGGGGTATTCCTGAATTGGAGCCATGTCAATCAAGGAGAAGACCTGCACAAACAAACGAAGAGAACAAGAAGGCAGGCCCAAGTCTGGCCAGCAATAGAGACAGTTAAATACCACCAATTTTGACACACCCCTTTTGTGCCATGGGATGACAGTGCCTGCCACGGGCTGGCTGAACAAAGTCTAGAAGAGACTATGCTTGTTGAACTGGAAATCACATCAACGTCTGAGACCAACTCTGCTGGTAGTTTACAGAGGCCTCGGTGCGGGGTGTGACTTAATATCCATTGCTGTGCATGTTTTGGCTCCTTGCCAGGCGCCCCGCATTCCTGAACAAATGGATACTGGAATGAATTCCTGTAACTGGCTGTCAGACTTCTCATTGCCGGAGACTTTTAACAGGATGCTTGAGAGATTGACAGCAAATGAGAGGTCATGGCAAGTTCCTTTCTCAAGTTTGATACATTCTAAGTGAAATGAACATTTGTTTAGGTACTGGAGGTTAAACCTGAGCAGACATTCAGAAGGCAAAGTGGAAAACCAATTGAATATAGAAAGTCAGGCTGGCATTCTCACTGCCGGTCTTTGAAACTTGGCCAAGAGCCATGAACTCAGGCTCTGACACTCTGAGTTTGTCAGGATGCATTTTCTTCTGCAGTAAATTCTTATGCATCAAAATCTTGACAAATACTCCTACTCTTTGACCCAGTAATTATAGATCTAGGAATTTATTCTAAAGAAATATTCATGTACACAAAGACTTTTGTATGTGGATGCTTGTGCAATGGTATTTACAGAAAACCTACAATTCAAAAAAAAATGGAAAAATGCTGTCAAAGTACAGTATATTTCTGTGATAGAGGACTCTACTGCCATGAAAATTTTGGTTTAGAAATTGAATACCCAATGACGTGAGGAAACATTATGATTAGTGCAGAAAGAAAACAGAACGCGAAGTAGTAAGTGCACTAGGGTCTTCATTTTCTTATATATCTATCCTTAGTGAAAAGAGAAACAGATACACTGAAGAAGAGTTCACAGTGGCTACTTCCAGTTAGTAGAATAAGTGATTTCTTTTTCACTCTGTTTTATACTTCCCAAACTGTCTACAGTAGAATTGTATTGACTGTAATAAATGTGTGTGTATATGTGTGTGTGTTTCTGATGATGAGGTCATTGATATTTGGTGATTTGCCATAGAAAAATGGGCATTACTGGCATGTTGACTGGTCTGATGTCAGAGAACAACCAAGTGTTGATTCTCCTTTACCTCAAGGAAGGAAAAGTACTAATTTAGGCTTAAAATAAGAGAAGGGTGCCAATGTCTTCAAATAGTCAATTCAGGACAAACATTAAGTGCATAAATCATACATGTTCTTTCTCAATTGCTACTTAAGTCCCATGTACATAAAGATTATAATGTAGCACAAAATTATGCCTCTAGTAGCCCTATGTTTTCTCTAGCTTTGTGTGGGTTGGGTTTCTATATCCTTTGGTAAATTGTGAATTAAATCTAATTGGGAGAGGGAGAAGGTCGGGGGAGAGAGGGAGAGGGAGAATGCCCCATCAGGTGAAGATTTTAGACTTAAGTCTATCATCTATCTATCTATCTATCTATCTATCTATCCATCCATCCATCCATCCATCCATGCATGCATGCATGCTCTTCTTCTTTTTAAACAACTGAAGTGCCACCTGGCAGAAATGTGAAACTGGCCTTTTTGTCTCCACCTAGGCAGCTTGGGGGATGCGACACTGGCTCCCCACCAGTAAACTCCCAGGTGAATATACCATTTAGTATGATGAAACGAACACAGTCGGGAGGCAAAACCGCTTGCTGAGCGAGTGAAGAATGAATGAGTTTCTATTCAGAGGCAGCGATGGTGCTATGTGGATGCACAAAGACAGCCTGTGGGTGCGCAAATGACGAGCCAGGCTAGACGAGCAGGCAATACCAGAAGGAAAGGGGAGGAACCCGGTCCCTCTGCACTCATTCTGTAGGGAGGGGCCAGCTTTTCAACCGCCTGACATAATCATCATGGGAGCCATGAGTTTTTTATTTTAGCTAAAAGGTAACAATGTGAACTTTTGAAATCTTAGTAAAGAATCCTTAACTTGTCATATTAGAAGATGCTTTTTAAAGTCTTGCAATTTTTGCTCCCTAAGGGGCTGGGACAGAAGAGAACTAGCGGTGCAGAGGGAGGAGCGTGAGGCTGAGATGGTGGCCAGAGCAGCTCAGGTCCCCGCGGCGCTGCAGGGCATGTAGGGGAGGGGGCTTTCTCCAGCAGATGTCTCGGGAAGACCACGATTTTGAATGTAGGTGTGTGAGCAAAACCAGGGATGTCGGACTGGGGAAGAGCCAGTGCTTCTGAGTGAACAGTTATTAGTGGCATCAAAATTCTGTGAGTCATATTATCAACTGATGGTGGCGCTAGCAGACATTGTGTCACGCTTGACTCACTCTCAGGCGGCCCTTGTGGACTCCCAACAGACGTGTCTCCGGAACGGAGCCTGAGCATGCATTTCTATGTTCAATCAGTTTAGCCCCACATCAAACGGGACTAATGTGGGTAAAGCATCATAGCAAAACGCAATAAAAATTACTGTGTTTTGAACCCAGAGTTTCAAATGCTCTGCTGAGGTGCTTTAACAAGACTTTCAAAATATGGGAGATTCAACTTCACGATTTACTAAATCCCAATGTTGTAACCCCACACCATATAGGCCAGAAAAACATTTCTGAAAATGTCAACTTATTACAAGTTTCACTGGGACTAGTGCATGCTCATTAATGTATTGCTATTGAATGTCTTTTAAATTACCCAAGAAGAAGTGAATTAAATAGGAGGTCTGTGTTACATCGAATAGAACAGTCTAGGTCTCAGAAACAGTAAGAAAAACAGAAATATTGGGGGAGATTTCTAGTTGTTTACGTGGAAAGCAAAAACAGAGATCTGATTCAATGCTGTGGGAACGAATACGGATCTGTTGGAGGTGTTATTTCTGAGCAGGCTCATTATGGCTTCCTGGGACGAGGTTGCCCAGGAAACTAGGGCGCAGTTGGAAAGGGCACAGAAACAGAGCAGCATAATTGGAGGCAGGATGGCAGGACAAGGCGTGAACAAGAATGAGGGAGGTGGTGGATCCTTTAAGTCAGAAGCTCTTAGGGGTCAGTGCAAGCCATGGACAGGCTCGCACGTGTGGCGCAGGATACATGCATTGCATCCCCTGCCTCTCATGGATTCTCTGTGGTTCAGGGGCTGCAGGTCCGCTCTGGGGCAGTGGCATCCTTGGGCTCTGAGGGGAGCAGTCCAGGTGAGCTGCTTCCTGGGTGGGGGCAGTCGCTGGCTCTGCCTGGGTGATTCAGGGATGGGGGGATTCAGCGCCCCGTACTAGTGGGCTCTGCTGCTACCCACCAAAGCAGCTCTCTGCTGTGGCAACAGTTCTAAGACAGGCTTCCTTTTTCCTGAACTTTCTGGCTCATTGTGGCCTCTTGGGTCCTGTCTTAGCCTGGAATGTCTGTTCTCCTCTGCTTTACCTTTGAGACTGGAGTCTAGTCCTTTTCCTCTCTCTTCTTCCCTTCTTTCCTGCCATGTTTACAAACATTAGTTGAATACTTGTTATATGGCAGCAACCTTGGGGTGACATGGTGTCCCCAACTCAAGGTAGAAATAACTTAGCAGAAGGATTTGGTAGATAAGCAAACCCTTTCCTCAATAGCTAGCTCTCCTTCTTGCTTCTTTTGCCCCGCCCTGCCCCCCCCCGCCCCCCCGCCCCCCCCCTCGCCGCAATCTGGCCTCAGAACAGCAGCCAGAGAGATGCCACACATTGTCAGTCAGATGGCTGGGCTCGGTGACTTCTCATCCCGTCTCTTGGCAGAGTCCAGGCCTCTGAGCTCTCTCCCCATCACTTTTCCTTTCTGGCCACTCCTCCAGCTCCCTCCTCTCTGACCACAGTGGCTGGTAGACTCTCTGTTCCCTGGAGTATACTAGGCATGACCCCACTTCAGGGCTTTTGCATTTGCTGCGGTCTTCACTTGAAATGCTCTTCCCCTCAGAGATCTGCAAGACTCCCTCCCCTTATCCAGGCCTCTGCTTATATGTCTCCCCGCGGAGGCGCCCAAGTCATCAGCGCACTCAGCATCTGTCTGGCCTGGCTCCAGCCCTAACGGGAAAGGATGGCCTGTCCATCTGCTCTGGGACACAATTTAGGGTTGCGTCTAAGAGTCTATTTCTTCCCAGATACAAAAGCTGTCACAGGAATGTCCCATTCCCCTCCCGCCACCTGAAGGACACAGTGTACCCGATTTTGACACCATGTTTGAAAGGAAAAGAAGTGTAGCTAAGATGTCCGAGGAGTTTGGACTGGAGAGCACCCTGTCCCCTCTGAGTCTAACAAGGAAGGACAGGGAAAAGCATTCCATCCTGACGGTCAGAGCTCTGTCCCTGAAAGACCCAGGAAAGACTGAAAGGTAAAAAGCCATGCCAGTGAGCACGTAATAAGTATATTAATTACCCTGGTCTGGGGCTTTTCCACCGGAAAAAGCCAGGGAATGCCAATCCTTTAGAAATCTAAAGGAAACGTGAGATTTTGTTGGATATTAAGTGTCTTTGTCCTTGGATGCAGGTGGCACAAAGTGCCTGTGGATTTGAGGTGGCTGGGCTTTAGCGTGCCCAGTGTCACATACATGTGGGCTATGTCTAAGGTCTGAATTTGTTTTGCATAGAATTTCCCTAAAGCATGACACATAGGTGGGGTTGATACCCAGTTCTTCTCATCGATCAGGATTAGCACTTCATGCATAATAAAGGCTGTCCTTTACAGAGAATACTTTGATTCCACCAAGGAACTTTGAGCAAATTTTGACTTTACGATAGAAGCCTTTTTTTTGGACAGTGGGCCCCAGTTCTTAATACAATTGGATAGGGCTTTATTGAAGACTTTGTGTTAGTATAGCATTGTGTGAGATACCCGGGGAAACAGGAAAATGAAAAGAATGCGGCCTTTGTTGTTAGAAGTTTTGGATCTCTGGCTGCCCCTTGAAGACCCCAATGTTAGTCCATTTCTGGAACTCAGTTACCTCTTCTGTAGCATAAGTAGTAGTTTTGATTGGCCAGAAGATATGAGTCCCAATGGCCACGCTGAGGGCCCGGTAGACCCCCTCCACAGGATCTGGGTGGCAAGCGAAATAAAGCAGCATCTGCGTGTAGTCAAGGCAGGGTGGATCCTTCTCGCAGTCAGCAAACAGCCTAAAGAAAAACTGTTACACGAAAGGAACTTCATCAAACATATAATGCATGTCAGCAGATGGGCAGGCAATGAAGTCCTTCCTCCAGCAGCTTTAGAATAAGGCCGCTTTCTGAGGACTGAATCAGTAAAACTAACGTAACGAATGGAACTAAATGAAGAGTATGCTCAGTTAAAAAACATAAAAAGCAGGGCTCAGAATTCTAATGGCAAAGAAAAGCATGCGCACATCAGTGGTATTAACACACTTAGGAAAGAACGTGTTGCTGAAGAGGGTGGGGCCTCCCTGTAAAGTAGGGAAAGGGGACCGAAGAGATCCCTGTCTGTCCTCAGCACCATCCTGACAAACTGGGCCCTGGTTCCTGAAGATGAAGCTTCTAGAACATTCCTCTCTGTGGGCGTCAGGGAGAGGGGAGGGGAACAATGACCAAAGACCCCAGGACTCTAGCCACAAACATCTTTAAACTGGCCCGCCTTGCTCTGAACTTCATATGTCACCCGCTGATGGTAACATGCCTTCCTCCAGCGTGGGCTCACCTCCAGGGCGAGAGTGGGCTGACCACTGAGTATCATTTTGTTTCGCAAATCTCTCCCTCATTCTAAGGACCGAAGGGACAGTCAGCTCTAAGAACAGTGTCTTGTGCATTTGTCAGCGTGAGGAGTTAGGGCTTGGGAACCTAACATCCCCTGGGGCCCTGCAAAGCTGAGGCCAAAGCCTGGCACACATAGACCACACATAAAGCCGATATGGTGCTGTTTGGGGCCGTGACTTCTTCTCAAACACATGTATAGAGTGACCTGGAGAATCTTTTAAAAATGCAGATTCTAATTAAGTAGTGTTCCCGGGGCAGCCTAAGGTTCTGCACGTTTAGCAAGTGCCTAGGTGATTCCGTGGCAGGCAGTCCTGGCCTGTACTTCGATCCAGAGATACTATGCTGTTGTCTATTCCCAGCAATCCTGACAACAATGAGCAAATTTAATTAGGCATACGTGCAGCTGGAGAAGAAACTTCTGATATTTGACAAAACTGATAAAAATTTAAATAAAAATAACTTTTATAGAAAAAAATGAAATGCATAAAGTCTGTTATGCTCCCAAACAAAAAAGAATCCTTGGGGTTGATGGGGTGGATCTGCGAGTTCATTCATCGGCCACCCCGTGATCAAACAGTTGCTGAGTGTCCGCTGTCAGCCAGGCATGCAGCTAGGCTGGGACATGCAAGAGCACCCTCTGACGCAAAGGCCCCCTTCGCTTTGTTTAGGGGTCATGATCCAGCTGGTGGGGTCATCCAGGACTGTGTGTTTTCTCCATCTCTCACTTGCCTCCGAACAATTTCAGGGATTTCCAGCAGGACTAGGAGTAGCGGGGGACTGACGCTAACACGTAGAGGACATTGTCCTTGGGTGTCTACCTCCCATTTCTTTTACACCAGTCACTGAATTTTAGTAGTATTTTTCCCGAATTGCTCTGATAAATTCTATGCAGTTATAACACATCATTATTTTTATTAACCAAGAAGCAGAATTGGGTCTATCGAGAGAATATGTAGACACTTTCTGTAACTACACAGGCTTATTAAATCAATGAATTGGACATTCAGAAAAAGGTAAGCCTTGCTATGTTCTTAAGATCATTTAAAATATTGTAGTAGGTAGAGTCTTTAGGGTTTTCTATGTACAATGTCATGTCACCTGAAAATAATGACACTTTCATTTCCTCCTTTCCAATTTGGTTGCCTTTTACTTTTCTTCTTGTCTGACCACTGTAGCCAGGACTTCCAGTCTTATGTTGAATAAGAGAAGTGAAAGTGGACATCCCTGTCTTGTCCCTAATCTTAAGGGAAATGTGTTTAGTTTTCTCCCATTGAGTATGATGTTGGGCAGCTGTGAAACAGAAGGAAGTTTTGCCTTTTGCAACAGCACGGATGGACCTGGAGGTTATTATGCTAAGAGAAATAAGCCAGTCAGAGAAAGGTAAGTACCATATGATCTCACTTATGTGTGGAATCTAATGAACAAAATAAATGATGGACAAAACAGAAACAGAGGCATAGATCCATGGAGCAGACGGACAACTGTCAGAGGGGAGAGAGATGGGGGACTGGATGAAAGGAGGTGAAGGGATTAACCAAAAACATACCCACATAACACATAGACACAGACAACAGTGTGGTGGTGGCCAGAAGGGAAGGGGAGGTTGGGCCTGGGTGGAGGTGGGCAACGCAGGGGAAACGGAGACGGAAAGAGACCTTGCCTGGGGCGGTGGCTGCACAGAGCCGTACACAATGGTGTTTTGCTGAGCTGTACACTTGAAACCTGTATGGTTTTGTGAACCAACGTCACCTCAATAAATTCAATAAAAACAACAAAATAAAAATTGTAGTAGGCAGAATTCTAAGGTGGCTTCAAAGGCTCCCCCTACCCGAGGAGGACGCACGCATCCTGTGTAATGCCCTCCCCTTGATTACCGGTGGCATCTGTAAATGCAGCGCGAAAGTCCTTTCCATGAGCAGGTTGCCTTATATGGCAAAGGTAAGGGGTTTTGCAATACCATTAAGGTTCTTAATCAGTTGATTCTGAGTTAGTCAAAAGGGAACCTGATGCTGGGCCTGATCTAACCAGGTGAGCCCTTTGAAAAAAAGAACCCCGGCCTTAAGGGAGAGATTCAACGTCTGAGAGACGCTCTTCTGCTGGCTTTGAAGAAGCAAACTGGCAGGTTGTGGAGAGGGGCCGCATGGCGGGGAGCAGTGGGCAGCTTCTCAAAGCTGCCGTTCTCAATCCTGCAGCTTCAGGGCTCTGAATTCTGCCAACAGCCCATCTAGGAAGCCAGTCTGGGAACCAATCTTGGAACTGGTCACAGTTGTACCCCCACTGATTTCTTGATTTCAGTCTTTTGAGATCATGAGCCAAGAACCCAGCTATGTCATGCCTGGATGTCTGATTTACAAAAACTGTAAGCTAACAGGTATTGACAAGTACTTATTGAACAACTATGATGTGCTAGGCATGGACTGCTCTAGATGCTTAAAATGTATTCACCAGGAAAGAGAGAAAGATGTCTGCTCTTGAGGAACTTACTTTCTAGAAGGAGAAGACAAAAAATAGAGAATAAATAAAATAAATTAAGCAAATTTATGGAAACGCAGGAAAAAGTAGGTCAATAAAAAGGGGAACTGAGAGTGAAGAGGGGTAGATGGCATAATTGAGAAGCTGAAATATGAACAAATATTTGGAGGGGACAGGGATTTAGGACACCCCATGCAACAGCATGACAGGCGGAGGGGACTGCTGAGGCCAATGTCATTAGGTGGGCGCATGCCCTGCACGTTGCTCAACAAGGATTAGGCCAGTGCAGCCAAGGCAGAGTGGGCAGGGACAGAACAATAGGAGATGGAGTAAGAGAGGGACAAGAGCCAGAAGAGGCAAAGCCAAGTTGGTTTCCTAAGGACTTCAGCTTTTCCCCTGATAACAGGCAGAGTTGTGGGGTGGGGTAGAGAGAGGCAGCCGTGCTCTGCCTGTGATCTGAGCCAGGGAAAGGGAGAAACAGGGAGCTATCAGGAGGCTTTTGCAGTCACCCAGCTGAAGTCAACTGTGGCCTGTTCCAGTGACAGCAATGGGGCTTGGGGGACTTGGTCTGACCCTGGACATAGAGGGCCCCGCCAATGTAACTCCTTCTTGAGTGTGATTGGTAGGGTAGTAATATGGGTGTAATAGTTTGTAGTTTTAGTTTGATCATTTTTACCTAAAATGTCATAGGGTGTGCTTGAGTGTGATATTGTGTTACAGAATTACATGCTTATGATTTTGCAATAAAAGAGTTGGTAATTAAAAAAAGGGGCGTTACTTGTGCCAGGCCCCGGTAGACCTGGTATTCTGTCTGCCAGGATTTCCCAAGGGATTAGATAGATATGACTCCTGGGGTTTTGGCCTAAGCAACTGAAAGGACAGAGTTGCCACTGGCTGAGTGGATAGAGCTTTAGGTGGCGATGGGAACGGTCAGGTAGCAGGGATGGGAAGTCAGGTACTTGGTTGTGGATGGGGCGAGAGGCAGATGTCTACTAGGACATGCGAGTGGGGATGCCACACAGGCAGTTGCACCTAGGAGTCTAACATTTGAAAGAGTTTTGGAGTGGAAATAGGCATTTAGGATTTGTTAGCAAGTGGTCAGTGCTTCATGCCATGAGCTCAGCTTCAACAAATACCTGTAGAGCCATGGAAGAATTTCACTTGGACAGAGCTCTGGAGAGAGATTAAGACAACACCTGTGAGTCTGAATATAGACAAATTCAATGGACTTTGCTTAGGAAACCCCTAAGGACTTTCCAATTCTGGAATAGCTTACGCAGAGGAATAGTTGCTCTGGGTGTCGAGTGGGCAGAGAGCTGGGAGGCCGGGACACAGCCTGCGGAACTGTGTCAGCTGTTGTGTGTTGTCAGCGTCAGGGGACAACGATGGGATTGCAACACAGACACGTCTCAGGGCTCCTTTTTTGGGTGTAGCTGGGCTTTTCATTCAGGGCCTGGACTCTGAGTCATCCAAGCTACTGGACAGGGGCCATGGCCTGTCCCCAAGGGACTCTGCTGGGTGTGGCTTGAGGTAGGCCCTGGGTCCTGGAAAGCACAGATGACAAAGCAGGGAAGCTGCAGGGACCTTAGACTGTAGCCCACACCTCCTCTCTGAGAGGATACAGAGGCCCCGGGAGGTGGAGGGACCTGCTCAAGGTCCTATGGTGAGTGAGTAGGGCTGAGAACAGAGCCCAAGGATCCTGACCCTCAGAAGTCTCTCCTCGCAGGGCACTGTTTTCTTCCTGATTTGGTCTTTTCTGTTTGCATTACAGCCAATGAAGTAAACTTGCCTAATGTTTCCTCTTTGCACCTCTTTCTTTAGTATGTTAACCATTAACCATTCTTTCACCACATGTAGGTGGCATGGTTAGTGTCTGTTCAGCTAACACCTACATGGCCAATCACCTGCTCTCCATGACAACTCCATTGGAGAGGGGATGGAATGGCACAGATAGGCTGAAGGTCCATGAAGCCCTCAGAACCTGTCAGCAGTGGAACCTGGGTTTTTAATCCTGGTTTAAGAGCACCGAGAATTACACAGAAGAGCACATTGGAGCCTGAGGCTGGGAGGGACGGGACCCCACTCCTTGCTCTTTTTCTGTCCTCTGGACATCACACGCAGGCACACGCAAGTGCACACACACACCTCTCAACCATCCTTTGCCCCATAACAGCACTTCTTTTTCAGGCTTCAGAGTCTTGCCTCTGCTGCTAACTTTGTCCCTTTCCTCCCTGTAACTTCTCAGCAGTTTGGGCAGCAACAAGTGGAGGCCGCTCTCTTCCTTGGGGCCATAGGCCCTTTCCTGCTTCACTGCCTCGTGGTCCAGGGGGCCGACCTGCACTGGCGCCTCCTGGCGCCCTGGGCGACCCACCGAAACGCTCTGCTCTCACCCAACATTCTGAAAGCTTCTGCCTAGAAAGGGAGGTGCTGTTCAGTCTGCTGGTTGCTTCCCAGGGTATGAAGAACCTGTTTATGTTGCCGCGGATTTGTTCACAAAGCCATATAGAGTCAGTCAGCCTCTCAGAGCTTTACAGGAGAGTGGATCTCAGTCTCCTGGCTTCACATTATAAAAAGCCAGCAACAGGGAACACAAAAAGCTGCCCCTCTGGCTTTGGCCTCCTGTCTCGGACGCTCAAGGTAATTCTTTGACCCTTTCTTCTCCTGCGGTCTGCTAGTGTGTAGCAGAGGTGTTCAAAATATGTGCATCCAAACGAAGAAAACTGCTCACTTGGAGGTTATCACTGGAGTCATGCTGAATTGTGCACTGCAGTTTTGGACTAATGGTTGGCTGGAAATGGAATGATCGATATGCAAAGTTTGCTGTGATGTCTACATCTACCATTCAACTCTTCTCATATCTTATTGAGTTTGGCTGTGTTATACATATTTTTATATTTTAAACATTTACACTGAAGTCAGAGTAGTTTTTAGATTTTAAGGTATTACTTTCTATTGTAGCTCCAGGAATAAAAGGTAAGAATAATGTTAACACTATTATTATTATCCACGTATTACCACTATCATTATAATACTATTGTTATAATATTATCGTCAATAATTACTACTGGTAATAATACTATTTTTGGTAATAATAAAAATGTGATGGGCCATGGCCAATACTGTAAGCAAACCCTTGGTATGTTGTACATGTTAGCCAAAGTCAAAAAGAAAGGAGCAAAAATGTATATTGGTAAAATGACGGTTTTTATCCTAAGCTTTCAGAATTGGAAGGACGCTTAGAGATGAACGTGGCAACATCCTCACTTAGGTGACCGATGAGAAGGCCTGAGAGGCCGTGGAACTTGCCCGAGACCAGGCAGAGAGGCAGCAGCAGGATCGTCAGCGCTGGGGCCTGCCTTCTCCCCCAGGGCTCCCCGGGGCTGCCGCCCAGGGGGTGCTGAAGTCTGTACTTTGGGGACGCAGCAAAGGAACTGGAGGGGAGCAGTGTGTCTAAAACAAATTACACGAGTGGAAGAAACAAAGAAATCGAGCAGTGTTGCAGGACTGAATTATTTCAAGATCTCAGTAGTTACCTCTATGAGATGCTCCTGCCTATTGAATGGCAGGGGTTCGAAAGGATTCTCTGGAATTTTTATATCTTCATCCCCCGTAAACCACAAGCCAGCCTACAAAAAATAAAGAATAAAGATGAAAATTATTCATGTATTAGGCTGAGATGTAATCGTTCCTTTAAAAGCCACAGAGATTGAACCCATCTGATGTAGGTAGGTGTCGAAGTAGGCTGAAGAAACCATGGGATGTAGGAGGAAATACTAGAACTAATGTTCATGTGAATTTGATTGGAATCTTTTACAATTTTTATTTAAAAAAATTTGATAATGTATTGGGTTCACCAAAAAGTTTATTTAGGTTTTTTTTTCTCCGTACAATGGCTCTAGTAGTGCTCAGTTGTCTAACTTGATTTGAAAAAATTTTTGTTAGATTGTATTGTGACAGTTGTCATATCAGTGTGCATTTAAAAAAAATTAAAACTGGTGAATTTGGTGCACCTATTTTAACACTGGAGATGGGAGAAAATATGCAACATTGTTGGAGTATTATGCTTTATTATTTCAAGGAAGGTAAAAACGCAAAAAAAGAAAAAAAAAGATTTGTGCAGCATATGGAGAAGGTGCTATGATCCATCATATGTTTCAAAAGTGGTTGGGGAAGTTTCTTAGTACTATTGTTATTTAGGCCAAATAATTCTTTGCTATGAGGCTGTCTTATGCATTGGAAGATGTTTAGCAGCACCCCTGGCCTCTATCCACTAGAAGCCAATAGTGGGAGGCAGCCAACATACTCAAAATATCCAAATCAGTAAAGTTATTGGTGAAAATGAAAAACGTGTCTTTTATTTTACAGAAAAAACTAAACAGACTCTTTGGCCAACCCAATATATAATGTATTGATGCAGTAGTACACACATAAAATGTATTAATGAAAATCCACGTATTTGGCATGCTAGTGGTATTTGAACTTGGAACATGGGATGAAGTTTCGAGGTCACTGCCCTAGGTTTCCCCTGCATGGCAGTATTTTGGAGAGGCCTGCACCCATGACAGCGACTCTCATGCCACATATCTGTCTGTCTTGCTGTCTGTCCTCAGAGCTGAGGGTGGTGCTGGTGCACATTGTTGTTGTTGGAAAATCTTTGTTGAGTGACTGACTGACCGACTCAAGAGCTCAAAGGCCTGCTTTTTAGTGACATCGCTTTTTCTCAGTCCCTATCTAACACCAATTATGAAATCCCTCGATTCCCCTTTGGCAATGCCTCATTCGGCTCTGTCCCGCTTTGTTCCCACACTGCCACACTGGTGAAGAGCCTCATTACTTCATTGCAGGCCACCCCAGTCACCTCAGAGCTGTGTTTGTTTCCAGTTGTCCTTTTATTTGTTTTAGTTTGTACCATGGAACCTTTGTACCATGGAGTCGTCTCAAAATTTTAATCTCGTCATGTCAGCTTCTGCTCAGGCCATTTCCTACTCTCACTCTTCCGTTCACATCACCCTCCTGCGTGAGGTGACTTTCTGTCCACTCATGTAAACTATACAGTCCTGGTTCAGATCACACCTCTGCCAGGAGGCCCTCCTTGATCTCTGCTATGAACATTAATTTGACTTGTTCATTCCCCTCACTTGGCATTTAGTTCATCCCGTTGGGTGTTGTCATTTGTGTCTGCTGTTGAAAATCAGTTATTAAATTCCTGGGGTTCAAAGAGTATATCTTATTAAGCTTAATTTTTATGCATAGTAAGCACTTCATCTACATGGTCACTCCCATGCCAGTTCTCACTCCCTTACCATCTTCCATAGTGACAACCTACTCTGAGCACTGTTACTCCATGAGCTGCCAGCTCACTGAACCTGACTCTGGTTACTGGTCTATGCCTTCTTTCCTTCTAAGAATCACCTGTGATTTGAAAGAAGGCCACAGTGACATTGGGTAGCTGGCAAGGTGATACAGCCCCCAGAAATGAGGACTGAGTTTTATTTTCATTTGGAACGAAGGAATGCTGGGCTGGGAGATGCTGGCTATGTGAAAGCCTATGAGGAAGAAGACTCAGAAGCAGCTAAAGTTCCAGTGTGGGCCTCAGCTTTGGATGTAAGTGCTTTTGCACTGATCAGGAGGGGACCTCGGCCCAGTGACTAATCTGGAGGGTAGGTACCACTTTCTGAGAGAATAGAAAGGTGAGGAGAACAGGTAAGATCTATGTCTTAGAAGGTAAAAGAGTAACAGAAGTCAGAATTACCTTCCTGCCTTCACTAACAAGAAAAATGGACAACATATCTGATTCATGTGTTTTCAGACATCAGACAACAGACAACACAGTGCAGTAGTTGCTGACAGAAGGAAAGCAGAAGGGAATGCACTCTACTGCTCCAGCCTGGAGGGAATTTCTGGGCAACAGTGCTAGGAGAGGTATCCAGGTGGCGCCTGGCAGTCTGGCTGAGTTGATGAGACAGATTTGGGAGTTGAAGGAGGCCAAGATGGGTAGAACTTTCAGGGCATAATATGAGAGAGAGAGAAGAGAGAAGGGAGATGGGAGAAGGGAGAAGGGAGAAGACAGAAAGGCCTTGAGATCTGCAGAGGGATCTCCTAACATCTCAGTGAAGAGCCAATCTGTGGATATGTGTGTGTAAAATACCAGAAGTTGGGGAAAGAACCACAGTAACGGAGTAGGCTGACCAATTCCCGAGACACACACAGGGCTGGGGAGAGCTCACGCTGCCCCCAGGCAGAGTGAGAGGGCCTCCTGATATGTAAGGCACTGGGTAGATACTGCCATGGGGATTGGGCCAGATTAGCCCAACACTAAAGGCTGCTCCGGACCCACACTTACAAACCAATTTTTCTTTTTTTCAACTAATATAAATAACAAATGAATTCAGCAAAGAGACAAGATACAAAATCAACACATAAAAATTAGTGTCATTTCTGTAGACTAACAATGAATAATCTAAAAAAGGAAATTAGGAAAACATTTACATTTGCAATAGCGCCAAAAAGAATAAAATACTTAGGTATTAACTTAACCAAAGAAGTGAGAAACTTGTACAGTAAAAGGTAGAAAACATTGCTTACAGAAAGTAAAATAGACTTAACTAAATGGAAAGACCTTCTGTGTTTCTGGAATGGAAGACAACAATGTTCACATGCAGATAGTACCCAAAGTGATCTGCAGAGTCAGTGCAACTCCTATCAAAATCCCAAAGACATTTTTTGCAGAAATAAAAAACCCCATCCTAATACTCATATGGAATTTTAAGAGACACCAAATAGGCAAAACAATCCTGAAAAAAATGAACAAAGCTGAGGGACTCACGGTTCCTTATTTCAAAACTTACTACAAAGCTACCGTTATTAAAACAGTGTGATACTGACATACAGATAGACATAGAGACCAATGGAATAGAACAGAGAGCCCCGAAATTAACCCTCGCACATATAGTCTAATGATTTTTGACACATCCTTACAAACCTTAATGTAACCTTGAAATAATAAAACTGATTCCAAATAACATCACTGCATGTCTGACAATATTTAAAATATACACAACTGGGCACCCAACAATATAAAACTCACAATATCTGGCATCCAATATAAAGTTACTAAGCATGCAAAAAAAGCCAAAAAAATATGACCCATAGCTGAGAGAAACAGCAATCAATAGAAGTGAACACAGATGATAGAATGAACAGAAAAGGTTATATTTACTTAGCTATTCTGAATATATTACCTTGTTCAAGAACATGAAGGGAAAACATGCACACAATGAGAAAGAAATGAAAGATGTTAAATTAAGCCAACTTGAACTCCTAGGGATAAAAAATGCATACCTGAAGTGAAAAATACGCTGGGTGATGTTAATAGCAGATTCAGCTCTGCAAAGGAAATAATCAGCGAACTTGAAGATGGAGAAATAGAATTGAATATAAAATAAAGTAAAGAGAAAAAAAAAGCCTGGAGAAAATGAGCTAAGCATCAGTGACCTGTAGGACAATAAACATATGACTGGATTTTGAGAAGGCAGAAGATACAGAAAAAGTATTTGGAAAAAAATATCCTGAAAAATTTCCAAATTAAACAAAACCTAAAAACCTAAAAACCTACAGTTGCAAGAGGCTCAGTGAAGCCCAAGCAGAAAAAACTACACCGAGGAACATAATAATCAAATTGCTGGAAACCAGGAATAGAGAGGTAATGATAAAAGAAGCCAGAGGAAAAGAAAGAAACAGAGACAGGATTTTTACCCTTCCCTCCAGCGCTCAACCACTCTCAATTCCAGAAGTTTCAATGCACAGAAATCTTCCCTGATTCTTAAAGCCAATGGCTCTTTCACATCAGTTTTTTAAAAGTTTATTTTATTTCATAAACTAGAAAATTGTTTCAAACTGTTTCACATGCGGGGGGCCACATTAAAAAGGAAAAAAATAACCGAATTGGAAAACAACTTAAAGGTTTTTAAAAAGACATCCATGAAAAGTTTTACAGTATGAAATGGTAAACCTGAACCAGTACAGTAGGGTTTAAATTGATAAAGCAAGGCTCATTCCACCACATCCTGCCTCATTGGGTAGTTAGGCAATTTCTCCTGAAAATATGGAAATGTCCTTAGGAGGCTCTTGCTGAAATATGGCCAAAGAATTTTTTCTCTTCCTTAGAAAATGAGCACTGCACTGTTTGAATCCTAGAACATCTGACTCATTGAGCCTATGATAAGCTGCATTTTCACCGATAGAAGATGAGTCGAGAGTTGAACATCAAAGAATCCTCCTTGAGTGTGACTAAACATGCACGCAGCACAGAGGCAGCCTACAGCAGCTGCAGAAGGGATGGGAGCGGGGCACGTGGGCTTCTATGCTCGCGTGGCTTAGATGAAGCATGCAGACAGGCTGACTTCACAGACCTTGCATCTCATTCCATTTTAGAAGCTGGGGAAATCAGCCCACTCTTATGTGGCTGTTGTGGTGAACTTGCAATTAGTCAAAAAAAAAAAAAAAAAGTAAGAAAGAAAGAAAAAAGACAAAATAAAAAGAGTAAAGAGCCTTTTTCTCCCAGAAAACTTTATCTCGGCAATGCAGTTATACTATTTTACTGTTCTAATGTGGCATTTTCAATAAATCTTAGAAAATGTTGCCCTAGGAGCTCTTTTGACGTTTTCTATAAAATGACTTTTTTTCTTTTTGGTGAGCTCATGAGTGTTGGGAATCTGTGAAAATCATGATGCGGGATGGCCAAGTGCGCCTCTCCAAATGCCCTCCTGGTCCTGTGGTCCCGAGGAGTGGGAAGTGCGGGGAACTGCGGGAAAGAGGAGAGGGCAGAGCTCAGAAATCACCTGCTCCCAAAACACAGGCAGTGCCCAAGGAAGTGTTTCTGAGCCTCTTTTAAATGCAGCAGCCAGCTTTCTCTAAGAAAGTCACACCTTTGGTAAAGGAACTTTCTGGTTTTGGTTCAGCAGTTTGGTAAAAAAACACTAACACCCTTTGTTTCGTGTTTGTGAAAAAGGATGTTTAAATCGATATCCTGTGTTAATTGGCACATACTGTTAATAGTGGAGGCTGGTAAATACACAATGCCCACTGTTTAAAGCCTCAAGCCAATGATAAAAATAGAGTAAGTTTTGCTTTGCTGTTTTTGTTTTTAAACAAAATCATCTTTAAAAGTTGTAAGTTTAGGAAAGTGATAAAATTCATAAATTGCCCCTCTTGGGAGATAAATCAGAGCCTAATCAGCTGAGCATCTTTTCTTAACATGTAAATGCTATTTCCTCTGGCTCAGCTGTGTGAGCCTGAGGACCTCAGGGCTGTTGATAAGCACTCCATCCAGTACTTACGGAAGGAAAGAGATGCAGGAGGGGCATGATCTTTCAGAGGTGGCCTACCTTCGAGATAGGGGCACCTAGAGGGTATCACCCTGTTTCATACATGCGTCCGTCTTTTGTGTCTACCAGCAATGTAAAACGGTGGGCAAGAGGATGCTTTCAATTAATAGACACAAAATCAGCAATGCAGGCCCTTCCTAGTGAGGGGATTTCACGCTCACTCCTTCCTTACTCAAACTTCTCAAAAGTGAGTTGGCTTTTCTTATCTTCACTCCCTAAAGACCTCATCGTTTCCTCGGTCCTCTGCAGTCTGGAATCTGTTCTCTACCAGGATTGCTTCAGTAAAGGTCACCAGCTACACTCTATTTACTTCTTAGGCCAAAAACAGTCTGGTAGTAGGGCCCCGAGGTGTTGTTAGCAACCTGTGTGTACTGCTTGAAGGTGATGTTGCCCGATTGCTCCTTATCCACAGCCTTGAACCTCCTCAGGGTCTCAAGGAGCTCCTCCTCCAGGGGGATGGGCCAAGGCAGCGAGGCCACTAGCAAGAACTTCCGCCAGTCCACGAAATCCGAATTCACTGTTAGTAAAGCCGTTAGCTCCTGCAGCTGGGAGAAAACAGGAAATGCCATTAGAATGTTTGCAGGACTCTGTCTAGAAGCTCCGTTGCTCACGTTTCTCAGCAAGAGATTCAGATGAAGAAAGCAGGATTTCAGATGGGAGATTAGAGCTGGTTGTGACTTATGTTCCCTCTAGTTCTACCAGCCACTCTACACCAGGAAGCCCCTAGAATGCATTTCACTTTTGCCTCTTTGACACTTGTGTGCGCTCACTGCTCGCACAATGAATTGACACATGTGTCTCTAGTTGACTTTGCACCTTGTCAACAGGGGAGGAGGGATAAGAGACAGCGGTGGTTGTGCAAGGGCTCCACAGCCCCGCCCGTAGGGAAATACCCTTTAACCATTTTGTTTTCTGAAACATTCTTAACGAAACAGGGTATGATGAAAAGCAAGAACTGCCAGAATCTTCTGCTTTTACTACTAGGATCAGTCCATCAGGCAACAATAGACACAAACCCCTGGGTTGAGCCTCACGGCCTCTGCAATGTTCCATGGATTGAAAGCATCCTCACTCATTCTTCAAATACTGAGCATGCGTCTTAAGTTAAAGGTCATTTGTTCCATCATTCCATTTTTATTGGTTGACCACTAAATGTCAGCTACTGCGCAAGTACTGGTTATTCTAAAACTATTGACTTACTGATCGAATAAAAATTCTCAAAGCTTTGAAACCCAAACAAAATTGACACTTACTTCAGGTCGAGTGAGGTGCATCCAACTACTAGGAAGGTTGTTTGTCCCGAGGTTCAGGGTTACCAAGTCAAGAAGAATGTCAGTGAATGCTTTATTTCCTATTATGCCTATAATACAATGAAAACTATCTTTCAATTACATGACAGGGAATCATGTTATTAATATTATTTAAAAGAGTAATCCTTAGGGAAGCAGAAGACATTTGGAAAATATGAAAACAATAATCAATTTCCTGATGCCCTTTCATTATTTTTTCTCAGCTATATCAAAATGTCTTTTTTAGCTGAGTAATAAGTTATTATAGATTGGGCAAATTACTGAGACTTCATATTTTAGTTTAGAGTCTTTTTTGACCTTTTACTCAGAGTCAGTTGAATTTTAAAAAATACTGTAAGATTTCCTATTATACAGTAGGGCACAAGACTAAAATATTTTGGTAAACATAAGATAAAGGTGTCTCAAAAGCATGAAAATTACTAGAGTGATCAAGGTAACACATTTATCCTCATTTTACTCTTTAGATCAGAATATATTTGTTTTTATAGATGTAGGGAGATTTGAATTGTTTAATTATTGGATTGGAAGTTAATTTAATCACACAATTGGCTCACTATTCCAAAGTATTCTATAAAAGATTACTAACCTTTAAATGTTTTACTTACATACTAATGTATTTTACCTTGTCCAACAGAGATATCTGCTTAGCCTGTTTCTCATTTCAAATTGCATGCACATGTATTTAAACAGAAATAGGAAAGCAAAATAAATGAATCTGCTTTAAAAATGTCTAACTCTCAGAGCAGAGGTACCTTGAGCCAGAAGAGACTCCTATGTGTATCGAGTATCTTTCAGGTCCAGAATATAGGGTTATTCTTCTTTGTTTAGAAATACAGAAAGTGAAAAACATAGATGTATCATCTCAAATAATTCTTTTTACATCTAAATTTTTAGCATTTATAAAAACCCAAAATAAACTTTGTCATTTTCTCTAACCTTTAGGAACATGCAATAATCCTTTAAAAATTTTAGTGGTTTAAGCCAAACCAAATATACAATTTTGAGACTTGGAAGGTAATTTTCTGGGTAGTAAGAGCAGAATGTTTCTTTCTTTGATAAGACTGGCCATGCAGAAGGTTGTTCACATATAAATCCTTTACCTTTTTTTTTTTTTTAATCGAACTTGAGTCTTCAGTTTTATAGAAATGAGAATACTTCCCCACGTAGTAGAATTTTCAGATAAATTAGAAATAAATCATTCATGTTCCTCAATGTGAAACCATAAACAAACTCTTTTGAAACCATGAAGAGGCTGAAAGTATTTAAAAATTCTGGTCAATTTGTAAAATATTTCCATTGTCTCTAATAACCATGGTACAAGTGAAGTGTTGTAAAACAATATTTTCAGTTACATAGGAGTTGTTTACCTGGGAGCATTAGTGTGAAATGCAAAAACTGTTTTAATATTTGACCTGTTACTTGAATAAGGCATATAGTGATATGGTCTTTACATATAACTCTCAGAAAGATGACATCAAAATAACACAATTTCTTAGAAATATATACTTCTAACCCAAAGACTGTGAAAGAACATGTGCATGTAAAAGTAGAATTAGAAAGTTACTGGAAAACCCATTTTTGGAGTTTTGCTTTGTATGTCTGGAAGATACCAAATGGCATTTGTGCTTGATGTGAAGACTGGTGACGGTTTTACCTTTAACTTTCAGGCTTTTGGAATTTTTTTTTTTTTTTGCTTGTTCCTGCTATGATCAATGATGAAGTCAGCATCTGTCATATTACTAATCACTTTCATAATGGCTTTCTGAGTTTGATGAGCAATCTGAATTAGATCTTGTGTCACTGGTTGAAGATGATGTTCTTGTACTCCACAAATGGATAGCTTTTCTGGGTTCGAAGTTGTTAATGTCTGGAGAACTCAGCTGAACGGTCAGGAGATCCGACATGCTCTCAGCCTTCACCTTGGCATGCGTTTGTGACTTCGTGAGTTGCATCTGCCTGAAACCCCGCCCCATCTCCACTGAACTTGCAGGGAGGGTCAGCACGAGGTCCACTAGAGTCAGGATATTTGGATACTTGTGTAAACAAACTGAATTCACAAAATCCCAGGTCAGTTCGCGGATGTTCTGAAATCTAGGAGGGAAAGTGAAAAATGTAAAAGATCGAGACTCCCAAGTTTTACCCAATATTTATAAATGCCAACTAGTGTACTGATGCTTACCTGTCATAAATCTCTGATTTCAACATGCTCCACTCAGTGGCCACTGCATCAATTTGCACATTGGCAGCTTCCAAGACTGGTTTATAATGTGCGGTCAGGATGGACACCTCTTTTTCTCCAAAATCTGTCATCAGTATACAAAAGAATAGTCACGTATATTTAAAACACAACAAAACAAACAAACAAAAATGTGAAGAACTCAGAGTCAGTGCATATAGGTTACCTTGATTCTTCTTTGTGGGCCACAGTTTAAAGCTTCCAATCACAGTTGCCTTCACCACATCTTGGCTGGCATCTCTGAAGCAGGCTTGCAGCCTCTTGATGAGATGTGTTAAAACCATGTTTCTCACATCAGAAATGTTTCCCTTTTCTTTGAGGCAGTTACCATGAAAGCGTGTGACTGAATCCACCCTATGTTCTTCGGGGCCTGGTCTGGAGAGGAACAAAATCCCCCCAAATAAGGCCTTCAGTGAAAAGGCACCTGAAAAATGATCTCCCAAGTCCCTCAGTTCATCCCTGGCTCCTCACCTCATTTGATACATGTGGAGCATTTCCAGTGTTGACTCTAAGGTAGCAAATACATCTGCAATTGAAGAATTTCTGTTTCGGCTGACATGGGACAGAATGCTGAGCACACGAATGACGTCCACCAGGAAATGAACAAATTTAACAATGTCTGCCCGGAGAAGGACCTCTAGAAGTTCTTTGGCTTTCTGATGACTGGCGTCACTTCTGCCTTCGCCTGTCTGTAACACAGGTTGGGAATAAAATAGTGGTCTACCTTCTTTGACATTATTATTTTGAATTGCTCAACAAAAATATTTTCTATTATTCTGAAAAACTAAAATAGGGTTGTGTCTCAAAGTTACTTACTGAACGCAGTTGCTGGACAATGGCGGGGTATCCCTTGAGGAGGTTCTGGAGGGCTGCCTGTAGTCCCTGAAGCCACCTCTGGTCTCCTGCCTGCGTGGGCATGACAGGGCGCAGGTGCAGGCCCCTGAAAACATCTATGAGAGAACGCGTACGGAGAGGCGACCTGTGATAGAAGTGGTAGACGCCGTGAAGGAGGCCTCTGACATCGTTGTACAGGGGAATGCTCTGGAACACCACCCTGTACAACAGTTCAAGGTGATGTGCGAAGCAATACACAGTCAGCACACGTGGCTGGATTTCTCTTAACAGCAGGGCCACGCCTCTGCTTTCTCCCTCTGAGCCAGGGGCACCGTCCCTTCCAAAGCCAACCAGTTTCTCCGCCCAGTCTTGGTCCGACAGTCTAAGTTGAAGGTTTCTCTCTAGAGTTTTCTCAATGGCAATTTTGATAGACAGAGGGTCCTTCTTTTCCACTGTCTGTACCCCAGCAAGTTGGTAATGCACTTTCCCTGTGTGTGCAAACTGCACATAGACGAGTTCAGTGTCCTCTGTTGAACCAGCTGAGAGCCCATTGCTGATGACAGAGAAAAAGGGACTTTTCTCCAGTTTGCCCCTCAGATTTCTCCGTTCCACTTCAGCAATAAAATATGTAAAGGTTCTTGCTGATTTGTTAGTTCTGAATACGGGGCCAATATCAACACCCTTCATATCATCCAACTTGCACATCCAGATAAAATCTCTGAAGGGACGTCCAGCCTTGGCGATAGCATGGCATGACCTGAACAAGTTCTCGACTCTCGCAAGGGTGACTTTGCTCAGGGTCCTCACTGTCAGCTTCGAGGAGGCTCTGTTCACTGGAGAACCCTTCGCTGCTTCCATCAGTGAAGCCTGGGTGTGCGCTTCACTGAGATGATGCGCATTGAGAAATGCAGCGCTGAAGTGGTCAGTGCCGTAAGAGAGACTCACTTGACTCCCCCTTGACTTCACTCCGTGCTTGCGACACAGGCCACAGAACATAAGATTTGGTATCTCATCATATACAAGCCATGGGTATTTTTTCAGCCAGATTTTCAAAAATTGGTTGTTCCTCTTTGGGAGGTAATGGTCAAGCGAATGTGATTTTCTCTGCTTTTCGGTGACTTGACTCCCATGGCATGGAGGATCCCTGTCTTTAAAATAACTCCACACTGTTACTTTAAGTACTCACCAATGTCGACCCTCAGTTTCGTTTGATGTCTGCTCCCCCACATTTGCTAATAATTTCTGGTAAAATTCACAGCAAGTGCTTACGACTTACCAGGCATTCTGCTTAGTGTTTTCAATGGTTTATGTAATTAAATCCCTACCCAACAGTGTCCGTACTTTATGGTGAATAAAATGGACCGATTACTATTATCACCATTTTATGGGTAAAAAAACCTAGGTCACAGAGAGGTTAATTAATTTGCCCAGTGCTACAGGGCTCATAAGTGGTAGAGTCGGGGTTCACTCGCAGGCATCGTACCCCATAGCCCCCATGTTTATCCACTTCCTTATTATGGGTTGCTCATAAGGGCAAAGGGGGCTATGGTCTTCTCCACTCTAGAGTCCATTTCTCTGTGCATTCCAGGGATGTGGTTTTTGCTGCTATTCCCTTCCCAAAGTGAGATAAAAGCACAACAGGGCATGCACAGCAGGGTGTCTGCAAGGTTCCCCTCGAGGGCTCTTCCCTCCACGCCAGGCCCACCTCCTCTGGCAGCTGGAGAGCCAGCTTGGTACAGAAAGGGCCAGGCTGCGAGGCCCACCCTAGCGGTTTGTAGAGCAGCTGCGCTTCATGCTTCCTGTTCTCTTTTCCCCCAAAGGCCTAAATTGTGACATTTGGTTATTTGTCAGAGAGGGGACTGTGTGCTTATCTGGATGGAAGGAGAAAAAATGAGAATTACACAAAACCAAGTCCTACAATACCTGTTTCCCTCTGAAAGCAAAGAGTGTAGAACATATACCAATCTCCTTCCCATAACGTCGGTGACACTCTTGGCCATTCTATTGTCTCACTTTGTAGTGCCGCGAGAAGCTGGAATGTGTGCGTGTGTGGTGTTGCATTAAAATCCCCCCTGTGGACACACCTTCAGGGCATCATTTCATCTCACTGCTTAGGGTCCTTGGCTTTGACTCCGCAACTAGATTTTAAACTTTTCTGACAGGAACAATTGCCTCATGTGTGTGTCTACCATGTCTGGAGGAGCGCCAAGCACTTGGTAGGTATTTAAGAAGAAATCTTTCTTAATTGATTTTCTTGATCTCATATCTCTAATGTCTTTTCACTGAAAACCTTTGACATTAGTCAATCTGCCTCTGCCTTTCTGACCCTATTTGCATCTAACTTCCATTTTGCCTGTTACTCAGTTGTTTTGTAGTTGTTGTTGTTAAAACAGGACCCTTTCTCCCCCCCCCCAAATCCTAACTATTACTCTTTTCATTTAAAATGAGTCCCCTTCCTTGTAGTTGACACCTGCTGCCTTGGGTGTCTCACCTACGCATTGGCTTACTTGTCCCCACAGAGGCCCTCAGCACCAGGGGCTGCTGGTCCTGCACACATGAGTGTTGGTGAAGACACGAGTGAATGAATGAATGAAAAAAAGAAATCTCTTGCTGCTAAAGGAAAGGGCTTGAACTTTCACTAATGACTTAGTTGGCTTCAATATTTTTAGTTTTGTGGACAGATTCTTCAGAAGGTGTTATCTTGAATTCTGAGCACATAAATTCATTTGCCCTACGTAAATTCTCTGGTTTCTTGAGATTATGTTTCTTCCTGAAGAGTCACCTGAACCTCTGCCCACGGTTTTACCGGGTCCAAAGGCTTCTAGAGTTACTAATGCATTTCCGTGATATGAATCTGATCTGGCGGAAGGAGTTCACCCACAGAGGGAGTCATAGGGCATAGTGGGCCCACACTCCTTCTTGCTATGATCCTTCGATTCTGCCACCTGACGAGATACTTCTGTTAATAAATAACATCAATTCTCCTTTTATCACATCTTTCTAAAAAATCTTTCCCTATTTCTTGGTTTGGGTAAATGTGAGACGATGTTAATCACTTTTCAAGTCAAAATATGGGGCTTAATTACCTGCAAATATATAATACCATAATTTTATAATTTTTCTCAGAGACACCGAGCCTTGAAAAAGCCACAGAAATTTCTAGTTACTCCTTACAAACAACAAGCCTGGTGCCCTTCCTCCTGCCTCTCAGTTACTGAGGCTTTGTAGCTAGAGTAGCATCTGCTGCTCTCTCTTAGTCTCCTTCTCTCTCTAATCCATTCTCCCCATCCCTTGGCTCTAAACACCTTTCATAACCCTCTCTTGCGTGTCCTTTGTAAGCCACTTGAGACTTTGCAACTTGACCACAACCTCTTTGTGGTCTTCACCTCCTGCCTCTTGCCCCAGCAGCTGTTTGCTGTTCCCTAAATATGTCATGCCACCAATACCGATGTCTACCCCATTTCCCCTGTGCCTGTAATACCCTGCTCCTGCTTCTTTCTCTTCCTGGAGGTGTCTGTCCAGATCCTACAAGGTAACCCCTATGCTGATCCAGACAGATAGCAATAACTACTTTGTCCTTTGAATTCTGTAAAAACCATGTAGCTGAATGGTCTAGTGTAGCCACTATGTCCTAGAGATCTGCAACTGTGCCCACTGTCTCTGAGACCAGTCACTGATCCTAAGCGTCCCCGAGAGGGGGCTGTTGGAGAGCCCCTTGTCAGTTTTTCAAAAAATGTTACAGGCCTTGAACAACTACATACTGCCTCTCTTGAAGAGGGAAGGAGGTCACAGAATTTGCTGGACTGTATTCTCTCCAGATAGCTTCTCAACAGAAGCCCAGATAGCTATGAACTAACTGCATCCCTACAGGCATTGTGTGGAGTACTGGCATGCTTATAAGAAAAAAGGAGTCCTCACGGTTTAAGTGGGGACAGAGGAACATCGCTAAAGTATTCTAATCTCTACAGACTCCAAATTGCTTCCTTGAAGAAGGGCCATCTTCCTGATGCACTTGGCACTTGATGTTTGGAGACAAGACATACCTACCCAGGGCTTACAAAATGAGTGTTTTCGTTTGGGAAGTATGGGACTGTTTAATTCTACCAGGTGATATATTTTTTTCTGGAAGTGTTCTGGGGTAATACTGTAAGTGCTATTAGGGTACATGTGCCTTCAGGATGCTGAGTGAACATTTTGGATAAGTATTAGAATAGTTTGCAGCAATATTGTATAATGCTATATATTTTCTAGTAATATATTACTGTTTTTATGGAACCATGTAGTAATGGCTTATATTACACTTGAATTGTACATTTTATGTACCAGACATTTTCTAAGCCCTTTATGTATATTGTTACTTTAATGCTCATAACAACTCCATTAGTTACTCCATTTTACAGATGAAGATAGTGAAATAGAGAGGTTAAATAACTTGCCCAAGATCATACTGCAGGCATTTGACAAGAGGTAGATTTGAAAAGAGCTGCCTGACTCTTCTTACCCATGGATGAGTCTTCTTACCCATCCAGCCATGGGTAAGGAGTGAATTAACATGGAAATGCTAGCATGGGGTTTAACACATACTTTCTGATGCTATGCCAGGATTGACTATTGTTATAATTCAAAAAAGACTCTCTAAATGTCTTTTCTGCTGAGAGGATGCCTGTGGGAATGATTTTTGAGATAACAGATGGAACAAATGTCTTTCTGGTTCAGTGGTTGCCTCTTATTTAAGCTGCTTTTAAGGTTCTAAAGTATGAATTTTCACTACATAGCAAAAAAAAAAAGCTAGCACAAGTTGTTTCACTGTATTTTGCATGACCTTGTATGATTATTACACACAAAGTCATTTTTTTCCCAGCATATTTGGAACAATCATATCAAGAAATGGTATTTTATGTCTAATTATACCTTTACCAAAGGAGATTTAGAATCATCACAAGCACAAGAATTTGACCAGGAGAGAAATGTTGAATATAAGGATTACAAGATATGATACCTTTTCAATTTTACATTTTATTTCATAAGAACTATTTTAATGTAGACTTTTAATTTTCAAGTAGATTGGCTAATACTCAGCCGAAAACTCCTTAAGCTTTAGTTCTTGCCATTTATGTCCTGACTACAGTTGAGTTAATGACACAGAAAAGGGTTTAGACTGCTTGCCCATAGACCATAACTCATTTTGAACCATCAAGATCCCCAAGCCTCACAGGACTATATATAACCTTGGAACTTCTGCACTATTGGCAAATGACACTCTTAAACCTGGGTTACATCCCCAGCCTGGGTGGGTGGAGGTGGTTTCCCGACAGAGGTGCCTCCCCATCTTTTACCTGCAGATTATGTGGATGGGGAAGGAGAAGCAGAGCAGGGTCCTGACCTTTCCTGGAACACAGAACTCATGCCTCACATCTGTATGTTTCCTGGTAGCCATGCCCTAACTTTAAACGTCCTCTGTGTCCTTGCCATCAAATCCCTCTTTACCTCTTTCAGTTCTTCCCTCCAAAGTGTTGTCCCACAAAATTTTCCCTGACCAACCTCACTGCCCATGGATTCTCCTTAGCTTTGCATTCTTGAGCACTTCTGTAAAGTTCACATTCTGTTCCAGGAAGAGCTTAAATAGATGCTCAGATTTTCTTCTGTTTTTGCTTGCCTTTTCAAATTTTACTCGAAGTCCCCAGGGCAAGTGGTTTTCCTTTTACATCTACTTTGTTAAAAATATGACTGTCTTCCTCCTTCTCTACATCCCTTCTTCCCTGTCTTTCTCCCCCTTCCTTCCTCTTTCTACCATACTTGAAAGCTGTCGCATTCTGTCTTACCCTGAAAATAAGATAAATGTATCAGTTGACCTCTTTTAGTCCCAAGGGTCTCTAGAGTTCTCTTCTAAGGCATACACATGTCAAGTTATAGCTGATTTTTACTATTTATTTTTAAACTTTTAGCTGAATTATAAACTCTGGTTCTGGGGTTGGATCCAAGAATGTATTATGTTTATCATCATGACTACTATGGCCCCTACTGAAAGGGATTAAAAGTGGTTGATAATTTTCAAAATCCACTTCCACAAACTCCTAATCCCAATACGAAACTTAATTTAGAAGCACGCACAAAGGCTGCCTCTCATTGCCAGATGCACTCCTGCTCGTATTGACCAGCTTGCTGGTCGGGGGGGATGGGAGGCGGGGGAGGAGCGTTCCCAGGAACGAGGATCGCCCACGTTCTTCTCCTGTTTGTTTAAGTCAGATCTCGGTTGTAGGAAGCGAGTACAAAATAAACTGGAAGGCAAGGGCTCACTTCAGGGCCCTGCCATCCCCGAGGGCTGATTTTATTTGTGGGCTGGTGATTGCCCTCCTGCTGAATCTTAACATTTCTGGGGCCTCTTTTCATAATAATTGTTTTCCTTACCTTTAGGTGCTATTTCTAAGAACTGATCTCGGAAACTGTCAAGCTGCTCAATGGTCAGGGTGCCATTTTCTTCCTTCTCCACAGGCAGAGGGCGTATTGGAGGAGGGGGATCTGGAAAGACTTTTATATCACCATTAATGAAGAAGTCTTCCTGGTCTAAATAGAGTTCATTCTGGATTTTTGTAGATGTTTCAATGTGATAGCGAGCAACCTCAGTTAACTTTTCTACACTGAAAGTGGAAAAATGAAGAGGGTTATCCCCACTGAAGATATTATTAGATTAACACCGTTTGCTTATTAGATATATACACAAAGTTAAAATATTATATGCCTAAGTTAGACAATTCAGTCTGCATATTTAAAAATTCTACTTGCTTCTCAAATCTATTTATAAAAAGGCAGGGCATAAATAAATAAATGTACATTAGAATCAAAACACATGCTTGTTATAGAGCTAATAGTCACACATTTTAGACAAAGCTAAACAAGAAGATAGTTCCTTAAATATGGTTATATTTATATTAGAACATATTTTACTACATAAGCAAGATTATGTCAAGAGATATGCAGGGTCCAGCAGAAGTAACACCTGCTTGAGTGTGGTTGGTAGGATAATAATATGGGTGTAATAATTTATAGTTTTAATTTGAACATTTCACTTAAAAGGTCATACGGTGTGCTTGAGTGTTATATCATTATGTTACAGAATTACATACTTATGATTTTGTAATAAAACATTTTGTAATAAAAGGGGTGTTATTTGTGCTGGACCCTGTATGTTATTCTAATTAAGAACCAGAATTTGGTTATATTCCTGAAAAAAACCCTGTAATATATGACTGTTAGAATATAACCAGCAGCACTGAAAGAAAAAAAGAAACCAACAGAATCAAGAGGAGTGGGTAGGAGGGAAGGGAAAGGAAGGGTCAAGTCAAGGAACATGTATAAAGGACCCATGGACAAAGCTGAAAGTGGGAAAGGATTGAGGGAGGGAGGTGGGGGAGGGGGGCAGGGGAAAGTGGTGGCAGGAAGGTGGAGACAAATGTATTTGAACATTAAAAAAACACACAAAAAACCCAAAACCCTAAATGAACTTTTAGTCCAACCCGATAAAAATAGAACTACCATATGATCCAAAAATTGAACTTCTGGAGACTTACCCACAGAAAACAAAAACAGTGATATGAAAAGATATATGCACTGTAATGTTTTCTTCAGCATTATTTACAATAGATAAGATATGGAAATAACCTAAATGTCCATCAATGCATGATTTAATTAAGAAAATACACACTGGAATATTATTTAGCCATAAAAGAACACTGACATCTTGCCATTTGCAACAGCATGGATAGACTTTGAAGGCATTATGTTTATGTTAAGTGAAATAAATCAGGCAGGAAAAGGTGAATACCATGTGATCTCACTTATATGTGGATTCTAAAAAAACCCAAACAACCCCTCCACTGAACAAATAAAAAATCCCTGAGCTCGTGGATATAGCATGGTGACTATAATTAATAATATAATATTGCATATTTTAAAGTAGCTAGGAGAGTGGATCTGTATGGTTCTCATTACAAAAAAAATAAAATGTTAAATTATGTATGGTGACATGTTAAGTGGACTATTGTGGGGACCGTTTTGCAATACATACAAGTAACAAATCATTGTTATACACCTGAAATGAATATAATGTTATGTTATATGTCAATTAAATCTCAATTTAAAGAAAAAAGAATAACACATTTATTTGGAACCAGGGCACATTATGAAATGAATCAACTTATACAAGTACATACAAATTTAGTATAAGCAGCAGTAGGCAGGGACCACAGTGCACCGTGGACAGGCCCCGGACACTGAACTCTGGCTCAGGACACTCTCTAGCTGTAGGCCCTTGGGAATGCTACCTGAGTCCTCTGAATATTCATAATTTAACATTTTATTTTTTTTGTAATGAGAACCATACAGATCCACTCTCCTAGCTACTTTAAAATATGCAATATTATATTATTAATTATAGTCACCATGCTATATCCACGAGCTCAGGGATTTTTTATTTGTTCAGTGGAGGGGTTGTTTGGGTTTTTTTAGAATCCACATATAAGTGAGATCACATGGTATTCACCTTTTCCTGCCTGATTTATTTCACTTAACATAAACATAATGCCTTCAAAGTCTATCCATGCTGTTGCAAATGGCAAGATGTCAGTGTTCTTTTATGGCTAAATAATATTCCAGTGTGTATTTTCTTAATTAAATCATGCATTGATGGACATTTAGGTTATTTCCATATCTTATCTATTGTAAATAATACCTCTGCAATAGAGCCAGTCACACGTAACTCCATATCTTATGCCTACTAAAGTGAAATCATCTAGGACATGAATTTAAGCTGTAATGGGGGTTATAATTTTGGCCCTAATTAAAGGCCATTTTTAAGGCCAGAGGTTTTATAAATATGTACAATATCACTTTATTACTGGAAGGATCTTGTTTACAGCTTGCAACAAAGATTGAACATGGAAAAAATGAATATTTAACCTGTTGTTACATTATTTAGGAACACCAAAATATTCATACACTAAAAATTTTAGAAATAGTATGAGTTGCTTTCTTTCAAAAGACACCCTTGAATTCAACTCCAGCACATTGTGTTTGTGAGTGCCCAGAGAGCAGGCATTACCTCATTAATTAGTGCTTGATGGTGTTTGCGTGCTAGGGGCAGAGGAAGAGGGGCTCCACATGTAGACCGAGAGCAAGCCATGACCAGTGTACCAAAATAAGTGCACCACCTGCTAAAAGGGTACCCAGAGTAACCTCATCAAGAATGGGAGAGGAAAAAAATGCTAGGAAAATGAAGTTCAAAGGAATCTGATAGCTCTATTTTTTTTAATAGCTGAAGAATTTTTTCAATAACCACATTCAGAGCTCAGAAATATACACAATATATATCTAAGAAGTGTGAGCACATCTGATAAAAATTAAAAGCATTTACACTTGATAGCCACATGGTTGAGAGCTGTGACCCCTAAGAGTGAAGAAGGTATGTTTTCATTTCTAAGTGACAGGTGGAGGACAGAACTGAGCATCATTGCTCTCTGATGCTGATGAGTAACTGCCTTGGCTGCTCAATAGTAAAATTATTTTAAGCATTACTGAGTAAGGTTACCAGGCTGAGTGTGTGTGTGCGTGCGTGCGTGTGTGTATGTGCGCGCACGTGTGTTACCATAAAGCAACAGGTATAAACAACTGGGATAAAGATTTTACAAGATAACTTTCCTTATGAGACAAGGATTGGAGAAAACAAACCATAACAACTATCTCCTAGATGGTGGTTCATGCTTCTGAAAGTAATTGCCATCGGTATCCTATGTATGTAGCAGCTTCCAAATTCTCAGTAAAGTTTGTTGCAGACTGGAGTATATCAGAACCTAGATCTAGCAGAAACCTGTGAAACACACCTGGTTGGAGTGTTTTCTTTTACAGGTGAAGCGGGGCCTGTAGCAATTTGGCTCACTGCTAACATGTGGACAACATGGAGCCTGTCCCCTGGATAATCAGGTCACTCGAGGGCCATTTCCACTCTGCTGAGATGCTTCTTTACTCTTTTTAGGGAAGAATTAAGAGGATGAGACTCACTGCCCCTCACGAGCAATGGCCGTTGGAACCCAATGGAAACATAGCACAGAGCATTTTTGCCCTTTGGAGGGGATGCACATGACTGGTAAATGTCATGACTGCTCACTCTTCCGCTAACTGGCCCTGACTGATAGTGCTTCTGGCATTAGAAAGATATGACACATTATCTCACTTCTGAAAAATGTTTGTAAGTACCTATAATCTTACCTTGTAAATGGAGGTTTTCACTGAGTAGTGTGAAAACCAAACTCTTAAATAATATATAAGACTGGATATTGCAATACAACCCTTTGAAATGACATTTTCCATTTGAAAAGAGTCAATACAAAGGTACATGTGATTTCTTAAAAGGTCGAAATTTCTATTTGTAAACGTAATTTGCATTTATATACACTTTCAAAACCTTTGTCAGTTTTGGTCTTCAGGGAATACCAAAGTGTATTTTTATTTTCATCCTCACCCGAGGACATGCTTATTGATTGTTTTTTTTCTAGATGGGGGAAGGGTAGGGGAAAGAGGAGAGAAACATCTATCCTTGCCTCTTGCATGCCCCCCAGTCAGGGACCGAACCCACAACCCAGGTATGGGCCCTGACTAGAAATCAAACCTGTGGTCTTTCAGTTCACAGAAATTTACTCCAACCCACTGAGCCACACCAGCCAGGATCAAAGTGTATTTTTAGAAAGTCAGGCAGTACTTTACCTGGCCATTTCATGCAAGTACCTCTCACCAAGCCACTTTTCCATGAGTTTATATACATCAACCACCTTTGTTACTAAATCTTCAAAGGCAGCCAATGCTTTTGTCTTTATCAGTTCAAGTCGGAACTGTGTGGCTCTCTCTATTTAAAAAGAGAAATAAAGATTTTTAAAAATCTATTACGTGCACATGCATTTTCTGATGAACTGAGATTTTAAAATTGGTTCAATTTTAAACCAATCATGTTTCAATTTGTGACCCTTTTGGCACATATTTAATCTATAAACATGGATAAGCAATACCCATCCATCTCATTAAGGAGCAAACGTAACGTGTGGTAGAGTCATTTGACAATTTACATCAAAGCTGTAGTTAAGTTTTACACTTATTGTACTTTATAGTAGTATACTTTCTGGTAAACTGGAATGAGAAAACACAAATAGATAATTTTCTAATTTCAGAAGGGAGGAGAGTACAAAATCTCTTGATCTCTCTACTTCAGAACTCTCAGATTACAATGGCATGGTCTTTGTCAGGGCCGGGAAAATAGGCTCAAGACCGTGGCCCCAGGGCCGATTGCTACCCCTGGCACACAATATGGTTGGTGAATTTTACTTATGAAATATCTTTCCAATCTTCCTTCTTTGCTTTTTCTGTTACTACCAGTCTAGTCTGGGCACTGGGTATGTCACTTAAACTACCACGGTGGCCTCAATCCTGCTTTCTCTAGATTCCTTTCCCCACTCCAATCCAAGTCTACCTCCACATTTGCAGAGAGAACTGTCTCACCTACATAGGAAGTCACAGTTGCTCTTGTGCTCAGAATTCTTCTCTAGCTCCTAGTTGCCGTAAAAGAAAATGTAACCTTTTCTTGGCAACGTCTGTGTGACCCCCCCATGATGTAGCCTCCCTGTGTCCCTGGTCAGTCCTTCCCAGAATATGCCCCAGACTCCTGGGCTACTCACTGCAGGTCACCAAGGTCTCCTCTCCCATTGCTGTCCCGATGTGTGTCCTGGGCAGACTTCTCCACATTCTGCCAGCTCAGCTCAAGCATGGATTCACGTGCTGGGAAGTCCTTCCTGATTGCACCCAACCCTCCCCCTCCTCCATCCTCCTTTGTCCTGTAAGCCAACCTTCAATATCCCAACATATCATAAGGGACTGTTTGCAGTTCACTTCCTCTAGTTTGGGTTTTATTTTTGTTAGTTTTGTATCTGTGTATATACAAGTGTTTTTCCAGTCACTACCACAGGGCTGGCACACAGTGAAAACCCAGTAAATATTTATTGTATGAATGAGGGGATTTAACCACAGCAGGAATCATGTATGAACATACTGAATGATGAAGCAGACTTTACTGAAAGTAGAGGTGGGGGCGGGCAGTGGAGGAGAAGACGTGGCCTGCTTCTCCTGACCACACAGATGTTCCTGAGGTCAGCCTCAGATTTTACTCTGGGGATTACGGAGGCAAGTGGTAGTGGGGTGAGGGGAAGGGAGAACAGGAGAGAAGCAAGGGATGGAAAGCATCCTTAACAGTTAACGGCCATTGAGTAGTAAATGTGTCCCAGCTGACCCAATGATGTAATTTCATGATGTTGTCATCTAATATATTGACCTTTCTAATTAGGATTCTTTTGCTCGGTTTCTTGATCTTTTTAAATTCTACTTTGAAATGCATTAGCCAGAAGGAGACTGTCTTTTAAAGTCTTTGCTATTCATAGAGAGCGGGGCCCTTGGACATTATTGATGTGTAACTGGCTTTCCTATGGGCTCTGCTCCCCAGAACTTGCTTTCAGGGCCTGCCCACCTTTGGAAGGGTTTCTTTTTCTAAGGAAATGCCTAAATTATTCATATTATAATATACAGCCACCTATGTAGGTAGCCTCAAGGCTTGTTTCAATCTGTAAAATGACACCAACTCTAAAATATTCTTTGTGTTTCTCTTCAGTGAGATTATAACGTCTGCAAGTGCTCTCCTAACCCCCTTCCCAAAGTCTTTTTTTTTCTTTTTGAGAAACAAGCAGATAATTATACAACAATCAAATCTAGTCTTCATATGGTCACATGAAAACAACCAACTGAATGCTGTGTTTTCAATCAGTTTGCTTTGTGTTCTCATAGACACGGTCTGATGTGACCATGGGCTGTTGGCCTACTGGTCTATGTTCTACTACAAACGAACATTTTAGGTTTTTTCCAATTTCTACCTTCAAATTGCAGGGCAGCAAGATGTTCTTCCTTTATTTTGAGTCTCAGTTCACTTTTCTTTTCCATTTCAGCAGTCACCTCTGGTGTTTCTTTTGCGGGAGTGGCTTCTACTATGGGTGGTGATTTATCTGAAAGGTCAATGAAACTCGCCAAATAAACTCACAGTGGACAAGTGTGCACGCATGGTACTTAGACAAAATGAATACAAAGTAAACATGTGTGGAGCTATGAACCACTAGTGATCTTAAAAGGAGAAAACCCTGGTTCTGACAGTGTGTGTGATGAAATCTTGATGGTCTTGCCCTGAGAACTCTCCATGTGGCATCTGGGCTGGCCGCAGATGCATGGCCTCATGGGAAAATGGGATTGTGCAGGATGAGCAGACATGGTTACTGACTCCGAAGAGGTGGCAATTCAGAGTGTGGGGACAGATGTTGGCAAACCCCAATCTCTGTGGATGCCATTAGCCATCTACAGAAGGATTGCTCTACGAGGGTTACTTACATTAGCTTAATGTTTCCCAGGTCCTCATCAAGAACAGACCAGAGGAAACCTCAAGAAGATATGTCTCAAATGTAGCTGATGGTCAAGAATCTGCAACCTACTTAATTATCTTGCAACTAGTACGTTACAGCAAGTAGCTCAGTGGTTACACAAGAAAATGAGGAATAAGAATTGGTCAGTATTTGAGAATTTGACAGTGATTCTTTGTTGCAGGCCCAGTATATATAATTTTACTTAGTTCAATAAGTTGTCCTTGAAGGTCCTACCTCTAGAGGTTTAAATCTTTTGAGGAAGATATAAATGTAAACAAAAAAGGTGTAATAAGAGGTGTTCATTGCCATGGAGGATGGATGTGTAAGTTGGGGAGGAAAGAGAGTTTAATCTCCTGGGTTTCCATTTTACCACCTGTGAAATGAAGAGATTAGACTCAGCTAATTATTCCATTAAAGTAAATGGAAATATTCCTTCAAGTGCTGCTTATATCATTTATTTTCACCATCTGAGATGGACCGAAGGGGTGTGTCCTTTATCACGGTGCCGCTCTTCCCTTTGCTTCTAGGGCCAGCCCCCAACCCCACCCGCCCCACTCTCAGGGCTTGTCTTAACTTCTACCCATGGCTTCTTAAATGGACTTCCTTTTGGAAGCGTTTCCCTGGCCCCTCAGATGGAGTGAGGTGACTTTGCTCTCAAGGGACTTGTTCCTTCCCTCCCAAAGAACAATGGTAGGACGAATGTCCAACTTCATGGCTAGACTACAGCTCTGTCAGGGCAGGGGGGGTGTTTTTGTTTTCCTAAACTTCACCACTGTGTTCTCAGCACCCGTGGGAGTGCGCTTCACAGAGCAGGTGCCTCAACACACGTTATGAGCATTTGATGGATGGAGCGACACGCGTTCGTGGACCTCCATCTCTTCCTCCCTTGCCCCATGTCACTGCAGAATTGTACCAGTGGAAGAAGCATTCAGAGGGGAAGGTAAGTTGGCAGCAGAGCTGATCCCCAAGGTTAACAGGAGTTCTCTGCCAGCTCTGAGTTTTCCTCCCTCTTTACTTTCCAGGAGACCCCTGGAGACAAGGATGTGCTTGAATGCAACCTGAGGCCAGAATTGAACCTTCAGCTCACATGCGTATAGTGAGCTTTTAAACGTCTCTTGGTCATCGCAGCAAGTGTCAAGCCCTTTGCACACAGTTTTCAGATCACTCGGTGTCAACCTGGAGTTCTTTGAACATGTTCAAAACTGTCTTGGAAGTTAACTTGACCCTGGATATACTTGGCTGTTTGGCTAAACAAGTTAGGAAGGACAGGTATGCAGTATGATTTGCCAACTACACTATGGTTCACTGAAGCCTGGGTCTCGAAGTTGAACCTAATGGAGAGCATTTAGTGGCTTAGAGGTTAGTGTGCTTGGTTAAAGACTGGTTCTCTACCAAGGTGAGGTGTAAACATCCACGGTCCTGGATGCTGAAGTTGTGAATACCTTTCTTATTTTTGTCTGCCCTTTTTTTCGTGGGTGGTTCCTTTGCGACCTTTTTGTTAGCATTCATCTGAGGAGATTTTTCTTTGGTTTCTGCTGGCTGGTTTTCCTTTTCTTCTTCCAGGAGCCTTTGATGGATTTCAGCAGCCACCTGGTTGAATAAAAGCCATATTTCAGTTCGAGCAACATGTATGAAATATGACAGCCATTTGGATTTAGTCTGTGGATGATGCCACTGAAATACGCGCCGTGTACTCAGTCTTTACAGAACACACACTTCCATGCTTTACAGAAACGGAAACTCGGCCTTATCCTGAGATGCAGCTTCCCCGGGCCAGCTGTGTGGAGGCCGCACAAGCCCTGCAGGCAGGGGGTGCAACGTTATGCTCCCTCACTGCCACCTCCACATTGCGACCTCCGGCGAGGCAAAAATTCCTTTCTTAAAATCGCAGGCCCTATGGATTTAACCTCCCTGTACTTCCAAGTTCCTGTTATCTCTTGGGCTTCAATCAGGGGCATTCCCCCATATATCAGTGTTTCTCTCTCTCTCTTTCTCTCTCTTTTTATTATTAATCCCCTCTGGGATTTTAAAAACAGTTTCTCCCAAGCGCATCCCCCTCCATGAACTTTTAATCCTGCAGCAGAGCTTGTATCTGTCTAGGTATTTTATGTATGCCTGTGTTTTATGCATAAAGTGGTTAAGAATTTTTCATGCCCCCCAACAAGTTTTGGGGAATGCATACCCTATATTAACCGGGTTTGTGGACATTTGAATTTTGGGCTTCATTACAGGTGCAGTATTCATAAGGGTGACCTGTCCTATAGGTTAACCTCATTGTTGCTTCTTAGCTTCCTCCACTCAGGGGACTTTCGGCTTCCCTCCATATCAGCAACCCCTCCTTTCAGGCTCACACATATCTTGGTTACAGAAATGAGTTGTGTGGCTGCCCCATAATAGCTGGTAAATGGCGAGAGTTGGGGTGCTGCTGGGACCGGCCCCCGCTGCCTCTCCTCCACAGCTGGCTCTACCCTTTACGCTGCCGAACAACTTGGTCCTGCGGTTTGTGCAGTTAGGGCCGTGCCTGCAGTTAGAAAGCTTGGGCATTTGGAATAAGCCCGACTGCCCCTGGAGAGCTGAAGGGCATGTCTGGGTGCCACCCTGAGCAATGGGAGCTGAGGGAAGACTCCCAAAAGGAAGAAAGAAAGCCTGCACATGCCTTGGAGGCCGGAGCTGCATATAGTTCAACTTTAAAATCTTAATAAGGCAGCTGGTGAGGAAATGGCAGCCCACCAGAATTTATTTATGAAAGTGCGTACTGTGTCCAAGTGTGGCATTATTTCTGGGGGGAACTGGGTAAGGGGCCAGGAGGAGAAAGAAGAAGTTGGGCAAAGGTCAATAGAAAGATGAATAAGGTACAACCTGTGTCTGCAAAGAAGCTTAGGCATGGGGGCCAGACAAACCAGCCCAGTCCTGCCCACTCTGAGTTCCTGCTATACTTCTCCCTCCATGACTTGGCATATAACTGTCGCCTACTGTACTGTGAGTGTTAGTGTGGGCTTTACGCCTCCCGAGAGCTGGGCCAGTTCTACTTCTCGGAATTTTCCACATAGCACCGTGCTATGCTCACAGGGGATGCCGAGGAAATGTTTATTAATTGATGGAATTTCTTTTAAAATAGTATTATTCCACAGAATACATGCACAGCTTTTTTTAATGTCTGCAGAACCTTGCAGGGATACAGAAAGGTCTCAAAGAGCATGCAGATGTTACATTTTTTTAAAAATTGGATGCTCTGTGGATAAAAATGGATTTAGTGATTTATACTCAACTTTCAAATTCTTGGTAAAGCTGAAAGTAGGCTTGTTAACATTTCCCCCTAAATTGCAAGCAATTCATTTTTGAATCTGTTCCTGCAAAGCACTAGTAAGTTAGCAATTTCCTTTAAAATTGGATTTTCCTCCCTGGTAAACAACCTTGTGTTGGTGATGATGATGATGATGATTATCATCATCTTCATTTTTCTTCCTATTTCCCAAAGACCTTTGGGTCTTTCTCAAAAGAATTCACATAATTCACAATATATCCAGCAATCTAGCTTTAAGGCTGAAGAAACACTTGAGATAATGTCTTGGCATTGTGGGCATTAAATATGATTTACTCCTTTGAAATCATTGCGTACCTGCTAATTAGAAGAGAGTTTTGCTAAAAATTAACATAGCACACTAAATGGATAGCTCTGAGTAAAACCGCAGTGTAGAAGAAAGCCTGTGTTAAAGGGTCTTCATTTCAGCGGCTCTAACCTCAGCTGCTATTGTTTTCCCTGCAACAGCTCACTGAATCATGCCTGTCTCATTTGGAACTTGAAGTTTCCTTATGGTCATGTGACATCAAAGTCATAAATGCCCATTAGAAAGATAAAAGTAGGATTCGGATATAAGTAATAGTAATTACTAGACAATCCTTTCTCCTATGCTTTCTACGTGGTTTTTAAAGTTCCACAAGGAAAATAGTACGACTTTGAATAAACACCTTAACATAATGATAGACGTTTACAAGTTCTAAAATGCTTTCATAGTCATTATTTCATTAACTCTTTCAACCATCCAAGAATGAAAAGATACGTACGGTGTGTTTTGTGTGATATATTGAAGGAATCAAAGCTTCAGATTTTCCTAAAATCAAGTGGCTTAATCAAGAGGGGTGGTCAGCGCTCTTTGTGTTGTAGGATGCTCTCTTTCTAACAGTTTTTCAGAAATTTAAAATGCCTGCATGTCATATTTTAAAATGGCATTTCCCCCAGGTAATTTTAAAGAGACTCATAAGACTTGTAAATTATGTTCATGTAGCTCAATTAGCAATAAAAATAATAATTCATATTTTTTTCTAGAACTCCTCGCTGTGGATTTCCACTCTCTGGTACTTGGTAGCTTTTGTGGTCTTTGCCGGGGCCGTTACTTTCATTGCCACTGTCATTAACATTAACGTCAGCATCATCACTATGGCAGGAGCGGCATCCCAAGACTATGCTTAGGGCTGAGTATTACGTTAGGTATGGGCACCATGCTAGGTGTGTGGTATATAGAAGTTTTAGAAACTAGTTGGTAGTTAAGAAAATAACTAACAAAATAAAAATTACAAACAATAATCTAGATAGTAAGGGCCAAAGAAATGGGAGAGGCATTAACTTACAAGACTTCGAAGAGCATATGATTATAGAAGGTTGGGCTAAGGCTGTAGGAAACAGGCAACTAACTGCTCAGGACTTAAGGTAGGAGCTCATTCTGAAAACTTAAAGAGAGTATAAGGGTTACATAAATACAAGAAAGAAGGAGCAGAACTTAGGAGAGAAAAAAATGGCATTAGCCGAGGCATTGAAATGGTTAATGCCCATTGACTATATAAGAAGAAATATCTAGTCAGTTTATAAGAAGGCTTAAATGGGAAAATAATCCCAAACAAAATAATGAGGAAAAAATTAAGAAACAAAAAGTAAATTGAATCAATGAAACTGGCAGTTAGTTCTTTGGAAAGACTGATCTAATTGATAAAGTTCTGGGTAAGCTGATCCAGAAAGGGGAGAAGCACAAAGACAGATACATCAAGCAGACAGCAAGTATACTGCGTTACATTGACACTAACGTAAGAGGCTATTTTAAAGAAGTTTATGCCAACAAATTGGAAAATTTAAAAGTGGAAAAATTTCTAGCAAAATAAAACTTATCAAAACCAACCCAGGGTTTGTTTGTTTGTTTTTGTTTTTTGTCTTTTGCTTATTTTTTCCCCAAGAAGAAAGAGAAAATAGGAATTACTCTATATCTATTAAAGAAAATGAATCCTTGAGTGGACGGAGCAACAAAACACCTTCTTACAAACTTCTTAAAAGCCTAGGGGGCTTCTTGTTAAAAGCTACCCAACATTTCAAGATGAAATAATTCCAGCTTCCACAAAATCTTCCAAAGCTATATCCCAATTCAACTTACGAGGTTAGTATTTCCTGAACGCTGAAAGCTGACATGAACAAAAATTCAAAAATCCTAAACAAATTATTAGGAAGACAAAGTCATCAATGTATAAGAAGGATGATGCTTCATCACAATGTTGGACTGATTTCAGGGGTATGATATAAGTTTAACATTAAAAATTGATCAATATATTTCACATAACATAAAATAGAGGAAAAACACACGCGATGATCTCAATAGATGAAGGAAAAGCATTTGATAATGCAGTTCACTTAAAAACCCTTATAGAAAGCTAGAAATGAAAAGGAATTTCCATAATGTAATAAATACGACCTGAAAAAATATCTACAACCAACATTTTCATGAATTTTGACAAGCTGATATGAAAATTTATATGGAAAGGCAACAAACCTAGAAAAGCCAACATGCTCTTGACAGACGGCAAGATTTTCTCATCCAGATCACAAATAAATGGTAGGATATGCATGGTTTGAGTACAAGTATAGGCAAATAGAGCAATGCAGCAGATATAATTTATGATATATGGTCACCTAACGGACAATGACAGAGATGACACTGCAGTCAAATGGAGACAGGGTTTAGTATTACCTATGAAAGCTGAAGTACTGCATATAGTACTGTCTACTGACACTGAAGATAGCACGTGCTCCTAGGTATATACCTGACAGGTATGGGTGCACATGCGTGTCAGTGGACATGTACGAGAATGTTCGAAGCAGCAGTATCCATAATAACATCCAACTGGGAACCCAAATGTGTGTCTGATTAAATAAAGTGCAATGCATTTATACAATGAAACACACACAGCAACAAACTTGAACAGAATACAGCTACACTCAATAGGACAGGATGAATTTCACAAATACTATGGAGCAAAAGAGGTCACAAAGAAACAAAAGGTATGAGTCCATTTGTTTAAAGTTTGAAAGCAAGGAAAGCTAAACTAAACTGTTTAGAGTTATAAGTATGGGTAAAAACAACTCTTAAGAAAGTCAAGGAAACGATTACTAAGCAGGCAAAATGAGGTTTCCTTTTGCAGGGATGAGCGGTTGAGGGTTGCGAAGGGTCACAAGAAGGACTGGACAGGCGCAGACCTTTTTCTTTTTCCCCGTATGGGGATTCCAAGGGTATGTATTTTGGGTGGGTTCTTTAAGCCATTCAATCCTATTTCACGCACTCTTCTTATGTGTGACAAAATGCACACTAACATGATTTTTAAAAGAAACAAGACAATGAGAAGAGTTCACAATCACTTTTGAGGAGGTGAAAAGAAAAAAGTAGAACAAAATGGAGGGAAAGAAAGGAGAAACCGAGGCTGCTGTGGAACGCACCAGAGAAAGAACCCGTGAGGCAGAGTGGCCAGGGAGGGACTTGGAAAGCGCCTGAGCAGAAGTGCTGATTGCTGTCCAAGAGAGACTGTGATGCAAGATCCTCTTCGACAAAACCTTTTGGATGCTTGGCACCGCTTTCTGCTCCAGTGTGCTAGTTCTGTGAAAATCAGGAAGAGTGAAGACGGGGACCACAGCTGTGGACCCAGGGCTGGAGGACGACATTAACAGCAGTCACCTGAGTTAAACTCGGCGTGTGCCTGCTGTGTGGGAGCGAGGCCTAGATTAAGCATTAATCTAGATTAATGCCTAGACTAAGGTTACCTGTGTGCCCTTCCTTCCTCCCTGGATTTGGTTCAGGCTCGTTGCAGGCAGGGACTATGACCCCTTTAGCTCCCAGGGAACGTGGAAAGGACGCGAACCCTGAAGTCATACAGACCCAGAATCAAACCTGGTCTCTGACACCTACCTAATGAGTGACCTGGGGCAAGTTTCTTAACTCTTCTAGATCTTAGTTTTCCACTGTAAAGAGGATAATAATACCCCACAGGTGACTTAGGTAAAATGCCTAGCAGAGGTTATAAACCAGGGTCCAAAAGGGCAGATTTATATTTTGCAAATTTTTACAAATTTGACTTTATTTCGAACATGTTAAAATATGAATTTTCATATTTCACATAAAATATGAATTTCTGGCTTTTCTTATAAAATTAAAAATATAGTCATACTGGGCCTCATCCTTAAATGGCAAAGTTGGTTAGGGCCGAGTAGCCGATGCCTCTTCAGACAAGGGTGTGATTCCCACTTGGCCACAGTGCCTGCCCTCCCTACTGCCTTACACCTGACCCGCCTCATGGACATTTCCTGACTGGCCCTTCAGGGCCCTGCCCTGGGAACCCTGTCTGGCCCAGCACAGAAAAAAACATAAATGTCGGTTCACTCCTTTCTTGAGTTTATATAATTGCTGTTTTAATTGTTTTACTTTATATATTTTTTTGGAAAGAAATTGAGATATAAGTGTATACAATGATTGTGAACATTATGTAAATTTTTTATTCACAGCATATTACCAGCATTGGTGTTTAATGTGTGGGTATTAGGGAGAGGAAATGCAGGACAAGGACAGCTCACCATGTGAGATATTGCTAAGGAGGCCTGCTGCCAGGTGTCCGTCACCAGCTTCTCGTCGGCCTCGAGGTTTAACTCTACTTTTTCCAGCGAGTGATCAATCTTGCCTTTCAGTATGGTTTTTGTTTTTGGTTTGGATACAGCTGAATCCGGAGAAATGGATATTCGAGAAGCTAGAGGAATTCTTTGGAAAACAAAAAAAAGAAACATAAATATTTTATTTAACAGAATTCTATTTTTTTATGACCATGTTACTCTGCGAATTTTGTTATCTTGCTTTAAATCTCAATTTTCAAAGTTTTCCTGGCAGAACTCTTTAAATAAAGAAAAGACAACAAAAGACTTCATTTGCATTTTTTGTGGTATAGAATGTCTTAAAAGCCAGAAACTAGAAACTAGACAAACTAGAAACAATGACAAAAAGGAATTTTCAGGTTTAATTCTTAGTAATTATGAGGAGGGGGATTAAACGATGGCAATTATGAAGAAATGCAATTTTGAAATGTATGTAGGGCATAAACTGCCAGCAAGGAGTAAACCATCTCTGAAAAAGCAAGCCACGCGGAAGTGGGCATCACTTCCTCAAGATGGCCAGCATTTGGCTTCCTGAAATGGACAGTTAAGAAGCAGGGTGACAGAGGTGAAGCCTGCAAGGGCGTTTTCCAGTGAGGCGACACCATTCTGGTGGCGAATGGGGAAGAGCTCCAGGAGCCTCCCCACTGTCCTGCAAGGATGGCCAAGCACCTCTCTTCGTTTTGTAAAGAGATGTGGGGACACAGCGTTACATTCTCCCTCCCCCTGCTGTCAGTCATGTTGCTGCTCCACGTAGTGAGTTCAGAGCTGCCCTGGAAACATTCTATTCCCTAAGGATTCCCGGATCTCAAAGGCTAACAGGGGCAGGAGAGATCCGCAGGTAGGAATGTTCATTGTGCCTGGGATCTGCCTCGGTGACAGAGAGTGAGAGCTTTTGGCTTGAGCAAGGAATGCAGAGTGATATCATTATTATTATTATTATTATTATTATTATTATTATATTATATTTGTATTATTTCAGGAGGAACAGAGCCTCAGAAAGCCAAGTGACATGTCCCGGTTCCTATCTACCGATAGTGGCAGAGCTAACTAGACCAGAGTTTCCCCCACTAAATGAACTCTCCAAGGATGCCTTTGCTGAAACGCGTGGAGGACAGTCAGAAGATAAAACGAGAACACATGGTTGCTATGGCAGAGCCAAGTTGCTGGAGAACAGAGCAATGATTCAAAAAGCTGATTGTGAAGCCCAGCAAACAATTAGCGGGCCTTGTTTTGAGGCATCGGACAGGGTTTCTTGAACTTGTCTCTTTGATCGTGAGAGTGCTTGGAACCCTGACAGTGCGCCTGAGTACCCACAGGACAATTCACATTTCAGTCGTCGAGTAATACCAAATCTCAGTCCAAGACACGTGAGGTTCATATGTTGCATAAGTTAAGGCAAAGGGTATGTGATCATCCATAGATGTTTAATACAGTACAGCATGCATTTCCCAACATCTTGCTTTGAAGAACAGAGTGGAGGCATATCATTTAGAAAAAGAGTTTCAAAAAAGAAAAAAAGAATTTCAGTTTAGAATTCATTTAGTGGGAGAAACTCTGGTCTAGTTAGCTCTGCCACTATCGGTAGACAGGAACCAGGACATGTCACTTGGCTTTCTGAGGCTCTGTTCCTCCTGAAATAATACAAATATTATAATAATAATAATATTATCACTATTATTATTACTAATTACTAGTAATTACTAATTATTAGTTATTAACTAATAATTATTGTTAGGTTGTTGAAGGAATAAAATAGGCAGGCTATGTAAAAATGCTTAACCCTGTGGTTTCCCTGTATATGTTAAATAGACTGTGGTTGATGGGTGGCTTGGCTGATGCGTTGATTAAGAGTAGACTCACAGCAGTGATTTGAGGTTAAGATTGGTGCTGTGTTGTTTTGCAGAAAATAAGAACTGGCTGTTTTCTTGCCTGTTTCACTCTCCTGACCAACATTAATAGCTTCCCTTTTATGCCTGACTTGCTATTTTGTGCTAAGAATGGAATGCACTGCTTCTGTAGACTTTGAAACTTGGCCACTTTTGATGGCTCTAAAGGTTCATATTGCCTGTGGAATTGTTTATTGTTTTAATTTCAAAGCTCTGCTTCAGAACCCTGTTGAGTTAAACTTGTCTCCTGAATTTGGATCTTACGTTTTCTCGCGCATGGGTGGGCCTGCGAGGGGCATGATGGGACCGGATGGAGGAAGTCTAGAGAGAGAAGGAGCAGGTTGCAGAGCTCTGTGCAGCCATTTTTGGAGCAGGGGAGGGTAAAACAGACAAAGCGAGAACGTGTGATAACTCATGATTAAAATACGGCACGTAGGTAAGAACAGTTTAACTGTCATATTGTGCAATGACAATAGCAATCACCACTTAATGAGAATTATTGGGGCTAGATTTCAAATCTTTGGATTCCCAAACACAATCCTAAGTGCTTTGAGCATTTCCTTTTCTGTGATCTCCACAACAACCCCCTTTGCAGTTAAGGAAACCAAGGCTTAAGAGAATTACAGTGACGTTCCAAAACAGTCCAATTATTTTATATTATACACAGATAGCTGGTAAATAACAGACGTGGGGTGAAACCAGATTTATGTGACTTCTAATCTTACTCACTCCTCCACATTTAGTCTGAGCAGCTCCTGCTACCTGTATTGACAGAACCAGCTTGTAAGATAAAGTACATACACTACTTTCAGATGAGACCCAGCATGTTCAGGGTGGTGTGGCTGTGGACTACATGTACTACTTTCAATCTACAATACATAGCTCATCTCCTTGGAAATTAGATTCAATGTTCAGTGTCTGCATATCATTTTAAAAGTCTAACTTCTTTTTCCCCTTTCATACCCAGTTTCTTGCTTTTTCATGATCTGCTTATTGGTCATGAGAAATTATTACTTTAATTCTAATTCTATATTAATTTATTTTTGATTGATTCATATAATTTTAAAATTTATGAGTTTTATCATTATTTTATTTTAATTCTTAATTTTTGATCTCTTAATCTTTTGTAGTAGAGAACCATATCACATGACTTACCACCACTGCTGCCCTCTATTTTTTTTAAAATGATTTTATTTATTTATTTTTCAATGGAGGGGAAGAGAGGGAGAAAGAGAGGAGAGAAACATCAATATGTGGTTGCCTCTCATGTACCCCCCCGAGGCATGTGCCCTTCCTGGGAATCAAACCAGCCACCTTTCGGTTCGCAGGCTGGCACTCAATCCATTGAGTCACACCAGCCAAGGCTATTTCTTAAAAGACATTTTTCTACCTATTCATAGCTTCTCAGGGTTTGGGTTTTTGCTTCTCCTCTGTCCCTACCCATTGGGTCTATAAAATATTATTTATAAAACTTTTATATTGCACAGGAGTGTTAGGCTGAAAATATAATTTTTGTTCCACCTTTACTACCAAGTTAATTTTCTGACTGGGACAAATCTCATGTTAGACTATTAATGTCTTTTAGTCTCATAAAGTCATAATCACATATGACTAAGTCTTCACTATTTCTCTATTTTCTTACCTGTAAAAGATGACTCAGAGCCCCTTCAATTTTTGTTTACATAATATGATACACACACACACACACACACACACACACACACAGAAGCTTGGTACCTTTCATAAAGTGAGAGAGGTTCACAATCCCTTACTGGAAACCTTTGGGGTCAAAAGTGTTTCAGAATTCAGAATTCATACATACTGTATTTTCCCTAACACCCCTAGCAATCTGTGGAAGTGTTCCATAACAAAACACATGATACCTCTGCAGCAAAAATGAGTAATATTCTCAATAAGTGGGATAAATATGCATATCAATAGTCTCCAGTGGAAGTTAGAAAAAGTTTTCAGTTTTTAGAGCTTTTTTGGATTTGCAGATACAGGAGTGTGTTTTTTATTAGTGGTATTCAGTTTAAAACCACAGAGCTTTATGTTCAGACCAATTACAGTGCAGCATGATAGCTTGTCTTACCTAAGGTGGCTTTCCAAGACCTCTTTATTATCTATTTGGACCAATGGGATGTGTGTAAATTTCTTGTTGTCCTCTGTTGGGATTTTGCATTCCATTCCCTGGTAATAGTCATGAAGGAGTCTCTTTGTATCTTGAAAACGGTTCAGTTCTGCCTTTAATAGCAAATATAATGTTAATTCTCAAGAAAAACCAAGCCTATCTGCACATATTTTCTACATAAGCCCTCTGAGCACAATTTTTAAGCATTTAGGTCAAAATCAATTTTATGGAAATTAAGAACAAAATAGAAACAGGGGCATGGATACCCTGTGCAGACTGTCAGAGGGCAGCGGGTTTGGGGGACTGGATGAAAGGAGGCGCAGCGGTCAGGCAAAGAACACACGTGTGTGACCCACAGTCACAGACAACAGTGCGCTCCTGGCCAGAGGGAAGGGGGCGGGGGCTGGCTGGATGAGGCAAAGGGAGAAAAAAGGGACATCTGTGAGAGTGTCACCAATAAAGTTAAAAAAAGAATTAGCAATGAGTGTATACATCAAAATACATACAAATTAAAGAAAACTCTCTTATTGAGTATGATTCCACGGAACAAGAAAACATTTCTATGATTCTTGATATTATGACAAGAGATTGAATGATATCTGAAGTAGTATATAGCATTCATTGATTTGACATTAAGAATTCTTCCTGTGTTCTGTATTTAATCAACCAATACATTAACAAACATTTAAGTGTCTTCTGTCATAGGTCACATGGTAGTTGATTTGAGAAAGATACCAAAAATATCATACAAATAAATACAACATACAAATATAAAAAAAGAAACACAAAATATGACTACAGTTTGGTCCTCTAGTTGTAGAGAAATGATGCACAGTAAGGTAGGTGGATGACAAATAGTTCTCATTTCACGGTTTCCATCCTTGCTCAGTACGGAGGGTAAGCAGACTGCGGCTCCATGCTCGCAGGCAAGCCCCTGCGGGGCTTTGCCAGCAGTAGGCGCCTTGAGGGAAATGGGGAAGCATAGAGGAGGTGGTGACAGGAGAGCATCAGTTGTTCACTGTGACTCCCTGCAAGCCAGGCCATTTCCCTGGGCGAGAAATACACAAATGTAGACCATGAGGCTTCCCGCCTCTTCTCCCATTGGGCATCACACCAGTTGTCACATCTGTGCTTCTCTTTGGTTGTGTGAACATGACCTCCAGACTTTGCTTCAGTTAGTGGGGCTACTTAAACAGGTGCCTGAGAGCTTAAGGATTGAAGCTCTTAGGCAGAAGTACTCCACATTGCTAGTCAATGATAGGAAGCATCTTTCCTAAAAGAAACAAAACTGACCTAGTGTTCAAAGACCTTAGAACCCTTGAACCTAACCCAAGAATATTTATGAAGGGATCCCTATATTTATCAAGCAATTAATGTTGTCATTTATTTCATAAGACATCAAGAAATTGTCTTGTACTGCCATATTCAGCTTGGAACAAATAAATGTCTGCTTTGCATTGTAGTCTGCAAAAAAGAGACAAGAGCAGTTTTAGTAAATTTGTTTTAATCCTGAAGAGCTAAGTCAAATTTCTCCTGAAAAGCTCCTCTCTGAATTATCAAACTTTTCTAACTAAAAGAATGAAAGAGGAAGACATTCATTTGGTTAATTTGAATCTATGTTATACAATAAAATTACCATTTATATATTGTTTTAAATTATGAAACTTACTTTAAATACTCTTAGATTTTAAACATAAATATATATTTAAGTTAACTTTTCAAACTAGCCTTTTGAAATGATTAAGAAAACTAAATATTTTTCTCTTTCCTTGCCAAGAAATCAAATTGAGTTTTGAGCTATCCATGCATAGACTAATTTCACAGTTTGGCATAAGTGTTTGTACCTGGCACGCTTAGGTTTGCTCAGACAGTAGAGAGAAAATGAATCTTGCAATGTGTGGGTACCCTCATGAGAGCCTCAGAATATCACCCGGCAGTGGGTAGCATGCAAAGGTAAACCCAGTTTGTACAAAAAGGATGCTGACAAATAACTTTGGGTAATTGAAGAAGTATATTGTGAGGTTATAAAAATTATTAATCATAAACTATGGTATTACATTATTTGGTAAATTTAGAAATCAGGAAATGAAAACTTTAGTCATGATTAAGTTTAGTAGATCCTATGCTATACAATTGGTCTTTGAGACAGTGCTAGTATCTATGCCTTAGGTTGATCTTGTTATATTATTTTATATAAAAGATTAATTTTAATTTATTTTAGGGGCAGACTTTGCTACATTTATAGCTACCTATGAACATGACGACAGCCTATATCTGGGATTCTCATATAAGCAGAATTAGACTTCTTTCACATTTATGATAACTAGTAAATAATGTTTTCTTATTATTCCTCTTGTCATAAGATCTTAGTGAAAGGAATCTTAGAAATCATCTAGGATAGCAGGCTGTAAAAGTTATTTTGTAGAAAACCTGTTCTATATGATATCTTCTTTTCCCCCTAGTTGGTTTTAGATGTGGATTCAGTTTCTCAGGGGGAGAGCCTTAAATTTAAATATTTCCAAAATGTGAGGTACACCATTTCCAAGTATTGCTCAGATTAATGAGAGTGATTCACAAAAGTTCTCTATTCCCTTTACCTGAACTAGTGGATTTCAGTTATTTCTGCTATAGGCTTTTTTTCTTTTTTGAAAAAAAAAAACCCTTTTATTTTTATTGTTACTATTACAGATGTCCCCGTTCCCGCCACTCCCTTGCCCACCTCCACCCAGCCCCCTCCTTCCTCTTTCCTGGGGCCATCGCCACCCTGTTGTCTGGGTCCATAGGTCATACATGTATGTTCCTCGGTTAACCCCTTCACCTTCTTTCATCCAGTGACACCACCCTACCCGCCGCCCGGACCTTTCCCAACAGCTGTCAGTCTGTTCCATGTATCCATGCCTCTGGTTCTATGTTGTTTGCCAGTTAATTTTGTTCTGGCGATTGTCTGCTAAATAGTCCCATTTCCTGTAGTAGCTTCTCATGTAAGTTAATCAGCTGAAGACTAGAATTGTCCTCTTTTCCATTCTCTGTCCTTACTGCTATTCTCTTATGAAAAAATACTAACGTAGACATGGCTTGAGGAAGATAGACTGTACATTTTCCTCAGCTTAACAAATTTTCAGACAGGCTTCTTCCTAACTCTAGCCTCCTGATCACCTTTGTCCTTAGGCTATTTACTTTAGGAAACTTGTCATTGTAAATCCTTTCTCTGTCCCTGTGACATATCTCGTTATAAGCTTCTTGCCAGTTTTAGAACCCAGACTGTCTTTCTCTAGGACCTGGGAAGTATCTCTTTAAAACAGAAGCATCAAGAAAGAGAGCCCCTAGGTCTGTTGGTTCCTTTGGGAGGGTGACTTGCTTGAAGGGGTGTAACTTCCTTCTGTTATGAGGTTGGGAGAAAGCTCACACCCCCTTCAGGCAAGGCTGATTAGAAAACACAGAAAATTACCCGCCCCCGCCCCCCACCTCCCCAGCTCTTAAAAACTCTCCACCCTTATTTTTGGAAGAGCTGGGTAGCCACACTTGGCCTGTGCTCTCTCCCCTGCTGCTGACAGTAGTCTGGGAATAAAATCAATGTCTGTCTTCCCATTCAGTGCGACTGTCTATTTAACAGCCTGCAAATATAAGTTAATCAAGTTCTGATGAATGGTCTGATTTTCCAATCCAGATAGAACCTTTTTTTCTGGAATCAAATGCCTGCTGAGTTTGATCTGGCCCATACTTTGGGAGAGGGCCACTTTGGGGGTCCACTGTGAGAAGCCAGTGAGGTGACAACCGTCAGACACCCCATCTCTGCTGTCCCTGCCACATCTCTGGGTCGCCTGGAAGCGGAGCTGGTGAGTGGTTGCTCGAGATCCTGTCAGTTGGGGTGCTTGCTTGGCTAGGACCAAATTGATTTATCTCTGCTAACTTCCTCTGCTTGGAGCTCAGGGCAGGCAGAGTGCTGAGGCTAAAAGGAGCCCTGGGCAGGCCCTTCACAGTCCCTGAGGCCCTGTTACGGGAGGAATGTGGCCGTGGCAGGGGGAGTCTGGGCCATCATGACCGGCGCCCTTACCTGCATCAGGGAGAAGAAGTTATTCATCATTATTCCAATCGAGTCCTGCAACCAACTCTTGTTAATGATATCCAGGCGCTCCTGCTCAGCCTCCTCCTTCCGGGCATCGCAGATGTCCCACAGGCAGTCTCGTAAATCCTGGACAGAAAGAAGCCTTGCTGTCATGCTTTAGGGTCATGGCTCCAATGACCTCAGTGGAATAAAACGAAATCCTTTGTGCTAAAAATGTCCCTAAAGAAAATTTACACCTAATGCACTTCATTTAACAAATATTTGTTTTGCATCTACTCCATCTGAAAGACACCGATCATGTGCCCATGTCTGCCGCAAATCCACTGCAGGTAACTTTATTCATGGTGTCTATGTTTTCTGTGGTCTAATCCGTCCTCTGAAAACACGGCCACTGCATTAAATTCTGCAAGTCAAAAACCGTAGCACGAAATGGAGAGAAATGTAACAGTCACAGGGTTTCTTACTTTACTTTCATCTGTTTCTTCAAGATCATGTAGGTATAAAAATGTAAAAAAAGAATAGAGTAATTGCTTTAATCTGAATGACCTATGACATTATAAAAACTGAATGTGATATAAGGGCCCATCCAAAACCTAAAAGAGTTCAGACACAGGGCCCAAAGCAAATGCAGGTTTATTTTTTTAAACTTCACAGGTTTCTCTACTCTATCTTGCTGAGGATCCACTGCTAAAGAGAATTATAATATTAATGTGGTTGACTTGGCCAAAACTTATTGAACCTTCCAAGTAGAGGCTGTAAGTTTTCTTTTCTGGTATCCATCTTAAATATACAAGCATTTTTTTTTTTTATATTTTAGGCAACTGAAAAATTAAAATAAATTAGAAAATTAAAGTAAATTTAAGAGTGTTAAAATAAATGATACAATCTTGGAGTAGAGATGTATCTTTTTTTCCTCACCAGAGGACATTTTTTTCACTGCTTTTAGGAAGAGAGTAAGGGAGAGAGGGAATAACATCGATGAGAGAGAGAAACATCAACTGGCTGCCTCCCAGACACGCTGCTGCTGCCCTGTCCCTGAAGGGACACCTGACCAGCAACCTTTCAGTTTATGGGATGTTGCTTCAACCAACCGAGCCACACGAGACAGAGCCAGAGATGTAATTTTTAAACTGGTCACAAAGACAAGCGATACAAAAAAAAGTCTATATTTATCTACACAAACATTACAAGACTTCTGCATATTAAAATTCATATGAAATAATAGAAAGGCAAGTGCCCTTCTATTTGCTGGATGGGATGCTGCTTGATTTATGAATCACTTCATAAAGCCAATTAGATCTTCAAAAAATAATGATATAATAGCAAACATTAAACTGGGAATATATTTCTAACATATGAACAACCAATAGTTTATATCCTCAATAAGTAAAGAGATCTGAGAAATCAGTAAGAAAAAGAGCACACCTCAAACAGAAAAATGAAAAGAAATCTTAAACAGGTTTTAGGAGGAAGAGAAATAAATGACAAACTCATGAAAAAATAGCCAAGTTCAACTGTAAAAACAGAAATGCAAATTACAGAAGATAGCTACTTATATTTTGCCATGTTTAATGTGCACCCATGTTTTTGGCCCAAATTTTCATGGAAAAAATATTTTGTTTTAATTTTTTATTTCCATTATTTATTTATTTATATTTAGATACTTGTTTTTTGTATTATAAAGGAATTTTAGCACTTATTTTTAAACATACAGATATCATTATTGCTTTCTGGAGTTACACTTTTAATGCATAAGCATAAATAAAAGAATTAAAAACATTTATATGGATATGGAATTAGTAATACCCATGGATAATGTGCATCCTTATTTTTCCCTCAAAAGTTTGGTCAAAAATGTGTGCATTATACATGGCAAAATACAGTGTATATTTTTGCCTGTAACATTGGCAAATCTTAACAAAAAAGATAGAACCAAATAATACATTCTCATAATCTATTAGTTGGAGTAAAAATTGCAGGTTTTTAATGTATTTAAAAACTATCTAATTTTATCAACTAATGTCACCCCAATAAATTCAATGTAAAAATAAATGATAAAAATACTAAAAAAAAGCATTATTTTAGATCCAACACTTTCACTTTTTTGAAATTTGCTCAAGAAAATAATTAAGGATGTGATCAATATTTAACTGGATTAAATTCTACTGTATAATTCTTTATAATAAAAAGTTGGTGCTCAACAAATATATTATGATATAGTCAGTTAATGGAATATCTTTTAGATATAAGAAATAATGAGGCAGATGGGTTTTTATTGAGAAAGAAAACATGTACTATGTTGAAAAAGACTGTTACAAAATAATATCTATGTTGTAGTCGCACATTTTGCAAAAATAATTGTCCCAAAGTGATACTTATGGTTAACTAATGGCAGTGGGATTATGGATTTGCCATTTTAAATTTTGCTTCTTTTTATTCTTATTTATTTACAACAAATGTGATACATTTGAAATCAGAAAGAAAATCCCATATGAGATATTTTAAATTTAAAAACCTCATCTGTCAACAATCATCTGACTGATATGAGGAAAATGTTTATGGGAAGGCTAACATTATGAATAAGGAGGAAAGGTAGGAAAAACAGGTATGTTATGGATTTGCAAAGCTACTAATTACTGTTTGAGGAACATCTAAGAACAGGTAAAATACTTCAGTTTTGCTGGGACAGCTGTTAATTCAATACCTTTTGGGTTAAATTCTCCAGCACCCCGCTCACCCAAGTCACCATAATGCCTTCACTTAATTTCAATAGTTTCTCAGCTGGTCTCCCAACTGGTCTCCCTGCTGCTTTTATTCCATTATAGACGCTTTTAAATCCAGGCTCCAAGCCTCCAACTCTCATTCGGATCCTAATAATGACCTCCAAGGCCTTAGGTAATCTGGCCCCCTGAGGAGATTGATCTGCTCAGCAGCCCCTCTAGCGAAAGCTCACCCTGCTCCAGCCGCACCTGCCTCTGCTGTTCGTCAGAAACACCATGCATTCTCCCCTTTCCAGTGACTTTCTTTGCCTTTATTTTTCCCTGTGACTGATGCACTCTCGCTCCAAATATCTGCATGGCTCACTCAGTCACGTCCATTCTCATCCTCACACCTCAGGGAAGAGAGAAGGGAATGGATTTGGGTTTTGCAGGGTCTGAGAGTGTGGAGACCCGCCTGGCTCAGCCGCTCACAGACCCCCTTACGTTCACTCTTTGGTGCATTTCCGACTTTGTTTCCTCATCCTCCCACAAATCTTCAGGAAGTGAGTTGAAATCGGCCTGCCATTGGGATACAAAATTTTGCTTGTGATCTGGGCGCCTTAGGAACTGCTGGAAACTTGTCCTGTAAGGCATTAAGAGAATGAGCTGGAGCTTACATGGCCTGCCTGTCCACTACACAAGTCCAGCTTTGGAAGCTTTACTTACCTAATCTTATATAAGAAATTAAGCACAATATGCTGGTCTTCTCTCAGGTTCCTGAGCACTGTTTTGATGGAGTCTACATAGTAATTTTCTATTAGTTCCCAGTAAGGTACTAAAAACAAAGGTATTTCCTGTTAAATAGTAAAGCATACAAATCAATTTCAAAGTGAAAATTGTTCTGAATAATTAAGCCAAACAAGTAATAATAAGTAAGAAGATCAAGATACAACTGCTAATATTTAAAACATTCTCTGTGAAACTTCTTGCTCCTTTTTTCTTTCCTTCTCCAGCTAATCCTTGAGCACATCTGTCTCTTAAGGCCAGGAACAATGGTTGCTCCTCGCCACTTTACAGTTTTCCCTACAATTTCCACGGTGTCAGGGGGACATAGTAGGTGCTCAAGAAATATTTATTGAATGAATGAATGGTCACAGATGTCACATTTTACCTAAGTTGGAAAATTGCTTTGTATGTAGAACACCTAGTGTTCATGTCAGTGATGAGGCGTTATTTCTCTGAATTCATCCAAGAGATTTTATCTTTGCTCTGTGTACCATGGAAATTGGAAAGTTTTTTTTTTATGTCATCTTTAATAATGCAAATAAACAATCAAAACCAAGAAAGACTCAGAATGAAAGAAAATCAAAGATACTTATTATATTCAATATAAATTTGCAGTACTACTTATTCCCTTATTGACTGTGCCTTTGTTTACTCAGGGAATCACACCTGGGGACCTTAGTGGTCATGGGGGCTAATTTTCCCTCCCACTCAGGAATGCCAAGCACTACAGGTAGGTTAGCCAGTCTTGCTGTGGGCCTCACTGATACATGAAGCACAACATTCTAAGGCAGCCCCTGCAGTGTCACATAACTCATGTTTCTGGAAAGTCCTTCCTAGTGTTGAGCAGAAATTTGCCCTTCTATAGTTACCACTTATCAACTCTCACCGTGCCCTTTGGGGGAAGGACAGACTACATTTGCACAGTCTTCCCTAGGACTGCCTGTCAAATCCAAAGAGATATTAGTGAGGACGGGCAGGCTGGAATGCAGAATGAAACTGGTTGTTTGGCGATTCCCAGCACCCATTGTAGCACACAACAGGTGCTCAATAAATGTGAATATGTAGGTAAGTCGATTCACCTGAACCCAGTTTTATCACCTGTTAAATTTTTAGAAGACTGGAGGGCTCTGTCTAGTTTTAAAAGCCTATGATTTTATGTTCAACCATACTGCAGGTATTCTTGCATCTAAGTTAAACGTTTACAGTTCCTTTAATGTTCCTCTTGCACTATTTATTACCTTTTTCTTATTTAGCTCCCCTCTCTGGTTTCTAGTTTGTCATGAGCTCTCCTAAAGGATGTGATATTCAGCATCATGCTGAAGACCATTTTAAATAAGCCCACTGCTAAAGCTCTCTCCTGGTTGACTTCAACCCATGGATTAACACTCTGTGTGTGAAGAGTTACCACCAAAGAATGGACCTAATCAAACTAACATCCTGCTCACAGCTCTCATTCATCTGCAAGAACTTCATGAGAAATTGTCAAATACTGTTTTGAGCTCAAGATGTACAACGTCTATGGCACTTCCTTGACTCGTCTATCCAACTTTGTTATTAAGGAAAAGGAATGAGCCAGTACAGCAGGAGTTAGCCTTGATGAACTGCGTGGGCTCTGGGTGACTATTTTTATATAAGTGTTCAGAAGTCATGCATTTAATAATTATCTCCCCAGCTTTGTCAGGGATTAATATATAGATTATTGGTCTGTATGTTACTAAATCTCATCTGCCTTTCACTAACTATCTAGGCACTTGCCTTCATCTGCTCTTCCAGGTTCTCCCCTATCTTCTGTGATTTGAGTTATTGATAATGTCATGTCTCTAGGTTCTTCCAGTCTCTGGGATATAATTTGTTTTTGGGTCTGGGGACTCAAACTTATGCGATGTAGCTAATTGTTCAGACCTATCCTTTCCAGTTAATTAGTAATCTCTTCATTGGAGAAGACTAAGCATGATAAGAAATTGGTAGGCAAAGCAGATATTCTCCAAAGCTTCAGGACTGGAAAGCAAAGGCTTCTCACTTTGACTTCTTCCTTGGTTCTCTTTGCACCTTCCCTTGTGGCTGGCACAGGAAGAGGGACTAAGGCCCCTCTGAACTTGGCTTCTGACTACCTGAGCCAGGAGTGGGAAAAATCTCTTTCTTTTTCTCCCCTGCTCCCACTATATCTATTGAAGTAAGTAGACCTGGAGTCCTTTGCGGGCCTGGAACTAGTGCTACCAGATAAAATATAAGATGCTCAGTTAAGCTTGTGGATTATCTGAAATTCAAGTTTAACTGGGCATCTCTTTCCTCTTCCTTTCAGGTAAGTTCTGCGACTTGTGTGAGAAGCTTAGAGTGGGAAAAGGACTAGAGTGGATCATGTGGCCTGCTTTGTTTTCCATGCTCTTGGATTCTTCTGGCTGTAGCAAAGGTGCTTTTGACATGGTTCTGCTCAGGTAACTATAAATCTGTCTTGCACATCTCGTTGTCCTTCTGGACCAACTCTTATCCTTCATTCTTCACCCTGCTCAGCGCCCTGGAAAACCAGCTTATGAGAACTACTTAAGGCAACACCCTTGCCCTCTACCTTCTTGACAAGAGATGACAGAGCAGGAAAAACAGGAGGTCTGGGATCTAGGTCCCTGCTCCTTTCTGCTGTGTCACTGTGTGTGGGTGGCTGCATCCTTCTGCTGAAGGTCACGCTCCTGTCAGATGGCCCCCTACATGCAGAGGTCCTCTTGAGAGTCCTCCCCTTCTCAGCCTAAGGGCTGCCAGGGCTCCCAAGTGTCCCTATTCCAGAGATAATAATCTAATCCTTGTAGGTTTCCTTACTTTCTGGATGCATACATGTAAGAAGTCCTTTTTCAGCTCTCCTTAATTTATGGTCTGTTTCCTGACAGAATCTTGATTGCCAGATCTGTGTGGCAGCTGGTGCCATGTCTTAGTGTTAATGTTAATTTTTCTGCTCCTGTCCTCTGTTTCTCTCTTGTCCTCTAAGATTTTATTTCTCAAGGGCTTTATGGTTTGGAGTTCAAGACTGGATTTCAATATTTGTGTCCCTCGCTCTCTATCCCTGCCAAATAATGTCATTTAAGTTTTATCTCCTTCCCAACCACCATTTCGATATTCTGCTCTTATGGCAGTTTTTAAATATATTTATTTCTAAAAGCAGCTTCTGTTTGACTTTGTGATATCAGTTATACATATTCCATAATTATATAATTTCATGTTCTCGTCTTCACATACTTTCTGTTGACATTTCTCCTTCAATGTACCTTAATTAAAGAGTTTATGAGTTGACTGGGGAGAGAAGACGTTTCCCTGGGAAACCTCAATAGTAATTGCAACACTACAACCACTGCGATTCTCAACTGGGTCTCAAATGCCTGGCACGGATGGTCAGCTAAAGGAAAGGCCTTTCTGTGTTATCTTCCTAAGATGGCTTATCCATCAAGGCAACCAGATGAGTTTACGTGGCCACTGGGCTTTGCAGCTGTCAGAGAACAAAGAACTGAATGGAGCCTCCAGGACTCTCCTGGGGCATCATCTTGCCTTATCCTAGTATGCTCGTTTCAAGTTCTCAGGCCAGGCAACTTCCTGTTCTTTTATGAGTTTAGTTAGCTTCCAAACGTTCCACTTATTTCTGAAAGTCAGAGGTTAAACTTCACTTGAGAGCATTATGATGTGAGCAGGAGAACATGGAGGGAGGGCTACAGTTTGCTGGGTGAGTGTTCTAGGGAAGTCACTTTTCCAGGAAACTGCTTCTCTGCTTGTGCTTGGGAAGAACATTGGTCCTCACATTTGTTCCCCCCATTTCAGCACACAACAGGACTTCAAAGCATGACTCAGAAACTTGAGGGAGTGGAGAAAGGAAAAGATGTGGTTTAATGAGTAGTCTCAAAAAATCACTCCGGCTTTTTGATGAATATATGTGTGTATGTATAAGAAAGGCCTCTGGATGCTGCAAATAATGGTGTGACTCTTATTATAAACAGTAGAAAGAATAGGTTTTACTAACTTGAATCTAAACTGCCATACCTCAGGAATTGGTTCATTCACATAGACCCATTCTTCGGACCCTGGCTTAGGTGGTGGTGGCACTGCTGGGGTAGGCGACACAACTGTGGATTCAGCAGGGGATTTCTTTCCTGGTATTTTCCCTCCTGATGATTTTCCTTTAGGAGAACCTTAAACATGTATATGAAGTCATTCTATTACAAGTAGATGAACAGGACCAGATTCTGGCAGACAGACGACTTTATGTTTGCCTTGGACTTCAGGCAATTCCTTAATTATTTTTTAAGCAACTTTGTGCAGCATGATCTAATCAAAAACCTCATTCTTTACAGCTCAGAAATGAACCAATAATACCAATAACAGTTATGTAAAAGCAATCCAACTTCTCATATTCATTTGGCTATAAAAAGCAACTTGATATTTTATTTTCATCTCTGTCCTTGCTTCCACAATGAACGTACGGCTCTTACAAAGTTTAGAGTCTAGAGACAGGTGTATTTCATTTCCTGCTGCATAAACTGGCAAATTAAACTCTTCGCACCGAATGAGAAAGAGGGCAGCTATAACAGGAGCTGTGCTTGGTGTTCCTTGAAGCCCAGGGGAGGAGCAGGGAGGAAGGAGGTCATTGCAGGAGTTAGCTGGAGCTGGGGAGGGTTGGGAGAGGAGAAGAAGAGGTAGTGTAGCTCCTGAATATTCCCATATTCCCTGCATGAGACACAGGGCTTCTGAGTGAAAGACTATTTTTTGCTACAGTCAGAAAGTATAGATGAAGGTAATTGTTGTGTTGTTAGCCTGGCTGAATTAAGGCAGTAAAGAGAGAGAAGGAAAGGAGAGGGGAGGACACAGGAGGGGAGAAAAGGGAAAGAGAGAGGAAGAGGAGAAAAGAAGAAAGAAGATGCAAAAGAGGCCTAATTTTCAGTTCAGCATCAAGAGGGCAATCTAGACCACTTAAGGGGCACCCCGATCGTCTAGGAGCCTTTGTGACTGACCAAAGTACCCTCATTCAGGAAGAGCCAACATTTCCGTAAAGGATCAAGGCTGTTCAGAGTTTAGAAATTTATTCCATTTGAATTCTACTTCAGATTCATTATTGAGATTTTAGATGCAGTTTATAGATGCCTGAAGAATTGGGAGCATGATCTTTCCCCAAAATATATTTATTTGATGTTATTTAGGAAGTAACTATATCTTCTACTTTCATACTAGTTAAAAATATGTGGATTATACATAGAGGGGAAATTGGCAATTGTATCTTGTGGATAGCTTAGGTGACTTGTACTTATGTATTTAAAAAGAGTATCCATTATTCACAGGTCTAAAACTGTGTCTAGAATTTTTTTTTAATTTAGGAAAATTTAAGAAAATCTTTGTTCAGTCAATAACCAAGATTTTCATCTATTTTTTTTTCTGTTGATGATTTTTCATCCTTTGACCTGACTCTCTAGTGAAGTAAAAGTAATAATGTTATGGCCACCCAAAACAAATTTTTCTAAGCAGAACTGTGTAATTATAAATGAGACTGGAACAAGGTTTTTTTTTGTCACCCATTTCAAATATTATTAGACACAATAAAATTTCAGTAAAATTAAAGCAAAAGATTTTGTAAGCCCTTGGGATAACTTATATTGAGCTAACTAGGTTATCCTAGTGTATATATTTTGCTGGTTGAACCTGAATTTGCTCATTGTGTTTGGAGACTATATATTTTTAACTAAGAATGTTCTTAGAGCATGTGCACTATTATGTTTAACTTGATGATTTAGTACCTGATATACACAGGTATATTTAATTCCTACTTTTGATGATTCTATGATGCTCCTTCATTTGATTTTGTTGATCACAACAAGAAAGCAATGGATGAATAATTTAAATGTAAAAATTATTCCCCTGTTACTATAAACAGGTGAAAAGTGAGCATAAATTATAACCCTTAACATTTGAGCTACATTAACTTACCAAAAGGCTCTAGTTATTTAAGCCTATCAAGTCATATAATCAGAAGGGTAAGATTCTCTTAGAGACTCATGGTTATGTATCTTTAAATGCTGAAAATAAAGGTTGCTTTTTAGCACATCATTTTGTAAATGTTGCACACTTTTGGAAGGCAACTACCTTGGCAATTTGTAATGACTGTTAAACAAAGGTACACTCTTCCTGACAACCTATTTGAATGTACCCTGGAAAAATGTCAACCGTCTGTATCCATAACTCCTGTTAAATCTCTAACTAATTGGTTGCTATAGCAGCTTCGACATAAATCTAATATGCTTTTAGAGGCTGGTATTTTATTCTACCAACTGTCAATTACTTTAAAAATATATTCCCCTTATTTCGCAGAAATAGTTAAATAAAATAAAATAAAACAAAACAAAATATAAATGAAATTAGGGTCAAGAAAAATACAACTAAAAGTAGAATGTCAAAGCCGAGAGAGGAATTAGAAGGCAGATGCTGAGATCTAGGTCCTTGCACAGATATTAAATCTGAGCCACTAATTTGGCTCTAAACTTTTAGACAGAAAAAACAGAAAAAAAGGAATGCTATTACTTAGCTAATCTAACCACTTAGAGGAAGAAAGATTTTCCTGTCCCTTGATTCTAAATGAAATTTCTCACCTGGGGTTTCATATAGGAATCACTGAATGATGTAGTGGGCATACTATCCTTTTAGAAAATGTAATACCAGATTATTAGGTATAATGAAACTTTCACCTCCACTGCAATATGTCATAAAGATAGTTGATGATTTTATACCAAAGTGCTTATCAATGAAAGCAATTCCATGGGGACCAAGATATATGGTTCAGTATGTAGCTTTCTGATGGCATAGTTTAGCCAAGGATAATGTCTATAATATCTTTGATGAGTAGATATTCCGTATATTAGATATTCTCTAAATTATTTCTAACAAGCATCACTTTTTTCAGCAGGACTTTTGCCAAGAGCCAGGCTGCAGAAACACTGAGGTTACATTCTTTGGCAGGGGCTTATGATTTACAAATGCCTAAGAGATGTATTTGGTGTATCTTACTATACAAATCTAGCTCTTTCACTGAGACAGTTAGAAAATGCAGAAGTATATTTAATTCCATCTACCTTTATCTGCTGCGCCTTTTCTTTTGAGTGAAGTATCACCTTTCTTCCCTTTTCCTTCCTGAAGAGATTCTTGCCTACCACGTTGGGGTTCTAAACAAAATTCAATACATAAATATCATTGATTGTTTTGTTCAACAGTCTGACCTATGTGGTTTATAAGCAATCCAATGTTATTTCTCACAGATAAACAGTTATGTTTGTGGACAGCATTAAATAGCCCAGGCCTTTACTGTGAGTTAAAATTCATCTGAAGACAGACAATGGATTGAAACTTCTTAAATGACAGCCTTATCAGCATTATTCTATTCTATCACACAAGTTTAGTCCTAATATTAACACCAACTTTTTGTAGTGGATTTGATTGTGAATTTTTCATTGCAACATAGATGCAAAGTTTTAGGTTAGTCACAAATCCATTTGAAGCATATGGCTCTATTTAGATTTATTTCAACCGAATGATCTTATACGATTCAACTGGATCTGTGATAAGAATGATGCCGAAACCACTTAAAGAGTTAAATAACCATGTTGTTTTGATACGGCACATCCTTGAACTTCTCTTAAACCACACATTCGGGTGCCTTGTGATTTTTGCATTTCCATTTTGTATTGACTGTAACTTGCAATGCAAAGAGTTGATTCAATATATTTATCTTGGATTCCTTAGAATCTATTTTAAAACCATGTGGGAAGGGCAAAAAAAAATGGGAAACTAATGATCTGGAGGTCAATAAGATGTCTCAAATAGTAAATCAGCTCCTTAAAAAAATTCACTACATCTTGCATTATTCACTAAACAAATTCAATCATTTTTTCCCTTTCTCCTGAGCTACAGTTTTTTTTTTCTTCAGTGGAAGAATGACTATATGGGGCAATTTAAACACCTATGATAGAGAAACCCCATTTGAACCTATTTTTTTTTGTATTTAGAAGTGATAGTTACAAGAATGCATAAATGCATAATACATGTCACACTTAAACATCTCAGATCCCAAAACCAAGATTCCATAGAAATAAGGCCAGTGAAAAACATGGATAATGAGTAACCTTGAAACTTTGTTAACTTCTATAAAATAGTTGACCATCAAACTCATTAATAAATACATAAGTAAATATCCAAGGTTTTGAATTCATTGCTTTTAAAGAAATAGTAATATTAGTAATAATAACAAAAGTCTATATAAGCGACTAGTTCCTTTAATAACAATACTCTGAGTAACCAACTATTTAACCAGCTCTAAACTTAAGCTCAACGCAACAGAGAAAAGAAGGTAAAAATAGAGATACCTCACACATTGAACTTATAAAGTATTGTGGGCAAGTCTAATTTCTGCTGGGGGCAACATGACTCTGCCCATTTTCTTTTTATCAGTTCTAAAATATATTCTGAGATCTCAAAAAATATTCTTAAATAGTATGGGTAGTACTATTAATTTTATCACATTAAATTTTTTTGTTTTAAATTAAATTCTGACATTTGGTAATAGATTCGATAATAAACTCTTTAATAGATCAAAACTGAAGTTTTCCAATTGAATGCCAAGTGCATTTGAAGCACATATAAAGTGCAGAACCACATTCAATGTGAAACTATATTTGGACAAAATCACTTAGCACTCAGTATACTAGGCCTGCTTCCTTACCCCATTTCCACCTTGATTTTTAAGTAAATAATTCCTCCCTTCACCTCAGCTTCTAAAGGAGGTTGCAATTGGGTTTTTAAGTTGGGCATGTTCAGAGACCTCAGGTTTTTGGTTCTGAAATGCTCTCTTTTGAAAAATTTGTAAATAATATATATATATAAAAACCTGCTGGAAATTTCCCTCCTAAAATTGCTTCACCAAACCTCCCTGAGCTATAAGGGCAGCGAGACCTGTTCTATTTCCCCATCAATGCCCCAAAGCCCCAAGAGCTCCTTCCGACAGGCGTTATTGTTGGAAGGCAGTAGTAGTTTGGCCCCTGAAGATCAACCCTTCCATACATTTTTAAAGATTGGGCACTCACCCTGTCCTTGGTGGAAAAAAGAGACAGATACAACCATTCTTTGAAGTAACAGTAGCTTTATTATTCCTCCAGTGCACAGTTTTCAAGAATACAGTTTTAAATCCACAAGAAAACTTCAGCAATGTAAAGACTGAACTGTGTTATAACCAGAAACTCCAGAGATTGGTTGGAGGGCATGGCCCAGGTGCATGGGTCCTTCTGTCTGTGAACAGGCTGTGGGAGAAGCAGAGAGAGAGCCGCGGCCACAGGCTCAAGGCCTGTCCACACTGGGCAACCGTAGGCTCTCTGTCCTCCCAGTTCTATAAGGCATTGGAATGACTTCCATTTTTCCTCCAGATCTCTGAACTGTTTCTTTTTTTTTTTAAACTCCTAGTGAGGTAGTGGGAAAGGGTGGTATATTTAATTCATGGCTTTCTATTTGACTGTTCATATGATAAAAAATTTTTTAGAGTTTGTGTATTTTGCCTTTAGTTAAGCCTCGTTTGGTTGGAATACAATGATTTTTAATAGACCATAACATATTACTAAAATGTTCAAATTTATTTGTTTAATATCAAACAGTTTAATTTACAAATGTTCAGACCTATCTCAAAACTCCATGAAGCAGGAATATGATGGGGTTTAGAAATAGAGTCATGACACACTGTGAAGACTATACCTTGGTAGCCTTGGGTAGCTCTACAGCTGGCCACTTAAAAAGCTGTAACAAGCAACTACAGACACATTTGTTTTGTATACACAGGACCAATGTGATAATCTGCCAACACCATGCATTTCCACAAGTAAACACTTTACTTTCATCATTATTTGCATTGTCTATCACATACCTCAATGGTCCTTAGGGGTTTAGAATCTGGAAAAAGAACTTAAGCTACGCAATATTCTCTACACCAGCTCTTAATCCATATGTATTATATATTATAAATACATAAGTTTACTGAAATGACAGGTACTTGTTTCTATCCTTTTATAATCGCATTGCACTGAAGGTTAATTGTACATAAATTCTATTCTCTAATGAATAGTGTTGATTTGTTCCCTTATTCTTGTGGACAACTGCTTATGCTAATTCTCATGTTCATTTTCGTAAGAGGTTCTCAACTCTACGTAAAACTCTGCAGGTCAGCACACCGTCTGGCCTCTTGATCTGATCTAAGGTCCTCCTGGTTATTCTCTGTGACTTTTCCCCTCTCATTTGTGGACTTAAACTAAGCAGGGGTGTGAGGACTTCATCGTCCCCCTATGTAGTGAAGTGCCTGGGCTTTGCGACAATCAGCTACCAAGGGCTTTTCCACTGCCATCTGAGCGGATAGCTTGGTTTCATATGACTGGAGTTGCTCAAAGTCTGAATCTAGGTCCTGGTTAAAGGACTGGTCCTGTAATTTGTAACTCTTTTCTAAGTGAAAACAAGAACCTGGCAAACAGGATGATAAACGATTCTGTCAGTCACCTGATGGTGGTTTTCCTTTGGCAGGAGTTTTTGAATGCTCATGCGGAGGATGGGTTTCCTTCCCTTTTTCTGGTTCAGGAGGAGGAGGCGGAGGAGGAGGCAATGCTGCAGCCTCAGCCAGGGAAACTTCTTTTCTCTCAGCTTCCTTTTCTTCTAATTTCTTTTTAACTTCAAAAGGATGACAAGAATGGACTTTTATTAGGGACTCCAGACAGCTACTCTTTCACTTGAGCTATGATCAACCTTCTAAATTATAAATTGTCCTTCCTGATGTATGGCTAAGTTCATGTTGGGGTTCTCCCTTAAATTATCCAGTCTTTAAGGTTTTCATCCTCTCTGCTTGGTAAGAACTCCCTTCTCCCTTGCTTCTGAAGGCACTGGCGGTGAGGGTGGGGATGGGGATGGGATGGGGACTGTGTGTGGCTTGTTAAGGGGGTGTCAAATATAAAAGCAACAATCTAAAAATAGGTAATGTAGAGGAATAGAAACAAAGGATTATTTCAAAATTTCTAGTGGGAAAACAAGGTAAAAACTGTAACGAGAAGATGAAGAGTATTTGATAGAAGAGGTGAGGATGGGGTGGAAATGCAAGGGGAACAAGAGTAGATACACATGAAAGAATAGATACAAAGCATTTAGAATAATACTTGGTACTCAGTGAAGTTTTAGCAATTCACTCATTCATTCATTCATTCATTCATTCACGTGACAACTATTTATTGAACCTAAATTGTGCCTGGAAAGAAAGGAAGGTCTCTAACAATAAGGTAAAACTAGCACCACCACCACTAATACTATCACTACTGCTGCTAGTACCACTACCACTACAAACAACACCAGGCACAGCGCTGGCTGCTGAAGATACAACAGTAAATCAAGACGGGAAAAGTCGCTGCCTTGTGAAGCGTTCATTCCAGCGCTGAGAGGCAAACCAGGAGCCTGGTGAAGAACCTGACTTAAGAGGTTGGAAGGTGATCCGTGGCAAGGAGAAGATAGTAGAACAGAGCACAGACAGGGATCAGGAAGGGATGGTGCTTAAGGTTTAAATAGAGTGCTGAGCGGGGTGGGCCCCCAGAGGGTGGCCTGGGGCCTGGAGCGGCTGGGCAGGGCCAGGGCCGGCCTGTGTTTCTCCAGCCTCCTGTTGCTGGGAAGGCCCCCTGGCTCCCAGGATTCCAGCCCGCCCTGTCCAGCCCACCGCCGCGGCTCCCCCTGGCCCATGGGCCCTCCGTGCTGGGAATGGCCGCAGCACCGCTGGCTGAGCTGCGGGCAATGCCATTTCTTCGCATGGCTATTTCTTTGCATACACACTCCCTCCACCCTACATTCTTTGCAATTCAGCCAGCGAGGGGGCTTCATTCCAGTCGATGTTTATGCAAAGTGGAAATCGACTTTTTTTTCTGATTATAAAGTAATATGTGATTATTGTTTGGGGGGAGAATTAATAAATTATTCTTTAATTAGCCATCTCCGGTAGTCTTTTTAAAAACACAGCTTCCAGCCCCTTGCAGACACACTTTCTCCCTTCTTAAAGATTTTTGTTTTTCTTCTGCACTTAAAGTATTTTCCACAAATGTCCACTGACGGATAAACAAAATGTGGTGTATACTTACAATGAACAATTACTGTTTAAAAAAAAAAAATCAAACAATGTAGACAAATAAGTAGAATGGGAAGTGGCCTGATTTGCCCTTTACTTTCCCTGACCATCGACACTTTATATGCTGCCAGGTTCTTTTCTGTGCATATTTAACACATAGACACACTTTTAAAATAAAAAATGAGACTACTTTATATACAACCTGCCTTTTCCTATTTAACAGTATATTATGGTCACATTTTTTTTCACCTCAGAATATATAGGAAAGCACCACATCCTTTTATTTTTAACAGAGTACTAAGTAAATGGTTAGTATATTAATAATAAAATGTTTATTAATTTAATTAACTGATTGGACTGTAAATCTTAAATAAGTGGCAGTTTAGTCTCTTGAGGTAGTCAGTGATTAGAACATAAAATCTTTAGGAGACTGGTGAAGTGCGTCTGATTCTACCCTGTAGATGTTTGAAGCTCTAGCTTTGAATCAGTTGGCTTTTGCCTCCCAGCCAAGACTCCCAGATTGCTGTGGGAGGTTTGTTCCTCCTCTCGGGCTAATTTCTGATTGGCAAGTACCATGTTGAGTCTCTTCAGTAATATTGATATATGCATCGGTTTGGCTTTGTCTGAAGGCTTCGCGTGGGTGTTTCTGGGAAGCAGACTTTACGGTGGAGGAGCTCGCCTTCCTAAGTGCAAGGCCCTTGTGACTGTGGCTTACACATGTGTGCTATTTTGGTATCAGTTAACTGATATGTTAACGGTAGTTAGGTCACAGATCTAGGGTCTGGAGGCAGCTTGCTCTGAAGGACATTTTAGAATGCTTGTGACATTAACCAAGAAACTGCAGTTGCCAACATAATTAGGAGCAACTGATTAAAGGGAAGCATTTCCAAAATCATTTCTCAAGGGGAAAATTACTATTAAAGCTTGCCATTGGAAGTGCAGGAGCCTCACATCCCTTTCAATAATAAAGTCTAATAATACTATGGAAAGTTGATGGGAAATTGTTATTGGTTAGATGAAGGACGACCGAGGTCCAGATGGTTTGATTTGGGTTATATAGATCTCAGAAGCAAGCATATAAGTGAGTAGTTAATAATCAATAAACTCATACCAATACAGGAAGATTGGGGGAAATAAACTGCCTAGTGTTTCCATCCCAAAAGGAGAAATCACTCACTGCTCCCTTATAAGGCTGCGGTTGACAGCTTGAAATCTCTATCCTTCTCTATAACATCCTTCATTCTAACTCAGCTATTTTTTTGCTCATATGAAAACCATGTTTCAGCTAGATGACCTCTTTTGATTGAAGCAAGGAAAGGAAAATCTTTTATTTAGAAACATTTGTGGCAGAAAACTAAAATTAGAGTTAGAAGACATTTGTAGATAGTACAAATAGAAGAGAGAACTTTGTGATCACACTTTCATTTCCTCTTCAATTCATTAACCCACACATTTTGCTTATATAAGCTCAAAATTATAAAAAATATAGTTACCTTTGTTCTCTTTTTTTACTATTTCATTCATAAATATTTCCTTTACTTTTTGGCATAAAGACTCTTTATCTACTTCAGCATTGATTTTTATCAAAATATTTCCTGGTTCCAAAAACCATTGCTGCAATAAAGGCCAGTTGTCCATGAAACCTAGAATTCTACAAAATCAAAATATTATATAAATATTACATACTGAATAAAATATTTGAATAACATTAAGCATTAATTCCTCGACATGCATAATGAAAGAATAAGCTGCCCATATAATTAAACCTGAAAGACCAACTTTAAGAACTCTACAGGCAATGGAAGAATATTCATTTCAAAGTAGAAATTATTTAATGACATCAAGCCATATTTTTGAGGTACATGAAACAGTAAACAAGGACTTGAAAATGAAATAATTTCAGAAGTGCTTTCGTGGTAGTTCAGCTTGCTAAGTGAAAATCTAAGGAAACATCCCCTGCACTCACAGTAGAAGGACCAAGTGCACGTTTGGTGGCAGCTGCAGCCTGAGCTGCCTACATCCTCTACTCTTTTCTTTGGGGTAGACACTGAGGGAAGAGAACTTTGAGTGAGAGGAGATGGGTCAGACTTAATTCCTTTATATAAGTCAAATATATTCTTGGAATGGTTCTTGAAGCTTTCTTGTCTTTCCTGAGAGACGAGAGGCTTAATGTCCCTCAAATTACTTGTCCCTGTGAATCGTTGTATTTTTAGACTTCTCAAGGTTTCATAAAATTGTCTAAATTTTCTTTTCACATGAACAAATTGCACCAAAAGAATAGTTTCTTTTTTTTTTTTTAAAGCTTAATTGCTTTTTAGCAAAACAGGAGTAGTTTTAGAACTACACTCTGTAGTCTGATGCCCAGCTCTTCAAATTTCATGATCTCCATTGGCATTTGCTGAAGAGGGACTGAATTAGGGGCTGAATTAGGTTCCATACAATGAACTTGTACGTTCACATAGCCACAGAGGGAAGTGCTGCCTGGCTGAATCCTTTCCTCCCGGGTTCGGGCGACTAGCACTCTGACTCAGAAAGCAAGCACATGAATATTTCATTCAGCATCAAAGCTGCTTAGTTTTTTTACCTGTAAAAGACTGCATGCTAGGAAATACGGCTTTTTCCTAGACCTGATGGTCCCAAAGTGACTAATTGTCAGTCTGTTCAAAGAACTTGAAGCAGGACATTGAATTTTAAACTCACCTATGCTGTATTTGGTGTCTTAAATTCTGGTCATCATCTGTATCTTCATTCTCAGCAGCTACGCGTTGATTGATATCTTCATGAAGTGTTCTAGTTGGAAATGCTTTAGCTATGACATGAAAATTATTTAATTAGATAATTTGCAAAACCAGTTAAAGTTGCAGTAGCATTGTTAAAATGTACTGATACAAGAAATTCAAATAGATATATGGTCCTGCCTTTGGTCCAAAAGGAGTTAAAATGTTTAATAAAATGTTGAACAAGTGTAGTTTTGAGATCAGAATTTAAATTTTCCTTGGAAATTGAAGAAAAAGTAAAGTACAACATTAAAGAGGAGTTGTGGTTTCAATGGGGAGGGCCTTGGGATTAACTATGAAGAGATGAGGATGACAAAGGATGGGTCATCATGAATAACGAGCTAGGAAACAATTAGAAAATCCCCACCATGATGTAAAAATTAAGAATGAAGTAATGTGGATATAAAGTCAAATATTCATAAAATTATTAATAAATTATTCATTAATATATTGTGTGTATTACAACACAATAATTTCTCTTCCTTTCTAGGCTTTACGGTCTTTCCCTTTAGGATAAATATAAAGGAACAGACCACAAGAGACCAAATATAATAACAAAAACAATCTCAACAGCTCTGATTGAGTCCTATTCAGGATTAATAATATAAAGTCCAGAATACTCGTGAATTTAGAATAAATGGAAAACCATAGAGGGGGAAAAAGGTTTGAATCAGATTTTTAAAAAATTAGAATGACCAGGTCAATGCAAGAGAACACTGAAGAGTGAATAAAGTAATAGTGTTCAAGAAAATGAAGATCCATCACAAGATACAGCAATTATTTGCCTTCCATTTACTGTTCAAGGCAGAAAAAGAAGAAATGGGTCTAGAACACAGAATAATGCTTGTAGGTTACTTACTAAACTCAAAGATTACTGGCACCAGCAATGCGTGACTGAAGAAAACTGTGGGGGCTTTTCTCAGGTGAGGCTCTCATGCCCCATCTCACGGCCACTCTCTCGTGTTTGTCAGGGACTTCAGCACAGGGGTGCGCGTTCCTCTCTCCCGAGCCCCACCCGTCCCCGGCCCCTTGCCCTACCCTCTGCTCCCAGCACTCACTGCCATGGCCCCATCCTGGATTTTGTGGTCACCTTGAATGGCTCCATCTCTGCTGTCTTAGTGACTTGTACGCCTATTACCTGTCCCACACCGCCCTATAGCCGACGAATCTCTCCAACACCAGCCAGCCTCTAAACATCGTTTTCCCCCAAATTACCAGCGTTATCCTGACTTCACTTTATTTTCTAGCAAACCAGAAATGCTTGGTTGAACACTTCAGCTTCTCTCCCTCATCTAATAACTTCAATTTTTGTGTCTCTTAGCTATACCAGCCTTAGACAACTTTCATCTGTTTCCCAGGCTTATACTAATACAGGTAGACATTTTTGAAGAAAAATACACAACCCTGTGACTTGTAACCACACTAATTCCCTGGCTTAAAAATCACTGTTGGTGGGAATGCAGACTGGTTCAGCCACTATGGAAAGCAGTGTGGAATTTCCTCAAAAAGCTGAAAATGGAACTGCCTTTTGATCCAGCGATTCCCCTGCTGGGACTATACCCTGAGAACACCAAAACGCCAATACAAAAGAACCTATGCACCCCAATGTTCATAGCAGCACAATTTACAATAGCCAAGTGTTGGAAGCAACCTAAATGCCCATCAGTAGATGACTGGATCAAAAAATTATGGTACATATACACAATGGAATACTACGCAGCAGAAAGAAAAAAGGAAGTACTAAACTTTGCGACAGCATGGATGGAACTGGAGAGCATCATGCTAAGCGAAATAAGCCAGGGGGCGAAAGACAAATACCATATGATCTCACCTATAAGCGGAACCTAACCAACAATGCAAAGAAGCAAGGAAAATATGACCAGCAACACTGAAAGGAAAAGAAATCAACAGAGACAAGAGAGAAGGGGGGGGCAGGGAAAGGGAAGGGAAGGGTCAAGTCAAGGAACATATAGCAAGGACTCATGGACAAAACCAAAGGGGAAGAGCTGAGGGAGGGAAGGTGGGAGGGGGCAAGGGAAAGAGGTGGGGGGAAGGCAGAGACAAATGTATTTAAAAAGTAAATAAATTAATTAAAAAAAATAAAAATCATCTGAGTTCTTTGATATACACATACCCTTTTCTCAGAGAGAGAGAGAGAGAGAGAACACTAAGAAATAATAATAAATACCTTTTGCCATGGCTCTCTCCTTTCTCGCAGAGGCGAACACCTTGAGAGCTGTCTCCACTCATTCTCCACCTGCCTCCCCCCTCCCCATTCACGCCTCACCCATGGAGCCCATTCTTCCTTCTCTGCTCCTCCGTTGGGACGGCTCCCAGCCCCGTCCCCAAAACTGTCAAGGCCAGTGGATCAGTTTCAGCCCTTATCTATTTCTCTGTCACATTTATAGGTAAAATTTAACACACAATTCTTAAATACTTTTACACATATTCCATTATTTTAGAGTCACCAAAAAAACTTGGGAAGCAGGATTATAACTCCATAATTGGCCCTAAATTGCACTGTTCATAAATGGGAGAGAAGATATTTGATTTCAGTCAATCTGACTCCAGGCTCTGGGCTTCTTTTTAAATGTGAAGGTGTTTATTGAATTGTACCTGCCAAATAGAATGCATCCATCAATATGCAGCCCAATGACCTCCCAAATGGAAGACAGCGCCCAGATGAAGAAACAAACATGCTTCTTTCCAGTCACTGTTGCACAAAGGTGAAGCATCGGGGACTGCACGGACCATCCCTGTACCTCTCACCGTGTAATGAACTCTACTGCTCCCCCCCGCCCCAGGCTGGTGATAGCCTGAGGTACTGGCTGAAAACTCAGGCACAGCCGCCCACTCTTCCATTCTGACACTTCCTTACTCCCCTTTGGACGTCCCCTCTCCTTTGGTGTCCCTGGTCTCCTGCCCGTTGACTTGCAGTCTGGTCCATTCCTCTCTGCCTGGCCCTGGCAGGACTGATGTTCAGCCTTGGGGCCCACTTGGCTGTGGCTGTGGGCTGCTTCCTTGTGATGCTATGCTTGCCGCTTCTCCATGGACCCTAAGTACTGTAGGGCGGCACGTTGCTCCCAACCCTAGTGACCCCCAGCCTAGGCCTCGGGACTCCAGTCCCCACCAATCTGGAAGGAGGACAGTACAACACCCTTATCTTGACAATCTCTCTTCCTTTTGCTTAGGAGACACTACTTACCCTGGCTTTCTTTCTTCCTCTAGAGCTGCTACTTGTAAGCAGCTCTTTCGCTCTCCCCATTAAAGTTTCATGTTTTCTTGGGTACCACCCCGAATAATTTTTAAATTGTATTTTTCTTTTAAGATGATTTATCCTACCTTCAAGTTCATAACTTTAGTGCACATTTTTCTCCTGACACCGAGACCCATTTATAGAACTGTTCTCTAACACCTTAGCTTAACAGTCCCACAAGCACTTCGAGCTCAACATGTTCCTAAGAAACTCTTCTGTGTTCTTTCCATACTCTCTAAGTGAGCGGTGTCATCATTCAAAAAACTGTGCATCTCACTGTGTGTTCCCCCTGGGCTGCATCCGCCAGCCCACCCGGTCACTGTGCTTAGTGGTTCCCCATCTAAATACTGCTGACGCTGACTCTTCTTATTTTGCTTCTTACAGTTGTCTTAATGCCTTTGTTGTTTTTTAGATGGTAATAGTTTTCTAACTCATTTCATTGCTTCCAATCTCATTCCCCTTTCAGTGTATCCTCCAAATGGAAGCCAAAATGACCGTTATGAAAAGTGTATTTAATTGCATTAAATCTCAGCTTGAAGATAGTGCATTGACTTCACCTGGCTTCAGAATAAAGTCCAAGCACCTTAGCCTGGGGCAAGACTCTTCGTCCGGCCTCTGTCCGGTCTCCAGGCCCTTGTCCGCTGCTCCTCTGTAGCTCGCTCCCTCCTGCCCTACTGAGGCTTTTGCTGTCCTCTTGATGGACCACACTAACCTACCAAGGCTTGCAAGTGCCTTTCTATTTTCCTTCCTCTTGGGCTGGCTGACCCCTCTCCATGCTGGGCACACTGGTTATAGCACATAACTGACTACATTATTATAAGCAGCTTACTCTGTTTCTTCTCATGCCACACTTTGAATGACTCAAGGATAGGGACTTGCCCTTCACTTCTGTATTATCACTTCCTGGCACATTATAAATGCTAGATAAATATTTACTAGTGGTGCATTTAAGCTCCCGTCACTCTGCCAATGCCATGTGACAGAACTTTCTGAGATGATGGAAATGTTCTACATCGGTGCTGCCGACACGGTGGCCACTAGCCACACATATATATGAAATGTGGCCAGTATGACTGAGGAACTGAATTTCTAATTTATTAATTTTAGTTAATTAAAACAGCTATGTGTGGCTAGTGGCATCACGTGGGACACACAACTCTGTGCTGTGTAACCCTTGGTTCTTTAGCTACAATTTCCAATAAACTCCTGGAAGGCGGGATCCATTTCTTCTTGTGCCTTGCACCACATGCAATAGATAATATATGAATATATGAATGAACAAGCTATTTTAGAAGGATAGAGTTTCATCTGTCTAAAACAGTTTAGGTGGGCTTTTGCTTAAGATAAGGATGGTATATTGGCAAAAATGATCTCTCAAAGACCATTCAAATCTTATAGTTTAAGAAAGAAAAATCTTAAGATATGAAAGAGTAGTACTTTTTCTTAACTTAAAATACATGAACATGAAAGCTGCAGATTGATTTTCAAAGTTGTGGAAACATATTTAGGACACTCAATTCTAACCCAAACAGGTATGAACTATAAATTCAACAACTTCATAGTAGTTTTAATGGTTTAGGCAGCCTTAACTGAGCTATTGATTCAGTTTACTTCAGACCTAGAGACATGCAATATTAGAAATATAAGATAAAAAGAAAAAAACACATTATGCGTTACTACCAATTTCTGACAGTAGGAAATAAGACTGTTTACATACATATAAGCATAGAATTTGACAAAGGAGAAATTCTCTCTGGAGTAGTGGAGAAAGGGCCTTTATAAGCTTAGTTGTAAGCCAAGGGCCTAGAATTAAGAAATTAAACTATTTAGATGCTAATATCAGCTTTGTCAAATTTACCAGAATTATTTGTTATATAATTTTGACAGGGAATTGAAAGAACTAAAACTAAGAACTGGATTGAACTGAATTTATTGAGAAGTTTTGCCAATTGATTTCCCTTTTTTTTTTGAGATATACAGCGATATTCTTCCTATGGAGCCACAAGAGGGTAGGCAAATCTTCTGGGGTCCTTGTAGGGTTATAACTAGCTTTCAGGGATCCTCTCACCCACCGATGTCTGCGTGTGTTTTATAACCTACTATCAAGTCAGACTTACCTTGAGTTCAGAGCCCTGTTCTGCCACCAGATGGCCATGGACTGGCAGTGTTCTCAGCCGCACCCCCACGCCCCTGCTATCCCCCAAACAGGAAAGGGAGGTTGGCTGAACCGGCAGAATCATCACTACTGTCAGCGTGACTTCTCATCCCTTGTAGGGAGAGAAGTAAACTTTCTCTTTTGAGATGTGATGAACAGCATGCAGCTTAAACTACTAAACTCAACAGCTGACGTAATATCTAATGGCTCTGTTATTCTATTGAAGTAAACAATGAAAGGAAGATCTCAAAATTAAGCAAGCTCCAAACAAGTATATCCCTTTTCTGCTCATCCTTGTCAACACTTGTCATTTGTGGACCTATTCTGGCAGGTGTGAGGTGATATGTCATTGTTTTAATTTGCATTTCTCTGATGATTACTGATGTTGAGCATCTCTGTATATGTCTGTTGACTATGTGTATATCCTCTTTGGAGAAGCATCTATTTAGATCCTCTGCTCATTTTTTAAATTAGATTGTTCATTGTTATGGTATTGAGTAGTATGAGTTCTTTATAAGTTTTGGATATTAACCCCTTATCAGGTGTCATTGACAAATATGTTCTCCCTTTTAGTAGATTGGGAGCATCTTTTGTTATTCACAATAAGCCCTTTTCAACCTTATCTGAGTTTATAGTAATGGAGTGACCCTTGGAGGTTGGGGTCTGGTTGCCAGAGTAATCAACAATATTGTGATTAGAGGGCTGGAATTTTCAGCCCACCCCCTGGTCTCCAGGGAGCAGAAGAGGAGCTGGGGACTGAGCTAATGATGATGCCCAGCGATTCCATCCATTACACTTGCACGATGGAACTTCCCTAAAAACTCCGAAGGGGTCTGAAGAGCCTCTGGGCTGGCGAATGCACCCACAGGCTGGGAGGATGGTGTGCTCCCAGCTCCACAGGGCCTCTTCCAGATCTTTCCCAAGGCACCTGTTCCCCTGGCTGTTCCTCTGTATCCTTTATAATATTCATTATAATAAACAAGAAAAGTAAACAAAGTGTTTCCCTGGGTCCTGCGAGCTATTATCTATTTGCTATTATCTATTATAATAATATAGATATAATAGATAATAGCAAATTGTCAAACCCGAGGAGTGGTCATGAAAACCCCCGAGTGTGTAGTCAAGTTAGAAAGAAATGATGGTAACCTGGGGATCTGCTACCTGAGATTTGCATCTGTAATTGGGGTCTGCCTGTGGGTCTAGGTCTGCACTAACTCCAGATAGGTAGTTCCGGAAAAAGAATTAAATTTTAGGATACCCAGTGTTTTAAAGAAATTTAAATTGTAAACAAGATCATCAAAAAATAAAAAGTCAAAAGAGGTGTCCAACTTACCCATGATGTTACTCATGCGATCCAGTGACAAATTATTGGAAATATCTAATAATATGACAAAATCAAGTGCAGGAGGGCGAAGAGGCACTTCTTTGGCAGCTGTCGGATCGACGGCCAGCGTGTGTGTGTTCTTTCCCTCCAGCTCTTCGGGGTTTCCACTGCAGCCTGAGAGAGCATCCTCCAGAAGCTTGGCTTGGTTTACTGTCATTGGAAAACCATCAAGGACCCAGCCTTGATCCACCGGTATCTGACTAAATTAAAAACGGACAAACCATGAACATTTCAGTAGACACAAGTTCTTTGGAAATAACAACACAATTAATCTTGCCTTTATCTTCCTTCCAATTTCATAATAATCTCCTCCTGTATAAATTTTATTTCTTCATAGCTAAGGTTAGGTTAACTAAACATTCACTTGCCCACAATCCTTCTGTGGGTGCCTGCTGCCCACCAAACCTATTCCAGATGCCCTAACACAGTATTTAAAACTAACTGGGCACAACTTACCTACTGCATCTTATCTCCCACAGGTTTGAGCCATTTAATTCAATCAAATTGATCTCACTGATGTGTGAGTATGAATTAGGATGAACTGCATTTTCTAGCTGTGTTCACAGGCAGTTTCTCTTTTGAATCAATTCCTTTGTCTCTACAGAGCGGGATAACATCACAGGGTGGTTGTGAGAATGACCCGAATTGGTGCATTTTAAGATCCCGGCACAGAAGTCAGCACGTGGTGGACACTCACAATGCCTACCTGGGAACTTCTTCCTACCTGCGCCCCCCACCCCTCCCAATGCCTGCCAGCACCAGCATGGAGTCACCACCGCCTGGTGTGAACCCCTCTGGCCCTCATTCACTTCAGCACACAACTGCTAAGTATTGCATTGCAACTTAGAAAAATTCAAGTGAGTCTTACTTATCTCAATTAAATTATAAGTTGGGTAAGGACCCTTGATGCACCATCTTCTACAGAGAATGGGTGCTCTAAGAATTATTTCCTTTCTTTATATAGGAAAACAATGTGAAAAGGGCATATATGTCAACTTCGTTCTTCTAAACCTATAATTTATGCAAAATCAGGATTTTGGTCTTTGGATTAAAAGTCATGATCTTGTTTCTGTCTCTGTTAAAACTATAAAGAGAAGGAAAAGACTGCGTTTTTGCTTTTATAACTTGGGCGGAGTGTGGTGAAACGCTCTGCATAATGGGCTTGCAGCTCTGTTGGCCTAAGATGGAGAAGTTCGCTGAGCACCTCCCCAGGTCTGGGTGGCCTCTCCTTCACCCACAGTCTCAGCAGCCCCTTCAGAGGGAAAAGGAGGTCAAGATCAAGGACACCAGGTGACATGGAATGAGAAGACCTAGGCCTTGGCTCTGACTATGCTGTGAACCAGACCCGTGACCAGACTGCCTCACTGAACTGCCCTGTGCCTTCCTTTCTTCATTGAAAAAGAAAGGATTTGGATTAGACGAAAGAATTTCAAAGGGACGACTGCCCTGGGAAGGTGCCTCAGGGGCAATCGGAGGGTGGGGGACGGAAGTGAATTTCTCACAGTGGTCATGTGGACCACCAGCTCCCTTGAAGCCAAAGCTAAGATCTGCTTTATAGCTTTTTTCTCCCTTACACAGGTTTTTTTTTTTTTTTTTTAAACAAGGAGTCCCACAAGTTAAACATATTTTGTGCCACTTCTGAGAATGAGATCCCTTCCAGCTCTGAAGGGGAGCATCCCTGTGGCCTGATTTTTTCAGCGTTGCATTCAAGAAGCAATCGTTCCAAGACACATCACAATGGAGAGGCAACGTAAACCTTTGATGAGGTCTCAAGAAAATACCAAAAGGGGGGTCAACTCCAGATGCAGGGCACAACCTCCGGAGAACCTCCTTCCCTGCCTCCCTCAGACTCACTGTTTCCCACCAGCACAGCTGTGCCAATTCTACCTCCTCACCCACCCAAGCTCTCCGAACTCTTCTCAGCAGCCTTTTTGGTTCTTTTTTTCCCATCCTACTAAGCCTTTTCTCTTTTTAATATATATCAGCTGAGCCTCTATGGCTTCTTTTAATTTGTCTTTTTTCTGTATTACCAAGCAGGACCAAGGAGAATCCTTCATCCTTAGAAAGGAGGAAGATTACAGAATTATGGCCTATTTTGATTTTTGTCCATCCCCTAGCACATATCACCTCTGTGCTATGCACATAATTATCTCTTGCCTGAGCAACTCTACTTTCTCACTGCTTTCCCACCCATCACTGCCCAACCTTTGCATCCCTGGGCTCACTCCCTCCTTCTGAAACACAAAATGACGAAGTGCATTGGCCTGTGAGCCCACAGACGGGTTTCTCCCTCCATAATATGTCCCTTCGCCTTTCTAAGTAGCATCTGATTTCTCCTTGAATTTCCCACATGGAATAACAAATGACTTGAATTCACACCTGGATGAACGAAGCCATGGTTGGTAAAGGGGGAAGTGAAATACAGGCATGTAAATCACAAAATATATCTTGATCTTTTGCTGTATGTTTTCTTACGTAGATAAGTTGTAATCATTAGACATTAAAAACAAAAAAGTTCTATATTATTTTATATATCTTTATATAATAGAGAATATGTCAAACAGATAAAAAATAATACATACTTAATAGCATTTACTAGGATGCTAACTAGCAACAGATCAGGAACACTCTTCCCTTTCTTCAGCATCTCTTCTGATTTTGCACCAAGCTGAGCACGCACAGTGAGCTGGGAAAATAAACAACAGGTGGCAGAGTACAGCTAATTTAAAAGTCAGATTCCAAATCTTTGGTGAAAAAGAAAACATTAAATGGTCATGTTCTCTGATGGAGGCTCCGATCGTTTGTGGCCATTTTGGAGCCAGCCAGGCATTTTAGCAAAATGGTGCGCACCTTTTGCGGTTCTTCCTATATGGCTCCCTCCCTTCCGAGCCCTTCGTCTTCAATTTTCAGCATCCTGACCTTCATCCTCTAATACTTTCAGTCAAGAAGAATGAGGCTTTCTGCTCGGTTCTAGCAACTCCCGCCGCGCAGAGGGGCGTGCCTCTGGGACCACTGGCAGAAGCATAGGCCTTGCCTGCGATGCTCTTTTCACTGAAGGTCACAGTCCACACATTTTCTTTCTGGTTTTTGCTATTTGCTTGTTGGCTACTTTGCTTTTTTGCCACCTTCTTTTGGCCTCAAATAATGAACTGTTTTGCCCAGCCTTAGAATGTTCTCTAAGAATGTTATCTTAGATTGGGCTGGCCCAGCAAAACTACTGTCTATCAACAGCAGCTTCCTTAGCGCCTGTTCTTAACTGAGCCACCAGAGTGAGCATTTTATGTAGAATGACATTACATCTTTGCTCCAAACCCTGCAGAGACTCCCCCTTTTACTCCAAACACCCTAATCATTGTCTGTAAGGCGCCGGCTGACCCGAGTCTTGTCCCTCCGAGAGCATCTCTCTGTGCTCATCCCTCGCTCCTCTCGCACCTTCATGCCGTGCACCTTTCTGCCTCACGGTTGTCACCCAACCGCTCCCACTGCCTGAAGTGCTTTCCCAGGTCCAGCTGGCTGATGCTCCCTGTCTTCTCTCGGTCTGCAGAAGCCCGCTTTCTCGAGGAGGCCCGCCCCGTGTGAGGCAGCAGCTTGCCCTTTCCTCACGGCCTGTGTCTCAGCCCCTACTCATCGCCGCTCCTCACTAAACTTTCCTGGTATGTTCACTATCTAATTCATTTATTTATGTGTTTGTGGCTTTATTATGTGTTTTCCTCTTGTAAAATGTAAACTTCATAAGGTCCAAGAACTCCGTCTTTTTTGTTTAGTGATAGATCCCAAATCATTACCACAGTGTATGAAACAAAGTATGCCCTTTGAACTGAATATGGAATTTGTGGGACTTGCAACTCAATGTAAATATAAAAAAAAAATACTCAGTCTTCCTGATAATTTATATTTCAAATACATAGAGTAAAAATTATAAGGTTCCCTTTATCACTTTCTCTAAAACTATTTCCTTCCTTACTGGCTATTATGTTTACAGTTCGGTATATATCCTTCCAAAACTTTTTCTCTCTTTAAACAGTTTTGAAATCTAAAATATTATAAAATTGTTTTCCATGATAAAATGCATAATAAAAGTAATCAAATGTAATAAACATAAGGTAAATGGAATTTCACTCGATTAATCTGGCCATTCTATTTGATGACAAAATGTTTCCATTTATAGTAAGGCAATACTATGTAAGGAAAGATTAGTTCCCATTAAAACAATAGTGAGTGAATTGTTGTAAACATTTTTTTCAGAGATTAATAAAATATTCTGCAGAGTCACCAGTAAAGCTAAGGATTGATTCTGGGAAAATTCTTTAGAAGTAAAGATAGTATAAAAGAAAAGTCATAAATTAACTGGTAAAGAAAAACACATAAATTAAAATTTGGCATTAAGTCTAAAATTTAAAAATGTGTTTACTTTCTTACTTGGCAAAACTGAATATCAATTTCCACTGCTGCATATATAAAGAATATTAATAATGTAAAGAATATCAAGTATTTAGCTAATATTTTGCCATCTGACTTACTTCATACCAAGAGGAACATGTTGATATTTCATTCCACTTGAAGACACATCAATAATCAAGGAATTGTGACACATTTCAATATACTAGTACCCAGAATTAGATTGCAATACTTACTTTAGAGAAATAATCACTTGATTTGTCTTCTTCAGCTTTTGGTGTTTTACTGGTATCAGTGCCTAGCAACAGGAAAAGTGGTAAGAACAAGCTCTAGTATGGGACTGTCTAGGGTTTTGGACAGTCCCGTAGTCACTGGATCTGACTATGCCTGAGATACTCAGAGGAAGGAAGTAATAGAATCACCACAGCATGTCTGTTACCCTCATTCCAACGTTAAAATCCTGGTCACTGTGTGGCTTGGTGTTTCCCACCTCCTTCCTTCCAGTGTGGCTCACTCACGACGATACCATTAGAAATACTTTAACACTGGTGGGGTTTTCTCTTCAGAAACCAAGTGGGGTTTTCTTTTCAGAAAACAAGCCAAGTTTCTCAAGAAATATTAAAAGTTTAATTCTTTACCTTTTTATTTTCCTTGATTATCTAGTTATAAGCAACAAACAAAGTCTAAAAGTAGAAAACTCCAGAAGCCAGAGCGGGCTTTGGTTAAATTTAAATGATAAATACAAAGTTTTCAGAATCCGTTTATAATTACTGTACTTTTATAATAAAACAGGTTGTGTAGTCATATATTAAAAATCAGTTAAAATATCTGGAAGAAACAAATTACTAAAGTAAGGGGAAGCTTGGCGCCTTTCCAAAGACGGAAAACTTGGGTGCGCTGGGGGGGGGGGGGGGGGGGCGTGCTCACAGGGAGTGTATGCGCCGCCCACTGGGGACGGCAAGAACGGTGATGGCATAGGCGGATCTGAGCTTCAGCCGAGAACAGGACGAAACTATCGAATATGGCAAGGTCTTCGTTAGCACACAGAGAAAAGATTTTTAAGACTTAAAATTGTCTCCTATCCATGGTTCTACCAAGGATCTGAAGGACTGAAGCCCAGATCTCTAGGGAGGTAATTTTTTATAAGGTTTGGGAAGCTTGCTTCTATTTGTCTTGCCCAAGGTTAAGAATAAACTGAGTGTTACAGAAGGAGCCACTGCTCGGGTGAGCTGAGGACACCAGACCCCGCAGCCTGCCTCACCCATACAGAGGACAGAGGAGTAGCACGCAGAACGCACCCCAACAACATTCCCTCGCCCAGACCTGCGAAGGTGCAAGGGGACAAGGAAGCACTGTCTGCCTGCAAAGCCTGGAGGACGGGGGATGGTATATCCTGGTGGTTTTTATAACCACAACAGAACTGAGCAACTACAGTACTTGAAAGAGTGGGAAAAGATTCCTTGTCATTTTTGTCTCTCATTCCCAGTTGTAGACAAAGGTTAGGGATGTCTATATTTATCTTGCTGTCTGTCACGTGGCTATGTGACACTCTTGTCTTTTCTTTCTTTCCCTGAAAGCATGTTTGTGCTCACATACATATGCTTACTGTCTGTCTAGCCCTCTAATGTCAATGATGGATGATCTGTTTTGATATTTTACTTACTAAGTATAGTTTTATCTTCTGTTTCTGGTAGTACTTCATCTGAAACTGGATCAGCTGAAAATTTATTTTGCAGGTCCTTTGGGGAGAAAACACATGTGGACAGATTTTTAATACTGTTACATTTTAATAGCATTGTTAATTGCATTTCTATAAGTAAGGATTGAAAAAATACGCTGTTTTGTCTAAAACATAAATGATACTAAGAGAGGCTGACTAATTTCCAGAAAGAAACAAAATTTAATGATAACACTACTTATGGAAACACACAGTAACCTGTGGTGGAATGTCTTTCAATTGACTGTCAATTACTATGTAAAAGACAGCAACCGCCATTTGGAAAATACACTGGATGCTGAGAAAGAGGTAGAGTTTACAGAAACCCATCCTGGGCAGATCGGCCCCAGAGGGGTCAGTCACAGCTAGCCATAGGGAAGTAAAGAAAGACATGTGCATTATCTAGCACCCTAAAGGTTAGATTACGACGAGGAGCACAACATGGAAGACAGAGCAGCCCATGAAGAAGAAAATTTTCAGTTATTTTTAGAATTCATGGTTAAATGATGCTTACTCCGTTGCTCATACAAACCTATCTGAATTAGATTCTTCGTGAATTTATTCCATTTTTGAGACAGCATAATGTAGGGGAAAGACTACTGGATTTAGAACCTTAGATCCCAGTCACAGCCAAGACATTAACAAGCCTTCTGACCTCAGTTAAACCATGCTCAGGGCTTCTGCAGTCTCCCTGGTAAAAGGAGGATACAGGACCACACTGTGCTCCTAAAGGTGGGGCCACATTCTCCTATTCCCTGCCCTAGAATCTTCACACAATAAGGTAGCAAGTTCTAATACTGATGGGGATGTGATACTGGTAAACCTTCCGGAGACCTCCCACCCACTCCCACCCAAACTGAGATCTGTAAGTTTAGATCAGAGGTCTGCCAACTATGCCCCATGGACCAAATATTTTGGGGGGTGACTTTTTTTGTATGGTCCTCAGGCGTATAAAAGTCCATGAGACACTATTGTGAGCCTAGGGACTCCCTCCACCCCCAGGCTCTGCTCAGCTCTGGCACTGGCATCGGGCTCCCACTACACGATGGAGACTCTTCCGTTGACCACTGCCAGGCCCTCTGTAGTAGAATTTCACTCCAGGAGCTGGTGATTTTGTCAACTATCCCACAGTACTCATACTCTACCCCTTCTTTCCAACCCCTTGAAATTCAGCCCCTCCACCTATGAACCATCAGTGCCTCTTTCCTGAGAAGAATGTCTCCAGCTGAAGGTGCCTAGGCTCAAAGCCAGACCACCACCCCGATCAGCCCACCCAGGGAAACCAGTGGTGGTGGAGGTGAACGGATTTTTCTCTTGTTATATAAGTACCCCATAATATCCTTGATTTTGCCTTTTGGCCCACAAAACCTAAAATATTAACTCTTGGGACCTTTACAAAAAAGTTCGCCAGTCTCTGGTCTGGAAGATCTCTTAGATGCCACCTCGCTTCACATCTCACATGCAAGGCACAAGGAAGGCAACCGAAGTCACACTTGCCTGGCTTTCGTTCCTGTGCCAGTCAGGCAGAGCCTTTCCTTCGGCTTCACTATGATCTGGTAGGGCCTCACAGACTGTTTCCTTGTCGTGAAATGCTTGGATGGCTTCTTGGAGAAGAGTGTCGATAGAAAGTACCTGAATAGGGAAGTCTAAAGTACAAATGGCAGTTTAGGAAATTGACATCACTGTTCTTCTGTGCTGGCTTCCCCTTCTCATGCTGTCTTTAGGACCCCCTGGAACTGTCTTCTGGGTCACGCTGCTTTTCATTGTTATTATTTTTTGTGTTAGAATTCACAGAACATAGGATTAACTATTCTAAAAGACACACTTCTGTGGTATTGAGGTTATTCACAAGGTTGTCCAACCATCACTGCTATCTTGTTCTGGAAAATTTTCATCATACCAAAAGGAAACTCATTAAGCAGTCACTTCCTATCACCCTATTTTTGCCCCTGGCAACAACTAATTTGTTTCCTCTTTCTGTGGATTTGCCTATTCTGGATATTTCATATCAGTGGAATCAAACAATATGTGGTCTTTTCTGTCTGACTTCTTTCACTCAGTAACATGTTTTCAAGGCTCATTCACGCCGTAGCATGTGTCAGTACTCCACTCCTTCTTACGGATAAATAATATTCCATTTTGTCACCCATTCATCAGGCGATGGACATTTGGTTTAGTTTTAACTTTTGGCTATTATTAATAGTGCTATTACAAATACTCCTCTACAGGGTTATGGGTTTTTTTTTCTTTTTTGAACAGCTGTTTTCTATACTTTTGGGTGTATACCCAGTAGTGGAATTGCTGGGGTTATAGGATAATTCTTTGTTTAACTCATTGAGAAACCACCAAACTGCTTTCCATAATGGATCTATCATTTTACATTCCCACAAATAGTGTATTCCAGTATCTCTACATCCTTACCAACTCTTGTCATTTTCCTTTTTTAAAAAAATTATACCTCTTACAGTAAATGTGGTGGTACTTCATTATGATTTTGTTAAATTGCTTTTTAAGGAGGTCTTGTTAACGTCTCAATGGTGACCTACTACCCTTCTCCACCTTGGCAGGGTACTGGCCTCAGTGCAAATCTTGAGTTTTGTAGCGAAAAACAGGAATGATATTGTATTAATAAATAAAGATGAATCAAACAGATGAAAACATGTGATTTTGCTTCTAACTGAAACAAAAAGCTTCTACAGAAAAAGCGAAAGGCTCATTAAGAACAAAATGAAAATATTAAAATATTTACATTTTAAGTGATTTTCTCTTGTATTTGTGACAAATTACCAATATCCTACTTCTATTAGCAAAGTACAGTAAAATATATGAGGAAGAGTTTAAGAGTTATTTCTATCCATACTATGCATCATCATTATAGAGCATCTCCATGTAAGCAGGTTTGCCTGGGACAGTCGCAGTATATGACTGAACATTTCTAAGTGTCTCTTTTGGACAACACATTTTTGATCATTCTGTTATAATATTCTTGATGAGACATACTCCTACTATGTCAGCAGACCCTTATGTATACTTTCTACAGACATAGCCATTTCCAGCTACAATGTTCATAGAACCTAATAAATACTAACATACAAAGAAATTCTACCTTTTTGTAGAAACTTTAGGACAGTAGTTTTTCCACTAAATGTTTTTCCCAATATGCACCCTTTAATAGCCTTTGAAGGGAATTCAGGCACTGTCGATTCAACTCGAGGGGGAAGAGATTTTTCAATTAGCCTGTGAATCACATGGCCCAATATGCAGTTGTTGGAGGGTGGTAAATTATCAACCATGTCTTCTGGTAACGCCCACTCTCCAACCATGTTCTACAGAAATAACCACAAAACAAACAAAACAGAAATGTTCTTAAAGTGGAATTTAGGCATGCAAGAAATTTGAATACTGAAAATAAGTTCAAATTATAGCAAACAAAATTTAATCAATACTTTAAATAATTAAATTTCATAAATGAGTAATAACATGAATAATGCTTTTAAAAGTTAAATTTATTGTATTCCTATGTGGAGAGCTGAAAAATGAACTCACCACATAGAAATAAAAACAAACAAAAAACATACCCAACTCTAAAATCCTTAACAGTTTATCAAAGTAGGCATACTGAGTTAACTAAGACAAACTGTAGGCTGAGCATTAATGATACATAAATTGATACTATCATCAGTAAGCAGATAAAAGATAGTAATAGTTTATCTGCTATCTTATGCAAGTACTAAGCTTGCATATTTTTTAAAGACAGGAAGATAAAAGAAAACTTTCATGCCCAATAGGGTGTCTATGTTTAGTTAACTCTTGTGTCTATATTTAACTTCTAGTTTTTTTCAGGTTTCTTGCTGAAATGATCAAACAATTGGAAAGGAAAAAAAAACCCTACAGACCACATTCTCTGAGCTCTGTGTAATAAAACTAAAAATTGATTTTTTAAAAATCTGAAAAAGATACTTAAAATTAAAGGCATTCTCTTAGAATTATTCTTGATGTAAAGAAGTTAAAAGTATAAATATCCAAAATGAACATTAAAACAATAGACTTACTAAAAATATGGGACGGGATCACAATCTACTTAGAGAAAAATTCATAGTTCCTTGTAATGAAATGCCTTGACTTAAAATTTAAAAAGAAGGGAAATGAGTAAACCAACCATTAAAATAGGGAAAAAAACCCCTTTAATATAAATAAAAGAAATAAGGAGGAAGGGACTCGTAAAAATGGAAATTTATAAATTAGAGAGCAAATGATTGAGAGGTTTTTTATTGCTATATTTTTAGAACTTGTCTGTGCTCATCCTAATAATGAAATTGCTACTAGTTCTGAACAAAGGTGAGGAATAGCAAATATCAATTTTGTAATATAATCAGAGGAAAGTAACATTTTAAGGAGGCTTAAAAATTTTTAAGAAAATGTTATATACAACTTTAATAAATTTCAATTTATTACTGTATGGTAAAAAGGATATTTTTAGGAAAGTACAAATTATTAAAATTAACTTAAGTGGAACATTTAAAAGATGAAAACCATGAAAGAAATGGAGTTGTAAAAGAACTATATCTGTAGGAACCTTTAATACAATGATGATTTACAGAAAAAACATCATCCCTTAATTAAACAGAAATCTAAATATTGCTTAGTATTTTAGAAAATGGAAGAAAACAGAAGCTTTCTAGTTTACCTGGCAAAACTAACATAACCCTGATACCAAAAGAGTATCAAAAATAATTGACAAAAATAGCATCCAGAAAGGAAATTACAAGCCAACTTCACTTGGAAATGTGTTTTAAGGATCATGCCTACAATATCAACAAAATCAGCATTATATTGAGACAATAAAGATATTAATTGTCATTTACTACACACCAGGTGCCATATACTGTTGTTTTCATGAATTATCTCACATGATTCTCACACAACTCTTACAAAAGTATTATTTTCTTTCCAATTTTGTAGAAGAAATACCTAAGTACTATAGAAGCTAACTTTCTTGTCTGTGCTCACAACAAATAGTAATGCAGATTCCAGGCATGTGCTCATAACCTCTGTACATACTGAAGCTGTCTCACCATGGCTGAATCAGAGTTATTTCATGAATACAGGGAGGAATAAATATTAGATAACCCATTACTATGTCACCTTAATAGGCTAAATTTTTTTTTAAGTGTGTGATCATTTTGACAAAGCAACATTTATCTTATATACAAATCGCCGATTGAAAAAGTGGGTAAGAGGGTATATTTCTGGTCCCATGAAGAGCTTCAAAAATTACCTTCCAATGCATATAAAACAAATTTAGTAACATGATTAAGTGATAATTTAATTATATAGATATTTCATGCACAATCGATCAGAAACAAAGAGTAGAAACATGTCATTGTCATTAAATTATGCTATATTTTAAGATTATTTGGAATTAGTACATATAATCTATTTATCAAACTATTCAAACTTAAAAGAAAACCTGCTATGTTGTTTCAGTGGTGCAGAAAATTATGACCTTCAAGTTTTATTAGCTTATCATATTTTATTAAAATCATGTAGATCTTCCCCAAATCTTATCAAAGATGATCAGTTCTATGAGCACTTCCTCTATTACATCGCTTGCCCTCAGTCATAGTCTTCTTACTCCAAATAATTGGGTTAGCAGGAGCAATATCTATTTGGGGAATAAAAGGAGCCCCCCAACAATATATGTTCTCATGAAAACTGAAGAGGAAATAAAAACAAAGGGCAGCAGGCATTATATTTCTTTAAAAAATATTAGTCAACTTCTGCTAGTCTGAATTGCTTGTACAGCCTTAAGTCAGATTTTTTAAGGAGGATGATATATGTCTTTATAGTGACTATATGCCAAAACATATATATGTATTTATATTAATATAGATTCTATATGACATAGCATATATAAAATATGTACATATATTTATATATGGTATGCCATTAATTAATAAATAAATGAATGCTTATGTTATTGCATTTTTTTTTATCAGTATTCTCTTCCTATCCATTCAGTACCTGACAAAAAATGTTTGCTCAGAATGTAAACTGCCTCTTTGATAAAGGGCTTATTTGGCTTGGTGCCAGAATTTCTAATAAGGCCACACAAGTGTTAAGGAAATACTTTTGAAGCAAATAAACCAATAGAAAATAACAAAAAGTATTTATAATAGGTTTTGCTTTAAAATAGGTGGAATTTATTAGAATATAAATTTTATTATATTTGACTCCCACTTCTACACAAACTATCCTTTATTTGTAAAATTTTGTTTTAGTTTAATGCCTTTGGTTTTTGTAAAGATACTGTGTATGATAATTCTATGTATTGTCCAAAATTAACTAAATACTGGAAAGACTTGCCTAATTATTGATCATATTATGTTTGATTACTTTCTTCTGCTTTCATTCATTGTTCTAATTGGACAAGTGGTAATTATTGTATGTAATGGGACCAATCAGAAACTGACCAAATAAAACAAGAGAAACCAGGGAAATTTTGTTATTTTAAAATAAAGTAAGCTATAAGGCCAAGGCCAAGTTTATGTGGAAAGTTTCGAAAGTCTAATGCTTCTGTGTCATGCAGTGATAGAACCCATTTTAAAGGAAACAGTCTGGGACTTAATCAGATGACAGTCTTCTGCTACCTACTTGCATTGCACCCTGGACAGTTCCCTCATCGTTGCATGATAACATTTACCTCTTGGGATTGTTGTAAAGACCAAATGAAATGCTGCCTGTCTAGCCAGTATGACTGTTGACTTTAAATGCTTAATTAAGACATTCTTAGGCAGCTGCTGGAGGCACATAATAGTGCCACAGAGAGGGGTGACAGCATCCACAATCCTCCCCCGTCGGAGAAGTACGTTCAGCTTGCACCCTGATCAGAAATGCCTGATTCCTCACAAAGGGGCAGAATAAGCCCTCTTCCATCACTGCATCAGCTGTGGAACGCAGCTGAGACAATGGGATAGAATGCCAACCACGAAGAGAGCTGAATGCTTAGGTCAGGAAAAGAACTGAGGCCTGACCTGAGGACATAAACAGAACGAGGATTTGGTGGATACATTTTTCAGAATCACCTTAAAAATACAATTGATGGTTAAGAATAAAGGGTAAGTCAAGGTAAATATCTCAGGTGGGAGCAAGAACATGGTGAGTGAAAAAAAGGTCAGAAAACTGAAAAAAGAGAGGTAAATTCAAACCAGAATAAAAATTACTGGTTTAACTACAATGAGCTAAAGAGATGTTCTAGTCCATTAGTAAAGAAGAACCAGAATTTTTTTTTTTTTACCAAATTCTTATTTTACATAATTATATAATGAAATTATATTAGAGAAAATCATATAAAATATACAATTCTTACTCCTACAGTTATTGTTATAACTAGACAGCTGACTATTAGTTTCAGGGCTAAGATGCCTAGAGTGTGCACCACCAGGTAAGTATCAGCTGGTATATACTATCGCTTTAGTAAGAGACTATTGTGTGTGTGTGTGTGTGTGTGTGTGTGTGTGTAGGTGATCTCCTTGGCATTAGCACAAATTAATGTCAACTGACATGCATATATAATGAATAATTAAGACCTCTTTATTTTTATGGTGCCTGTATAATACCATCAGTATGTATTTTTGAGAAGGTGTAAGTGCAAGACTCAAGATTTACCAGCACCTCTTGTCTGCCTACACACAGAGATCATGAAATTACAACAGAGCCAACAGCCTCTGCCCTTGGTTAAAAGTCACAACTTCTTTACTAGTACTATTTTTATTAACTGACCTCCATTGACCTTTCCAGACACTGAATTCTGAATTCCTGAGACCATGGTACCCCCTAGTTCTTCCTGTTTTCACAGGTGACATGGACCTAACACTCTGCTTTCCAGCCTGGGTCCAATACACGCACATGGCTCTCTGCATCATTGTTGTAGGTACCTCCAGGTTACCTGGACTCCTGATTCTGGTTACTTCCAGTTTGACATATCCTTTTGTTTGCTATGATCTGATAAGTCATTGTCCTTGGTCCCCTTGTTATTATCCATGACTAAATTACCATGAGTATTTACAGATGGCACCAGCTTAAGAACAATGTGTTTGACTGTGTACGTTTCATGGGCACATCTGAGATCTTCCATGTGATCAGTCCACTAGATTCCCTCCTGGATTCCGGCATTGGCCAAGTGGTTGGGTGATGGTGCTGGTGGAGCCACATGGTTTTATTAACATGTTTTGTTTACTTCTCTGAACATGATTACCCTTGGAGTTAAGCCAATGGCCCTCATTCTCATTTCTTGCCCCTTCTAAAAATGCAAGTTGGGAATAGA